TAATAATTTTGATTAAAATATAAAGATAAATGCAATTTAAAATAATTAAGAGAAAAGATTAATATAAAATATAAATCCCCAATTAACAATCCCCAAAGTGGTGGTGGGAATGCAACTCGTCAAAATTCAGCTTTTTCCATCGGCCCCGACCATGTTACTGTCGTCTTAGGGCGGCAGTAATTGGGCAGTCCTGACCAAACCCAAACCCTTTTATTTATTTTTATGTGACTGCTGAACTAATAATCCTACTAGCGGGCAAACCCATTTGTACATATACCAACCCCATAAATAAAAAAGGCTAAAATTTAATTGTCATATTATCTGTATATAATAAAATCTTTCAAATATCAGGGTGGTTTTCAGTTGAAAAATAATTAGATTTTTAATTCAGTTTATCTTTAATCTTAAAGTATTCTTACTATTTTTTATTAAAGCTTCAATATTGTTTTAATTTTCATAATCCTAATATTTATATGCTTCTTCAAGTCGATTTTAACTTAATCTATTTGCTATATAATATTATAAATATTTTTTGCCTAAAGTATTTTTACATATATCAGAAACTTTAGGATTTTTTTAAATTGCAAAATGGTAATATTATAATGCTTCTTCTAATCTATTCAAACTCAAAAATGCAGTTGCTATATTATTTAAAATGTCTTACCTTTATTCAAGAAAGCTTTATAATCTTCTGGATTTTTTTAAATTGCAAAATCGTAATATTATAACGCTTCTTCAAATCGATTTAATGTTTAAAATGTGAGTGCTGTAATGTATTATAAATTGATTTACCTTTATTGTTATAAATTTCAGAATATTCAGGATTTTTTTCAATAGCCATGTCATAATATTGGAATGCTTCTTCAAATCGATATAAACTTTTTAATGTTTCAGCTATAATAGATTATTAAATCTTTTTCACCTTTATTCATGAAAGCTTTATAGTCTTCTGGATTTTTTTAAATTGCAAAATCATACTATTATAACGCTTCTTCAAATCGATTTAATATTTTAAATGTGATTGCTGTAATGTATTATAAATTGATTTACCTTTATTGTTATAAATATCCGCACATTCAGGATTTTTTTCAATAGCCATGTCATAATATTGTAATGCTTCTTCAAATCGATATAAACTTTTTAATGTTTCAGCTATAATAGATTATTAAATCTTTTTCACCTTTATTCATGAAAGCTTTATAATCTTCTGGATTTTTTTAAATTGCAAAATCATACTATTATAACGCTTCTTCAAATCGATTTAATATTTTAAATGTGATTGCTGTAATGTTTTAAATTGATTTACCTTTATTGTTATAAATTTCAGAATATTCAGGATTTTTTTCAATAGCCATGTCATAATATTATATTGCTTCTTCAAATCGATCTAAACTTTTTAATGTGTCAGCTATAATAGATTATTAAATCTTTTTTACCTTTATTCATGACAGCTTTATAATCTCCAGGATTTTTTTAAATTGCAAAATCATAATATTATAAAGCTTCTTCTAATCTATTCAAACTTTTTAATACATTCGCTATATAATTTAAAATGTCTTGCCTTTATTCATGAAAGCTTTATAATCTTCTGGATTTTTTTAAATTGCAAAATCGTAATATTATAACGCTTCTTCAAATCGATTTAATGTTTAAAATGTGAGTGCTGTAATGTATTATAAATTGATTTACCTTTATTGTTATAAATTTCAGAATATTCAGGATTTTTTTCAATAGCCATGTCATAATATTATATTGCTTCTTCGAATCGATCTAAACTTTTTAATGTGTCAGCTATAATAGATTATTAAATCTTTTTCACCTTTATTCATGAAAGCTTTATAGTCTTCTGGATTTTTTTAAATTGCAAAATCATACTATTATAACGCTTCTTCAAATCGATTTAATCTGTCTAATATCTATGCTATGTAATATTATTTAAACCATTTTTACCTTTATTGTTATATGAATCAGCATCATTAGGGTTTATTAAAATTGCATAATTATAATAATCCAGTGCTTCTTCAAATCTATATAACATTTGTAATGTGTGTGCTAAATAATATTATTAACCCCATTTTACCTTTATTCTTAAAAGTTATAAAATTTTCAGGATTTTTTTAAATCGAATAATCATAAAATTATAAAGCTTCTTCGTATCTCTATAAAAATTACAATGTATTTGCTATATTAAGTTATTAAATTTTTTTAACCTTTATTATTATAAGCTTCGGCATCTTCATTATTTTTCAGTAATACATAATCATAATATGATAAAGCTTCTTCAAATCTATTTAAACTGAATAATGTATTCGCTATAATAGACTATTATGATTTTCACCTTTATTATAATATATATCAATTTCTTCAGGGTTTTTTTCAATAGCTTTGTCATAATATTCTAAAGCTTCTTCCAATCTATAAACATTCTTTAATGTATTGGCTATTTATAATTGAATTATTGTTACCTTTATACATAAAAGCTCTATAATCTTAAGGATTTTTTTAAATTGAATAATCATAAAATTATAAAGCTTCTTCAAATCGATTTAAACTTTCTAATGTATTTGCTATATATAATTGAATTATTGTTACCTTTATACATTAAAGCGCTATAGTCTTCAGGATTTTTTTAAATTGAATAATCATAAAATTATAAAGCTTCTTCAAATCGATTTAAACTTTATAATGAAACGGCTATATTAATTATTAACTCATTTTTACCTTTCAAACTATAATAATTATAATTTTCAGAATTTAGTTTAATTGCATCATCATAATATTATAATGCTTCCTCAAATCGATTTAAACCCACTAATGCACATGCTATATTTTATTATAGATTTGATCACCTTTCTAAAAATAAGCCAAATCATCTTTAGGATTTTCCTAAATAGCATAATCATAATTTTATAAAGCTTCTTCATATCGATTTAAACTTTTTAATGAAAACGCTAAATTATTTTAATCAATTATTTTCACCTTTATTATTATATATATTAGAAATATGAGGATTTTTTTAAATTGCATAATCATAGTATTCTAAAGCTGCTTGAGGTCGATTTAAACTGTGCAACGTAAGCGCTATAAATTAAACCAATTTCACCTTTATGCATAAAAGGTTTATAATCTTCAGGATTTTTTGAAATTGCATAATCGTAGCACTCCAAAGCTTCTTCAAATCGATTTGAACCTTACAACGCAAGCGCTATATTTTAGTATTGACTGGATTACCTTTCTAAAAATAACCTTTATAATCTTCAGGATTTGTTGAAATTGCATAATCATAATATTTAAAAGCTTCTGCGAATTGTTTTAAATTTGATAATTTATTTGCTATATTAATTAATCATCATTACCTTTATTCAGAAATTATTTATAATCTTCTGAATTTTGTTAAATTATATTATCTTATGAATTTAACTTTCTCTTTGCTTTATTTTATTAAAAAATTAAGTTTACATATATTTGCAAAAGCCTTCCAATTTTCAATTGATAAATTATATTATTCTTTTTAAATAAGAACACTTATTAAGTTTTACTTAATTTTTGCTAATTTTATAATCCTCCTATTTCTTTAATGTGTTTATCTTTACAACCCCCATAATTATTCTCTTTATTAAATTCTATTTTCAATTAAGTTCAATAATTTGATTAATATCTTACCCAGCAAACCCTTTACAAAATTTTACTTGCAATAATTTAATTTTCTAAAACAGATGATAATTTATGGGCTTAAATTTCTTTAAATTGGGAGTGTTCCGTTTTCTTAGCATGCTTAATTTTGAATTATGAATAACAGGAGTTTAACAATATCATTATATTTTGTTGTAATAAAAATTAAATATATATAAATTTTGTGTTTTTATTGTATGTATTACAATAAAAAAAAATACATTTTATTAAGTTATCTTTATTAAAATTAAACAATAATTGCTTCTTTTTCTAATCTTCCTTTTCATCATATTATCCACCTTTTGGAATAAAATTATTTGAAATTCTAAAATATAGCATTTAACATTTTTTTTATTAATTTATTATGAGGATAGAGTATTAATGTGATATCTAGGTTTACAATATGATCAACAGCACATTAATAATTAATTTGGTTGAAGAATTGTAAAATCTTTAAGAAACAGAAATATATAAGAGCCAAAATATGAAATATTTAGAAGAAAAAGTGAGTAAGCTTCTAGAATCAATCAATAAGCAATAATGTTCAACAGTAAAATATGATACTAATTTTGATTTAAATTCTTTCATTATAAAATAGCATTTTAGTGGAATCTAAAATACTCATTTTTTTCTGATGAAACTATCAAAAATGCAAAATTCTAATTAATTATTTTAAAATCGCTTTAGATTTATTTCATTCGTCCCAAAAAAATAATGTTTTCATATAAATCCTTAAATGTGATTGTACAATACAATTACTAATAAATAGATACTTTATTTCAGAACAAGTTAAGGCAACCAATATTTTGGAGATTTGTAGTTTCAAATTCGAATTCATGAATTTCATTAACTAAAATACAATTTTAATTGTGGAATAGGAAGAGAGAGAATAAAACATATTTCATTTATCTTTAAATTCTTTCTGTAATTCAGTCTACCTGATGCGAGCCATAATGGCTTCAATTTAAACTTGCTTCTCCATTAATCACAAACAACACCAATTTTGTATTATGTATGCCATTCTAAATAGAAACCATTCACATGTCTTAACAAAGACTTGGACTTCATTTTAATTCATTTTCAATTTCTAATATTTAATGTAATTATGCAAATTATTCCTCTGAAATTGCTTCGATTTGAATCTCCATATAGTTTCATAATTATCCTTAAAAAGTAATTTGAGATATTCAGAAATTTTAATTCTTACAGGATTATTTTCAAATCCATCTTTAAATTCTTCTGATTTAATATTCATTTTATTTACAGCATTGATTATATTCATTCTTGTAGTCATGAATTCATTATTATTTAATTCCCCATTTAATTCTCCATTAACATAATTCTTAATTGACTGCATTCAATTTTCAAGTTATTCAACTTGTTTTTTTCCTTTGTCCAATCTATTTGATAAAACTGCTTAGATTGTTACATCACCTTTTTTTAGCTCAAACATCTTAATTATAATAGCTATGTATATTCCACAAAATTGAAAATCTTTCCTATTAGTTCAGGTCTCAATTTAAAAAGTCCATGAGTCTACAACTATTCTTATTCAATTTATTAATACCCAAAAACATTATTTTAATAATTAAAAAAGATGATTTTTAAAGCTTATCATCAAAATATCATATATTCATTATATCTTTTATATTCATAAACATATTTCTCTTATATTAATATAACAAATTTAAACAATTAAATATCTTCAGCAATGCTAACACTTATTTTAGTAATTGTTAGAAAACCCTTAAATTCTATATAAAAATTATTTTAATTACAAGTAGAGATAAAGAAATTCTCTATGAAAACTTTTGTTTATAATATATTTTAATCCTCAGAATTGATTTCTCTTCTCCAAACATTCATTAGCAATTAATAAGGAGATTTATATCTCTCTCAAAATCTGCATTTTGATCCAAATTAATAATTAGTATAAATTTCCATAAATAATTGAAAACAAATTCTTTAAATGTTTTTAATATAAGTAATTAAGTTTGATTAATTAAGTATTAAAATAATTATTTTAAGAGTAATGTTGTAATGCTTAAAAGCTAATGAAAGAAAAAATGATGAAATAAGTAACATAAAGATCTAGAATGATATAAATATTATTTTTTTGATTATTATAGTAAATATAGTGATCTTAACTCGTTTCTTGAATAATTATCTTAAAGCAATATGCAAATATGAAATTTATTTTTTGAACGGAAATAAATATGCTATCCACATTACTATGATTAAATATATATTAATTATAAAATGGTCGAAATTAGATTTGATCGAAAAATAGGATTTCTAATAAAAAATTTATAAGTTGAATAGATTAGATGATATAAAAATATATTAAATGATAATAAAACTAGTTTATAATAGGAAATACATCTTTTTAAATTAGAGAATCCATTTCTCGAGTAAATAAAGTATCATAAATAAAAATTATATCCTTAAATAAAATAGAACTATAGTTTAAAATATAAAGTTGATGATGGTGATTTGACTAGTATATGTTCAGATGAGGATTTAAAAGTTTGAATGGAAAGTGTTAAAAATTAAACTGTGAAGATTACAATAGAACCAATGAATTTATGGATTTGGAAATCATTTGAAAATTTAGAAGGAATCATTTGTGGAGCATGTTCTTAATATAAAGAACCTGAACCATAATAATAATAATATCTTTAATAATTAACCATAATATATTCCACCTTAATCTTATCCACCTCCACCCTTTTCATAACCACCTTTTATACATCCATGAAGTGTTCCTTGGTTTGGAATGATTCCTCCTTAAATGCCTTCACATTAAGGATAATTTGGATTTGGGCATCCTCCTCATCAAATGTTTGGTGGTTTTTTTCATCATCTTTTTAAACAATCATAGTCATCATATGAAATGGCATAAATTAAGAGAAATTATGAAGGATCCTTAATTTAAATAACAAAAAGAGAAACTATAATAATTGTTAAAGGAAGTGAGTTTAACAATAAAAAATAAAATGGGAAATCAGCAGTAGTATTATCAGTATAATTATTGATTAATTATATAGATATTAGTAATAATGGAATTGGAGTGATTTAGATGAATAAAGGGCAACAAGATTAGCAGAAGTCTTATAATGCAATTAAGAATAAGCAAGAGAATATCTGATGATATTCAAAGACCTAACATTAGATGAAATTGTTATGATGGTAGAAAATGAAGAATGATTCATTAAATATTTAATATATATAGAATTGAAAATTTATTTCTATATTTAATAATTTTGATAAGTGTTAAACAAATGAAATAGCAAAACTAAATAAAATATTTAGAAAATGTAAATGAATTATGAAGCTTTGATCAATGGTATAATTAAAATGATTACACATAGATTAAGAATAAAATAATTAAATGGTAAGAAATCAATGAGTAGAATTTGTGGAAATTATATTCAAATAAAGATGGATATATAGTGGATATAAAGAAGAATCCAGAAATGGAATAGCAATGAATAGAAATAGCAAAAACACCAGATCAAATACTTGATTTGGTAGGAGATGTGAATAAAAGACCATTATATGATATTATATGATAAGAAGATTGAAACTGTATAATAATAGATTTATCACAATAGGCTTATGTAATTGAACAAATACATGCAAATGCAAGAATTATTTATGTGAGAATTAAACCACCCATTCCTTTTATGAGTAGCAGAGATTTAGTGATGGTTTAAAAGGTTTATAAATAAAATAATGGGATTTATATTGTTTATTGTTTGTTGTTTGTTGTAAGAGAATAATTAAATTCTTATCGGTAAATCTATCATTCATTAGAAAACTCCACTTATTAATAAAGTTGAGAGAGCAGAAATGCATTTGAGTAGTTGGATAATCATTCCTCAACCAAACCAAGTATTTAGCTAATTTTAATTACTTAGATGACCAAAAATTACAATTTTTGATCTTAAAGGTGATGTACGATAATCAGTCACCAATCAATATGCAAAGTTGTAATCAGACATGATGAAAACAGCAGTACAATATTTTGTACTTAATTATAAATGAGAATTCATCATATATAATTATTTATTAAACATTATGTACCACACAATTTTTTCACTTTTTAGGGGTAACTCTAACAATAAGCAGGATTTTATAGAAGTAAAAATAGTTTCAAAAATTAAATAAAGTATTAGATAAATTATCCAAACAGATATTTAATGTGTAAAGAAAGCTGAAATAGATATTTCTCTTCCCATTTAAATGGTAATAATATAACATCTTGTTCCTATTGTTTTATTGTTTGGGTTATAACAAAAAATAAAAAAGTCCCTACTTTGAATTCAATTTTGTTTATAATAACTATCTAACAAAAAATATGAAATCTGCATCAACTTCTGATATTCTTGAATCACAGAGTTTTTACATAAAATTTTTCCAAAAATTAGTTGAATTGGTCAGCTTACTTTTGTGTAGAGGATGAAATAACCTATATGTAATTAATATTTATCCATTTTTAGTGGCTATTAATAATGATATGAACCTATCATAAGCGAGGAGACTGCTAGAATACAGTAATTCCTATCACTAAGAATTTCAATAATCAATGTTCAATGAGAATATCTATCTTGGAAATTCTCTTTAACATCAAAGGATATTCCACTCACTTAGAGCAAAGATGATTGATTGGATGATTGAAGTATTCGGAAATTATAGTGAAACTACATCTGATGTTACTTTCTTCAGATCTGTTGCCATCATGGATTACTACCTATAAAAATCAATCACCCAATATTCAGACTATCATCTTCATTTTATTGGTATCACCTCCATGTTTATAGCTACTAAACTTGAAGACATTTATCATATTCCTTTATAAGACTTTGTCACCAGAGTCAGCCATAACAAATACACAACGTATTTTTTCCCATTTATTCTAGCTCTAAAATCAAAGCCATGGAATAATCAATCTTAGAAACCTAGAATTTTGAAATCACCTTCCCAACTACATTGGAATTTTTACATAATATCTTTTACTAATGGTTTAGTTTAAATGATAAGTAATAATTTTTATTTAATTTTTAGTCATAATTTATAAAATATTTTAGAAACAAGTACTTATATCTTAAAAATGTGTCTATATGACTATTCCATGACATCATTCAATTCTAATATTTTGGCATCTTATTCATTCATTTATTCCATCACTGATTTTCTCAATTAAAATAATTCGCAGAATAAAGAGCTACTATTTATAGAATAATAAAATTGTGTAAATCTCATAAACTGATTAAAACGACCTTAGGACCACAATTTTATTAATAGCCATAAGGAGGTATTTAAAATTACTAATTTCAATTTCCTTAATTTCCTTATATGTTTCCAAAGCTAGATCATATGAGTAAGGATGAAGAGAAATTATATTAATAAGATCAATAATAGTTATGCTATCAATAATATTTATTGCCATAATAATAAATGTAATCATAGATGGATAAAAAAAATTTGTTTTGTTATTTTATGCATCCATAATAATAAGTTCAATTGAATTTGAATTACTATCCACAATAAACGATATATAATGTAACTGAAGATTTGAATATTAAGGAGAATCAATTCGATGAATAATGAAATAGTTATTTAATTATTACGTTTTAATATAATTTGTTTTTATTTTAATAATGAAAATACATTTAATATTAGTTCTTCTAATAGCAGTCAATACTCAATCCTTTTTGAAAGAGTCAGCATAATAACTAATAATTCCTTTTGCTCCTATAATGATCTAAGAAGTTGTGTTATAATAAGAGACTGAAACAGCTATGGCTCCAGAATAAGAATATTTCTATAATCCAGAAACAGTCTTAAATTCTGCTAAAGAACAATAAATTTTGAGAGGAGAATTATAAGTAAAATTTACCAGCTAAAGGTGAGTATAATATTGTATTCTGAATGAAATTTCAGAGGATCTTCATTCAAATACTGCAATTAACCAGATGAAGTTTTTCCTATTGAGTATTCGTTGCATTTATATAATTAAGATTATCATTCTAGATGACCGATGCTTTAGAGGGAAATAAAGTCTATGTTAATGAATCAGGATTGTATTCCATCTGGCTTACATTTACCAGAACCTCAACTCTAAGAAGTTTAAGAGCCTGGTAACAATTGGTTTAGTGAATTAAAAGATTCTGAAAAAACCATTTTAGATGGAGGTGATTTGTCAACACGATCAGTAAATTTTCTTATGATTATTTAATCAGGTAGAGAACAATATTAAAAATTGGTTGAAGAAGATGCTTAGAGATCCTATTAAAACTTAAGTTGGATAATCCAATTTTGCATTTCAAGAGAAGAACAACCATAATAAACAGGAAACGTTATTGTTTTTGCCCAAAGAGCTACTTACCTAGCAGTTGCATAATATTTTTTAAGTGTAGCTTCATTTTTACCAATAAAATTATAATATAAAGTATCAAAAAGATCAGTACATTTATAAATTAATTTTTCTATTTTAATTTCAGATTTAAGTGATTTATTTTAATTACTCATTTTTTGCATGTAATTAGATGAACAAATGTATTGTCTTGTCATCATTCTTCCTCCATCTGCATGTTAAGTCATACCAAATACATTTGGTGCCATTACCCACTCATAACTATCTATATGAACATTTAAATACTTCTTTTGGATTGATTTCATACAATAGCATAGTATTTCTTATATACAATAATCTTTCAATATGATGAAGATAAGCATATTTAATAGTCTTTTCAATCATAAGTATACCAATTTTGATTTAATTTTAGTGATTAAAAAAATTGGCATTCAGTTACTACTAGCCTTCAAAATAATACAATAATCTAACATATTCTCTCCAACCAATTACTTATCTAAGAAATCCTTCTACTGATTAAATAGGTGTTTTTTATTCTTTATAATATTGTAGTGTTTTTTCAACAGTTAGATTGCTATTTATTAATCCTATTTTCATCATTGGAGATAAAATAGAATGATTAACAAAATGATAATCTGAGAGAACAGCATCTTGATATGGACCAAATTCACTTAATTCTATTTTAAAAAACTATCCAACCATTATTCAGTTGAATTATGATCAATTGGATAAATTGTATTTTTTATTTCACCAAAATTATTTGGATAATTTTTAGTTATATAATTTATTGCTTCATCATAAAAACTCGATTTAATTAATTCAGGTTTTTTAGGTACTTTTGTACCTTATTTTAATGGCTATCTATTTTCTGAATCATATGTCCATTTTCTGGATCTTCTCCTTTAGGACCCATTAAAATATTTAATCTTCTTCTTTACCATCTATAAAATGAAGAATAATGACTGTAATTTGATTTACCATCCTTTACTTTTACATTTTCCTTATGATATTATTCTAAATCTTTTTTTTTGGGCATAAATATGATAGATTTTCTTTGATTTCACTTTGTATTCCTAATTTCTTTAAAATACTTGAATATTTCTATAAAACTGATTTATCAATTGGATCGTAAAAGTCACGGTAAGTAATAATAACCTTATCAATCATTTAAAGCTCTTCCAAAAATGAACTACAATTATCATTTTGATCAATATATTATATGCTTGTTTGTTTTAAATTATTGATTAAATAGTCTTAATATATTTCATTAGTAGCTTATGATAAATAAGCTTTAATTTATGATAATTATATGCTCTGAAGTATTGGTCATCCTCTATTAAAATATTTTATTATAATTTTTCAGAATATCAATATTCTTACATAAGTGAACTGGAAATAATAAGAATATTTTCGTTTTTGTTTCTCCGCTTAATTGTCTTTTTTAAGAAAAGTCTTTTTGTTTCTTTCCTTCCTTAGACTAAGCCTAAGTTTCTCTTATTTTTAATGTTTTAAGTCATTTATTTATGTCATTTTTAATGTAAAACAGATTTTGATTAAGAAATTTAAATCCTATAACAAAATAATGTTATTTACTATTAAAAAAGTGATTATATTTATAGAATTTATAATTATATTATAGAATGAATCCATTCTTGAATGATAAATAATTCAATCTTCATATCTCTTCTATCTGTCTATTTCAACTCCTTTTTCTCCTTTACCTCCTTTACCTCCTTTACCAGTCCAGACCTATTTTGCTATCTTTTTAATTAATTTAACACTCAACTTATTCTTATTCTCTCCATTTGTTTCCAATTAATTGAATTTCTTTTTGATATTATGGTAATGTTGGAGGAGGTGATACTTATTAAATAATTTTCCTAAAATATTATTAAATTTGAATTACCTAATTCTTCATGATAAACCGAGATAGAAAACTAAGTGATATATCATTAATATTTGAAGAGCTAAGTGAAGCATAATCAAATCTTCCTCTTAAATCTGTATATCCATCTTTATGGAACGGTTCTTAATCATTTTTGTTTTTTTAATAAACTTTTACATAAACTTTAGAGAAGTACAATTTAATGAATTTATTATATATCTTTATTATCCTTATTAATTAAATACTCTTATTTAACCAGAGTCTATCATTGTTTAGACAAACAAACTTTTTGGTTAATACTTACAAGTTACCTACTTCTTTTAACCTTTTTATTGTTACAAATAAATTCTCTTTTTATATTTCATTAAGTATTTTAATTTTTTATTAAAATAAACTAAATTATTAAATTTATTTTTTACTTCTTTTAAATTTCTTATCCTTCAAGTTTATGCGTTACACATACATTTGGAAGTACAATTGAAAAATCTTGAATAATGTTCTTCATAAATGGATTATTTGAAAACAAAATTTCAATATCCAATGTATAGTATTATATTTTAACTTCTGGCAAATTTGAGAACGTAATAATAATTGAGTCACCTTCTATTGAACCTGGAAGAGTTTCTTCCTTTTTAATTATTTCTTATTATTGTTATTAAATTTATCCTAATTTATTAAATTGATTGTCCTCTTCTCCGTCATATTCAATTAATAAATTAATCATTTCATAAAATAGATTTCTCCAATGTATAACTGGATAACTTAAATACTTTTTACAAATATCTCTTCCTTTTTAAAAATTAGGATATCCAGTGTAAAAGTCTAGATAAGCAGATAAATAATCAAATTATAACTATTATTCTTATTATTCTGCTTCAGGGATTTATGAAAAAATCTAAACAGCTTCATTGACTCTTTCTTATAACCATAAATAATAAATGAGAACTAATTTATCCACTGTTGAGAATTTCTAAAAGATAAATTAAGTATTTACTATATTATTTTCTAAATTATACATTTAGTATATTATTTCTCCTTATTATAGTTAATGTACTCGTTTAATTATAAGTGGAAAATATTCTAGGATTCTAATAGAATTAATTTCAAATAATAAACATTTACAATGTATAAACTTACTTTTTAATTTATTTTAAGCTTATTATGTCATAATCGTAAAACTTTCTTTTTCTATAAATTTACATAACTTGATTATAAAAAACTTGATCATTAAATTTATGATACAATAATTTAGGATCAAATTATTTTATGTTGAAAATATTTTTATTTTCAATATAATTTAAAATATCTTAATTATTATCTATTGATAATACGTCATTTATATTTTCTAGATTAAATTTTGGTTGTTAATCATAAACTTAAAATGTTTTTTCCTTAGCAATTTAAATAACTTTATCAAGTTTAGATATATTAGCTGGATACATTGTACTATAATGCTTTTCACAGTACTCTATAGTAGCTTCAACATTTTAAAAAGTTTAAACTAATTTAGAGCGCATGGATTCATATCTACAAGCTCTAATTTTACCCTTTTGCTGTTGATTTTCTTGCTGTTTATCTAGTTCTTCCTGTGGTATCTACTTATTTCTTTTAATACTGCTTCTACGAATACTTCTGCTATAATCTTCATCTTCATCATCTTCATCTTCATCCACTTCCATTTCCTTTTCTTTCTAATAATGTTTTTCTTTCATTTTTTTTTTCTTGACATCTCTCTACGATTTAATTTTCATTTGCTTTTTATAAATTTTAATTTTATTCCATAAATGACAACTGAGACTTCTCATCATCCTATTGATTAGTTATTGTTTTAAAATTCAATTAAAGATATTTAGTCATGACCTAAGCTTCATCTTTTTTTTAAACTATTTCTTAATTGTAAATTATTAAAAGTGCTTACTCTAATTATTAAAATTATTAGACCTATTCATATTATTCTAATGATACATGATCTTAAAGTAAAAAATAATCAATAAAAGATTTCTCAATTTTATTTTTATATGATTTCTTATTACTGTTTCAAAAAATGCCGTGTCTTTAAAATAGAGATGGTAGCGATAAGTCAATTCGTTTATGTTTATGGGATGTTAAGACAGGATAATTAAAAGCCATATTAGATGGTCATAGTAATTATGTACGATCAGTATGTTTCTCACCAGATGGAGCTACTTTAGCATCTGGTAGTAATGATAAGTCAATCCGTTTTTGGGATGTTAAGACAGGTTAATAAAAAACCAGATTGGATGGTCATAGTAGTTTGGTCTCTTCAGTATGTTTCTCACCAAATGGAACTTCCTTAGCCTTAGGTAGTTATGATAAGTCAATCCGTTTATGGGATGTTAAGACAGGATAATTAAAAGACATATTGGATGGTCATAGTAATTTTGTACGATCAGTATGCTTCTCGCCAGAAGGAGCTACTTTAGCATCAGGTAGTAGCGATAAGTCAATTTGTTTATGGGATATTAAGACAGGATAATTAAAAGCCAAATTGGATGGTCATAATGATGCTGTTTGGTCAGTATGCTTCTCGCCAGATGGAACTATCTTAGCTTCCTGTAGTGATGATAAGTCAATTCGTTTATGGGATGTTAAGACAGGATAATAAAAAACCAAATTGGATGGTCATAGTGATTATGTAAGGTCAGTATGTTTCTCACCAGATGAAACTATTTTAGCATCAGGTAGTTATGATAACTCAATTCGTTTATGGGATGTTAACAAAGGATAATAAAAAGTCAAATTATCTGGTCATACTGATTTTGTTTTTTCAGTATGCTTCTCACCAGATGAAACTACTTTAGCTTCTGGTAGTGGGGATAACTCAATCAGATTATGGGATAGTAAAACAGGATAATAAAAAGCCAAATTAGATGGTCATAGTAGTTCTGTATAATGAGTATGCTTCTCACCTGATGGAACTACTTTAGCATCTGGTAGTGGGGATAACTCAATCAGATTATGGGATATTAAAACAGGATAATAAAAAGCCAAATTAGATGGTCATGAACATTATGTCCTATCAGTATGCTTCTCACCAGATGGAACTACTTTAGCAACTGGTAGTAGTGATAACTCAATCAGATTATGGGATGTTAAAACAGGATAATAAAAAACCAAATTAGATGGTCGTAGTGATTCTGTTTATTCAGTATTCTTCTCACCAGATGGAACTACTTTAGCATCTAGTAGTGATGATAACTCAATCAGATTATGGGATTTTAAAACAGGATATTAAATATAACCTTCAGGTTAAAAATACAAAAATCTACTAGCATAATTTATAAATTAAAATAACCCCTTTGCAGAAGGTAATAATTTTTAATTACTTCTTTTTTAAATATACTCCTAATTTCCCAATCCCTAATATTTTAAGCAAAAACACCTCTGAAAATATTGACAGCATGAAACACAAAATATATTGTTTACTAACTTTAATAATTTTATTCTTTCTGCCAAATATTCTGAATAAACATTACATTTTATTTTAAAAAATACTCCATAATTATTAGCATTCTTGAAAAAGATAAATATAAAATTATAAATCGCAGATAAAGTTTGTGAACTGATTTATCAAGAGGGGATAAAAGGTGTTGAAAAGTTATTAAATCTAATATATTCTTTTAAATTCAATAATACTTGCATATACATATATGGCTTAAATTATTTACCATTAATTATTAATATTCTAATTAAATATCAAAATGATAAAGGTTAATTATATTAGAAATTGATTTATCCATAAATAATATAGAAGATGAAGGTGTAAAATATTTGGCAAAATTATTCACGAGATGAAACAACTTTTTCTTCTTTGGAATGAGATCTGTAAATCGATTTAGTAACCTAAAAGAAATTGAGAAATATTAGTATGAATTGTCGATAAAATTAAATTGGATTGAATGGAATGGAGTTATTGTATAATTGCTTTGGATAAGCTACTTAGTTAGAAACAGTAAACCTAATTCTGGATATGTAATTAATGTATAAAAAATTAGTAATCCATTAGGTGATATGGGTGTAAATACTTTATTTAATGTTTTATGTAAGTTAAAAGAGTTACAGAGATCAGTGATTGTGATGTTATTTTCAATAAAGTCTTGCACTGAATTGTAATTATAACATGTCAATTTCTTAAATTAGATGATATAATTAATATTAGAAATGATACTGATTTTGCTAATGAAATCAATTAAAAAGTTTCAATTATTAGAGATTTAATCAATTGTAAATTAATAAATAAAGTGCTTAATGATCTTAGGATATTTGTATCTATTAACTTATAATCAACGATATATTTTTGAAATTAATGTAAATATTAGAATATTAAAAAATACAGAGGAATTAGTAATGGTTTAAAAAAAATTTATAAATTTATATTAGTCAAAAAAGGAGCTCATAAAGATTAAGAATTTTATAATGGAGATAAAATGATATCTATCAAGAATATATAATGGTAGATTTTATTTTATTAATTTACTACCAAATAATTCAAACAATTGATAAGAATTCAAAATTAGATGTGACATTGATTAATCTAGAAAAAGAGATACTAAAATTGCAGGAAAAGTTGGTCAAAATCAAAGAAATTATATATTTCCTTTTATTAAATTTAACCCTAAGTGTCAATTATTGAAGTATTAAATAATTTAATAAGTAAAATTAGGATGATGATTAAATGAAATATTTATTATTTAAGAAATGGATAAAAAAACATGAATTATCTACACAAATAATCTGATTAATATTATTAGGATGCTTTGGATAGTTATAATAATGGAAATAATACTCCAAACATTTATGAACATCCATAATTATTGCAAACATGTTCATTTTCAAAAACCAAATTTTAAAGAAGAACTCTTTCATAAGGAATCTTTTTTGTAGTTATCTATGTTTATTTTTATCGATTTCATTCTAAAATGAGATATTAATGATATAAAGATTCAACTATTAAAATATTTAACTGTATAATAATATATCTAATATAAACAAGGTAATAGAGGTAGTAATAGAATCAAGTAGCTCAATATAATCTTATTACAGGAATAACTTTTGAGAATGCCTCTAATAATATCAAAGAGCATGAAAACCTTAATAATAGGATGATGCACTTAGTTAGTATTTATTATTATTATTATTAGTGTGATAACACAAAGTAACTTCGATGAAGAATAAAACTTCAAATAGCTTAAAAACAGATATTCAGGAGATTGAGAATATTAATAATAATAATAGATATAGCAGAGTATCAAATAATATTATTTTAGGTTAGTTCTATAAGTATCCTATTGAATTATTCCAACCTAATATAGAGAATAAAAGTTTATTAATAGAAATATAATTATTAATCAAATATTTTCAAAATAATTATATAAATTAACATATATAGTGTGAATATAAAATAGCAAAATGATTATATAGTGTGAATGTAAAATAGAAAAATGATCAAATGAGAATTTGATGTTAAATTTAAAATGAGTTAAGAAACTTTGAATGTAATTAATGGAATATTATAAGATGTCCAAAGTTTTGGTTAAGAGGTAAATTAAATATACAATTACAAAATAGAGTATATTAAAATTGCATCATAATGTTATTATGGGAACTATAAGCTACTTTATTAAGTTGATTTACTTTCCAATAAAATAATATGAAATAAAGTTTCTGTTACATTTTCATTTTATCATAAATATACATATAATTTGTAATTCAATCATTTATCCATCAATTAAAATAAGCAAATATTTAATACTTAGTTAGCATACAATTCAGGTTCATCGTTAGAAATCTTTAAATATATAGATTAATTAATATTATATTATATATCTACTAATTCATTAAATTAAACTTCATTCTTAATCATATCAAGAATTTCATCCACTGTATTATTAGTAGGATCTGAAAATACTTCACTAACTTTCTTTCAGTGTGAATCTATATCTTAACTTAATTTTGATTTTATTCTATAATACAACATTTATCTCTTATCAAATTCAACAGTTTTGATTTATACAGAAGCTTATTCAAATACTGTACATCCAATTCATAATTGCATCTTTTCTAATCTAATCTATTATAGAATTCAAATTAATAATGCCATTTAGATATCCTTTAATGGATTTGCTCGTAAGATACAGTTAATTAGATATATATATTATATATATTAATATTTCTATATAAACATTATTCATTTAATAGAGTGAAGTACCTTATGTTTTTTAAGCTTTTATTGGCATCTTGATGTCTACTGAATCTGACAAACGCATACTTAGCTTTGCTTTCAAGATCGACTTTGATCAAGTTACTAATTAGAGGACCATAAAAATTTATTCAAATTAGTACATATTTCAGTTTCCTTTATTTATTTATAATTAACTTATACATTACAATTATTCTCTAAATCAATTAGTATTTAATGAAATCCAAAAATTCTTGATGCATAAATTACATCTCTTTTGTTTCATTTGTATCTTTCTTTATAAATCTCTTCACAATTATTTATGACTTTTAATTTTATTGCACTTTTCCTTCATTTTCTTAACTTTCTGTCAACAACTCATTAGCTTAATCTCTCTTTTCATATTAAACCTTACCATAGCCTGAATTACTTAGTAATTTCAATTAACTCTAGTTTTTATTTTTATCAAACAATAATTTGAGATTGATTCTTATCCCCATTACCTTAAAATTTGTGTAATAAGATAAACTTTAGAAATAATGTTCGTTGAAGTGTATAAGGTAAAGCATAATAACATATTGCTTACATAATTGTTTAACTAAAAATAAATATTGTAATATGAATGATAAGACATTGAAATAGCGCCAAACTATACTTATTTATTATATATTTCATTATGGTTTCCTCATATCAAGAATTACTTTACGTGCATAAGCAGTCTAACCTATTTTAGCATCATTCACTCCAACTTAATAACACTCTTGGTTTAGCTTATTCAACTAATTACTTGTTATTATTATTAAAAAACTATTATTACCTCTTCTATTCTTTCTGCTTAATATGATTAAACAATTTCTGCAATTTCAGCTTTATATTTTAATCATTCATTATATTTTAGCTTAATCTAATTATTCTTATTATTTTATTCTATTCCTCTTCTTTTTATTATTATAATATTTATTATTTCTTTTGATATTCAATACATCTATAATTATAATAATAAATATAATATTAACTTATCTTCTATTTCTTCTGCTTTTCTGATTCTTTATTGTTTCAATTATAAATATTCCATTCATCTCTAATTTTTTTAATTTCATTCTATTACATATCATTTAATAACTATTCTGATTTATTTTATAATTGCTAATTTTATATCAATTATTACTGAATATTCAATCTTTCAATTGTGTGATAAAATTGTTAATCTCTAATTGATATCTTTTGTTTTCTGCTGTAATCAACAATTTCTTATAATTCAGGATGACTCTTTTTTGAAAATGAAGCAGATCTGCATTTTTCAGCAAGAATATCAGCTTGCCATATCAAAATAACTATATTCACAATACAATATTCTCAATTGAAGCACACAATTTTCTTGCCTCATTATATAAATATATTTTTCAAAAGCTTTCTTACTCCAGTACTTCATAGTTGACACTTTATAGAGAAAAATTGTAATTTATGAATTTCAGCTTTCTTCTGTTGTATATTCCTCAAAATAATAGGATGTGTAAGCATCTAAATAAATATTAACAATAAAAACTGGGCTTATAAAACAATCAGTGAAGGTAATCATGAATATGTAAGGGGGTAGAAATTGTGGAGAGAGGATGCCTAATAAGGCAGAGATGAAGGCATTTCAAATGAATAAACAAAGAGGAGAAAAGAAATTATTAACAATAATGACAGATTATAAGTAGAGACACAACAAAATTACGGAAAAATAGGGGAAAACAGTACACTACAGACTAGATACTAACTAGGCAAGGAAGATACCGAATAACAAATATTTGATCAAATGTGTAAATAACATGGAAATTTCTTCAATAGAAAGCATATCTCGATACATTTAAAAGAGAACTATAAAAAAGGAGAAGAGTGGAAAAAAATGTGCAGCGAATATGACAAATGAGATGAAATACATTTCTAATAAAATTAGAAAAGTTATAGAGAAAATGGGGAAGTTCCTTTAAAAAAGTAAAAAAAAGGGGTATTATATAAACATTAAATATTAATTCCAAAAACAAAATATTCAAGTTTACAAATTAATTTATCTAAATCCTTTTTCAAATAAGATATTACCCTAAGCGATCTTTAAAGAGAAAGAGGAGTTGTTCTAAAACAACTTGACCTTCTGACTAATTATAAAATTTCTGAATAAAAACAAATTGAAGTGTTAATGAAACTCATAGTAATAATAATTTTTCTAAAATATACAATTTAAGATGATTGATAATTTTATATCATTTTACTAAGCATCGATTATATTGACAATAGTAACAAACTTGTAGGAATATTATAAATTTATTTATTTATTTGGTCCTGTTAAGGAAACCAGAATATACATTATAATATCAATAACTCAATGTTTCCTCTTCCTGTTTTATCTATTCTTCCCTTATTGTTTATCTAACTCTATCTATAATTAATCTATCTCTTAAATCTTTGTATCAAGGAGTTAGTCAAATTTATTCCAATCCTCTTTTTTCCATACTTGGGTTTCAATTTTATTTAAATTAAATTATGTAACTAAATTTGTTGCTAGGTCGATTTTGTCACGTAGTTCTGGTTTTTTTCAGTCAATTTTTCCTATTTATCATTTTTTTTTCTTTAAGTTATTTTATATACGAGAACTTCTAATAGTATATATTTTATTCTGTTTCAGTATATATAATCTTATCTTCCCTAGTATTTATTTGTCTTAAAATTTTTATGAAAATTTTAATTTATTTTTAAACTTCAAAAGATTCTAATAGTTTATAGCTTTAAAGCATCATAGCCACTGCTTTCATCATAGTTATTAGCTGGTTATTAAAAATTCTTGGCATTGCCTAAGAATCATTAGATTACATCTCAAATTTTTGGTTCAACTTCATTAATTAATTTTTTTTAAATATTATATATTATAAACTGATGCATATCTAACCTATTTAAATTCAAGTTAAGCAACTGCTGATTTGATAGAGCATAATAAGTACTCTCCATAATTAAAATAACTTAAAGTAAAATGAAAATTCTATCAAATTATGTAAAATAAATAATTAATATTATGTGAGCCTGATTATATATAATTTTTAATCTCTTTTATTTATTAATTTCTCACGAAAATTTATTTGTTTTAAATAAATAATTATTTTGAAATAAAATAATGAAGAGTTGTATATTTTTCAAGGATGTTGGATATATATGAAATACAAAATTGTCAAGCTTTAGAAAGGAAATTATTAAAAATTAAATAATGTGTTTATTCTAACTTAACTTATGATTCTGGGATTAAACACTTAATTATTAAATTAATCATTGCTTTATTATGTATGAAAGAATATTGAATAAAAAAAAGAGCATCTCTTGAAGCATTTCTATCTGATGGTTAATTATTCATATTTACAGAACTTATGGATCCAATTGATATTAATTATTCTAATATTAAAAATGAGTCTCGGAAAAACTGATATTGCTTCAATTAGAACCTTATTTTTTCAACCTTTAATTTAATGCTCAAATATCAAATTAGATTTTCAATTATAATTTAATTTCAATAAAATGGAATTCTCAATTAGAGAGAGTATCCATCAATTATTATTGAAACAATTTCTCCAATATGAATAGTTGTTAATATGAAAGAGTATTTAGTGAATTAAACAAAAACAAATTATTGTTCTTTTAAAATAAAATTTCACTGTTTATTTAAAGTCTCAGATTAATGAAATAAGTATTTATTCATGATTTATGCACTACTGATGGTATAATTACAAATAGTAAATAACTATTACAGTAATATCTATGATAATCACTGTTAAAATAATTTAAACTTTATTATTAAATCAATAAAATTATTAATCAATTGTTTAATCTGTTTTTTTTTTTATAGTTAAATCTATAAATGAATATTAAGAGAATATTCATACACTAAATATATGTATCATAAATTTAAACATTAATCCTTCTTTTGAATATAATTATTTGATAACAGTGTTTCTATATTGATATNCTAAGAATCATTAGATTACATCTCAAATTTTTGGTTCAACTTCATTAATTAATTTTTTTTAAATATTATATATTATAAACTGATGCATATCTAACCTATTTAAATTCAAGTTAAGCAACTGCTGATTTGATAGAGCATAATAAGTACTCTCCATAATTAAAATAACTTAAAGTAAAATGAAAATTCTATCAAATTATGTAAAATAAATAATTAATATTATGTGAGCCTGATTATATATAATTTTTAATCTCTTTTATTTATTAATTTCTCACGAAAATTTATTTGTTTTAAATAAATAATTATTTTGAAATAAAATAATGAAGAGTTGTATATTTTTCAAGGATGTTGGATATATATGAAATACAAAATTGTCAAGCTTTAGAAAGGAAATTATTAAAAATTAAATAATGTGTTTATTCTAACTTAACTTATGATTCTGGGATTAAACACTTAATTATTAAATTAATCATTGCTTTATTATGTATGAAAGAATATTGAATAAAAAAAAGAGCATCTCTTGAAGCATTTCTATCTGATGGTTAATTATTCATATTTACAGAACTTATGGATCCAATTGATATTAATTATTCTAATATTAAAAATGAGTCTCGGAAAAACTGATATTGCTTCAATTAGAACCTTATTTTTTCAACCTTTAATTTAATGCTCAAATATCAAATTAGATTTTCAATTATAATTTAATTTCAATAAAATGGAATTCTCAATTAGAGAGAGTATCCATCAATTATTATTGAAACAATTTCTCCAATATGAATAGTTGTTAATATGAAAGAGTATTTAGTGAATTAAACAAAAACAAATTATTGTTCTTTTAAAATAAAATTTCACTGTTTATTTAAAGTCTCAGATTAATGAAATAAGTATTTATTCATGATTTATGCACTACTGATGGTATAATTACAAATAGTAAATAACTATTACAGTAATATCTATGATAATCACTGTTAAAATAATTTAAACTTTATTATTAAATCAATAAAATTATTAATCAATTGTTTAATCTGTTTTTTTTTTTATAGTTAAATCTATAAATGAATATTAAGAGAATATTCATACACTAAATATATGTATCATAAATTTAAACATTAATCCTTCTTTTGAATATAATTATTTGATAACAGTGTTTCTATATTGATATTATTAATTATTTTACATGAATAAAGAAATGAAATAAGTTGAACTTTATTCACATAGTCTTTGTAGATTCCTTAACTTTAAATCTTCCATGGTTTCGGAAAGAAAGAACCCTAAAATTCGATCAAATCAATAATTATTATTATTATCAAAATAAAATGATAATAATTAAATGAAGGAAATGTTGTTATCTTATATCATAGACTAAGAGTTGAGTCTATGAGGGATAAATTTTATAATCTATAATTTTATCTAAGACTTAAACTGTAAAAAATGATTGACTAATTAATCAAACAGTTATAGAATAAATATTATCTGTAATTAATGGATAATATCAAATACAATTGATTATCTGAATGTTAGCCTAATCTCGGTGCATTTAAGTCTAAAGATTCATAATCTCAAAACCTATTTATTACTCTTATGGATTTAAAGAAACCTTAGATATTATTCATTAACAATTAAGTTAATCAATAATAAAAGATATTATAAAGAATGTTATCAGAGAATGTCTTTTTACAGATACTCCCAAGTTCCAAAAGTTTATATGATTGATTTTGATAAATAAGGAAGACTAAGATTTTTGATAAGAACCTCAAATATTAATTTAATATAGATATAACCTAGATTAATTAAACTTATTAATTGATTCTTTAATTTAAATTAATAAATGATATACTATTGAAACCGATGTTCGTAATTCAAATGGAAATTAAATCAATTAGAAGATAATTGAAATAAAAAATTTGAGATATTTATTAGGAAAGAAGAGAAATAAGTCAATCGATTTAGAGAAGAGGTAAAAAAATCTAATAAAGTCAATCTTAATAAATTTAATGAATCACATTTAAGTTTTAAAGATTAAGATTCATGATTTTCTATATTTCAATATACATTAGGTATCATTTATTTTATTTATCTTTAGATTACCAGCATGATTAAAAAGCTCAAATTAACATGTTCAATTTTAATAAGAGGAAATTTATATAAATGTTTGGCATTCCTTAAGATAAATTTGTTAGTTTCTTAAAAGAGATGGAAACTTAATAGAATATTCTTATCATAATTATGATCATGGCATTGAAGTAATGCAAGCTGTACATTATATTGTAAAATAATTATTACAACATTTAGGAGATCACTTATTCTATAACATAACTAGTTTTGGTTATTGCTTTCTCATTTATTCAGCTCATACTGGAAATTAAAATAGAAATATTATAGCAAAAAATAAATGCATATGAAGCTTATCACTGAGTACTTCGGCTATCAGAAATCATGATAGAGTGGTAAATTATTTATATTTTATTTTAGGAATTGGAATTGGAATGACATCATGTAGCCTGCAGCCACAACTGTTAAAAATATTTAGAGATTCATCAAACAAATATTTTATCCAATTTTTCAGAACATTTAAGATGCTGAAAGAATTTGAATCTTAGATTGAGTAAAAAGGAAATAATCTAGAAGATTTATCGTTATTTTGTGGAATTATTGCTCATACAACAGATTTTCATGGTACAGAATGAAAGTGGCCTTCAAATTAATTATGGAGTGATTAGAAAATTAGGAGTATAGAGCTTTATTTGAGGATAAAGGAAATTATTGGCATCTAGCCATTTATGAAGGGTTTAGGTAAAGTATATTTTAATATTGTATTTTTAAGTTACATGTTATCAAAAAATGAAATAGGATTTATAAAGGTAATTTTGAGACTATTAAATTATCAAATGAATGTGTTTGAAAAAGGAGCATTCTAAATATGTGTAAATAATTTGATTGAAATCATTTGGAATGGGAAAAATTGTATTAAAAAAGTATTTCAGAATTAGAACATTAAGAATAACAACAAAAATAAGGGTATAAATGATAATATCATAATATTCATTTATTCATGTTTCAATATGTATTTTAAATTATATAATTAAAATATATATTTAATATTAAAATTTTCTAAGTTAACTTTGACTTAAGCAATATCAATAATGTTTGTTTCATTAGTCTATAAATACTACAATATTAGTCTTCATTAAGATATCCCTATGTCTCTATGGTTGCAAGAAGTCTAAATGTAATGCTTTTACATGATATTTATTTTCATTAAACTGAATTCCTATTTTTTTGTTTCATTTTATCAATATTATCACTTTATCTTTTACTTATTTCCAACTTATCATAGGAATTTTACCTAGATTTATTAAATTCAATCCTTAAAAATTGATTTATGAGTTTTATTAAACTTAACTTGTAAATTAAACTAACTTAAATAATCAATAGCTCTCCCTATTAAGTTCTCAATTGCCCCTACAGTAATTCCACCTATTACAACTCCAACTGAATAACCTGATGGCCCCGACCATATTACTAGCGTTATAGTGTTGTGCTAGATTTGGGCTAGGCTAGTTCTGACCAAACCCAGATAAGAATAATTAAGGCTCAAATATTAATTTTCATTAAGTTACAAATAATTGAATCCCAATTATTATAAATTATAAAAATCTCTAAGCAAATATATTTAATTTTAATGATAAAAGTTTATATACAATTTAATTAATTTTATTCCATAAAATTATTTTCAAATACATTAATGAACTAATCAAGAAATCGGACAAATAAAAAAGTAGGAACAATAATACAAATAATTTTTTAATTGATAGCTTTTGTCGTGTTAATTATATTGCTGTTTTAAAATTACTTAACTTATACAAAAGAATTTAGTATGGAAACTCTACAATGCTAAATAAAGTATAATGGGACTTAAGTATGCTTATTAGGAGGTGAAGTAATGATTAACGAAAAAATAATCCCCTCTGAATGTGAGGATATACATTTATGTAATACAATTTTAGCTGCTTTCCCTATAACAATAATTGCTATTGTACTAATAGGAATATCAATAATAACAATAATATTATAACAAACAAATTTACCTTTAAATGAAAAGACTCTCAGCTTAGTGTCTCTGGTTTTAGTTATGATTTCTTCTATACCATTAGTAGTAATAGCTTTTATATTAATCAATTCTAATGTTAACTGGTGGGTGATCTTGACTTAATTTGTGAGTGCATTTTTAATTTTACTTTCAAATATTTTTCCAAAAATTGGATAAAGATAAAAAGAAGAATAATCATCTGAAATAATCAATCAAGAATTATTGAAAGCTGTAGAAATTAAGTAATATACAATGCAATGAAAATATAGAATAAATTAATTTTAAGTAATATAATTTTTTTTACATATATCTTTAAAGTCCCTCACTATTCCATAAAAATTATATTTAAAAAAAATAATGTTGCTATCACTCAATATAACAAATTCTAAGAAAAACACAATTAAACATATAAATTTATTATCAGTAGCTGTGTGAAGTTAATTATATGGCTTTTTTTTAAATTTTACACTGAGAGAATGAAATATGATCGGGAAACTTTTTAATGTGAAATAAACTAAAATGGAAAAGAAGAATGCGAATTAAGTAACAAAGCAATATTTAAAATTAAGTATCAGTTATGAGATCTTCCATTTCTTTGTGTGTAATAATTATTTTTCATTTACTGCAATTTAGAATTATACTTTTGAAATATGGATGATAGTATTTAAATCTTTGGTATAATTAATACTATTTTCAAGCCTTATTTTAATAAATAAAGAAGAACAATAATCATTTGAAATGAGCAATCAAGAAAAATTAAAAATCAATTTTTCCACTGTGCATTTAAATATTGAATAAAATAAAGAAAATTAATATTATTTTCAGCCCATATCTTTTTTAATATATCATTTTATAAACAAGTCATTTTAATTCTAATTAATTCAACTGTTTTTATTGAAAATTTAATTAATAAAAAAAATCAGAAACCTAATTTATTTACATTGATTTTATTCTAAATTGTTTGTGAGTTTCTTCCATCTGTTCTAGTGATATTACTTATTTTTTTTGTATGATACAATTTTTTCCTTTTTTATATCTAAATAACTCATCTTTGATTAGGTGATTCAATTTTGTAATAAATAGCAAAAATCAAAATAATATTTAATATTGAGTGAAAAGCAATTTTTTCTGATCAAGTTTGGTTATAAATTTCAGATATAAAAAATAATTAAATAGAAAAAATAGTTTTTTTAAAGGGTTGTATTTGTAAAATTGATTCTGATAGATGAAAATTGTGATTATTTAAAGTTTTTTATGACATAATGATAATAGTTTAAAAAATAATGAAATAAATATGAATTTAATCATTTTTATAAATAATGTAATAAAAAAGGTATGATTCTGTACGCAAGAATATATAATAAGTACATTAATCATAGCAACTTCAATTATAGTATTCTTCATAGCCTAAATAAGTACCAAGTAAATTTCAAATTGCGTAGATTGGAAAGGATGTTGCATCTACAATTATACCTGCATTTATTGATATGATCAACTAAGAAACTGATGTTTATTATTTATTTGACTCATTCCACTCTATTTTGAATTCTGTCAAATAAGCAGAAGAGGATTCTAATGTAACTTAAAAGAACAAGCAACATACTTTAGATTGGTGGAAAGTTACAGGTTCAAGTTAAAGTTGGACAGGTGTAAGAAATATTTAACCTCTTTCAGAATCTCATATGAAGCAATCATCCCGTTTTCTTGATAGTTATAACAGTAGAGGTTCTGCTATAATAGAAAATCTTAAACGTTAAATAGGAGAGTTGACAGAGGAATAAAAGTTTAAATAAAACTCTCGTACAATTGGTTAAGTAGCTATCAAATTATTTGATGAATAAGATATTTATGTTGAAATGTCTAAGTAAGGGAGAACTTTTATTTCTATATATCAAGTGTAAAATAAGTTTCATAAGTGTCATATGGGTTTTTGCTTATATACTGTTTTTGGAGAATTATAAGATAAAGAAAGTATTATTAATAAAATGTATGTGGCTAAATGGCATAGAAAAAATGGTAACTTTTTAAATCTTGTCACAGAATTTATATAGTATATAATAAAAAATGAAGCAGTCAATAAAATCAAAATCAAAATAAACTCAACATAAGGATAATTGATTAGACATTTACAATAATTAAGCTTTAAACTAGCATCTACTGTACCATTAATCAATTAAATAAAAGTACTAACATTTGTTTTAATCTCAAAAGAATTTAAAATATGAAATTTTATGAAATAATTTTTGTTGTTGTGTTTATTATAATCTAAATTTCAAATTTTAGTAAGAAATGCAAAGTTTGATGTTATTTCATTCTCAAATATTATTATATATTAAATATTAATCAAGAAATGCTTAATACAAAATATTTAGATTAAGAAAACTTGTTTGAATTAATTATATTTCAAGGATATAAGAATCTTGTGTTTTATTGGAATTTTGCTAAAGGAATAGTCAATAAAAAAACAGAAATTCAAGACCTTTTGAAATAAAATAGAATTCAAAACATATATGGAGTTAGCGAAGGTTTGAAGGGATTTAGTCAAGCATTTTCAAGTGAGCCAATCACTAATTTTAAATACTTCTTAACAAATTATTTTAAGTTTACAATTTATGAAATGTGTTCTGGTGTGAAAATCATATTACTCTCAAATATTTCTGATTAAACAGATTATTCAGAAACATTAAAAGAGGTTTATACTAACTATTTAGAAATCATTAAAAGAAACCCATTTTATGTACATGGAGAGCCTTTGGATAATCCTTTGTTTATAGAAAAAATAGTAGAAATTTTTGAGCCTTTCCAAAAAAAAAAATGAAGTTTATTTGCACATAAATAATTATTATACATTCTTTAAATAGATAATGATAAATGTTTCAAACATTAAAATCTAAAATACTTAAAAGTTTTCCATAAAAAGTTTGAGAATAAGAAAATAACAATCACTTTCTTAAAGTTTCATTCATCCAGCCATTTAAAAATTTCATTAAAAATATTTATTAATGAAATTATTCTCTAAAATTATTGATGATGTTTTTTTTCGTATCTTTAATAATTAATAGCATAGATATTATTTTTTTAAGTTAAAATTCACTTTTTATTTGATTAAATTATAAAAAAATATAAATTTTTCATTATTTTAGCATAATTGGATTATTAATTAACTGTTATATATTTATTTAATTTTAACGACATCTAGAAAAATGAGAGCATAATCTCCAACATAGAAGTTTATTCCTACACCAACCATTACAACAACCAGATTAGTAAGTTCTCCACACTCAAATATAAGAGATCAAAGAGCTGATTCATCAGTAAATAGTAGAGTCACAAAAATAACAACATATGCAACTAGACCAAAGACAACAATAACTACAACAACTACCTTTAGACCAGTTATAGAAACAAGGACAGTAAGACTTTGTACAGACAAGAGGTGTTAAGGGCATGAATAACATATAGAACAATTAACATAAGAGAACTAGTAATTACATTAAAGAATTTTTGAACTTTAATAAGAAATAGAACAAACCTCTATTTGTTAAAGACAACATACTAACACATATTCTAATGAGATAGACAATATTAAAAAATTATACGAAGAATCATAAATAAATCATTAATCTGAAATTGAATATCTTACTTAAGAAATAAATCAATACAAAACTTAATTCTAACATTCTGATGATTAAGTAAAATATTTGACTTAACAAATGAAAAAATAAACTATTAATGAAAACTTAGAAAATAAAATTACTTTACTTACTACTGAAATGGAACGTTTAAATGTGATTATTGTCGATAAAAATAATTTTGTTGAGCAACTCACTCAAAAAATAAATGAATTAGACTCTGAATTGATTAATAAAGAAAATATCATAGAAAATTTAGAAAATAATTCTTCAAAATTGAGAAAGTAATATTAAGAAGCTTGTAATTAAGTTGTTCTTATAAGATCAGAGTTAGATCGATAATTGGAGACGATATAATAATAGGAAAGAAATATTTTCTTATTGAATTAAGATAAATAAGCTATTGAACAATATACTTTTCTTTTTGAATAAAAAGAACAATAATTATAGTAATTGCGAGGCAATATTTAATTATTAGAAATGAGATTGTAAGAACAATAAACAACAATTTAGGCATAATATAAAGAAATTGACAATCTTATGCTTAGATTGGATTCTTCCAACTAATAAATTGATTATTATTAAACTGAATCTGAAGAGCTTCAAAAATATAGATCTGTCTTATAAAATGAATTAGAAGTTTCTAAATAAGAAAATACTAAGTTATAAGAATAAATTATCAAATTAAAATAATAATCAACTGACTTAAATAAAACAATAGATAAGTTAAAATCTGATCTTAATTAACAATTGAGTTCAATTTAATAAGACTATAACTTTGAGCTTTAATCAAAAAATGATGAGATGGAATAAAATAAATCCTAATATCAATAAGAATTAACAATCATTTCTAAAAAATTTTAAGAAGAAATCTATTAGTTAAGAATTAATAATGAAGATTTATAAAATGAGTTAAATTAATTAAATAATATTAATTAGATTTTATAGACCACCCTTGATGAAAAAATTAATGAGATTTCTACTTTGAAGAATTAATATACATCATTATACAGCGAATATAATACTTATAAATTGAAACTTTAGGAAGAAAATCATAAATTAAAATTAGAAGTAGAAGATGCTTTAATTACAACTAACTAGTTATAATAAAAAAAAGGTTAACTAGAATAATCGAATACAGAATTGAACCTTATTATTAATTCTTTATAACAATAAATTACTTAATAATAAAATGAATTAAATTCATTTAAATATAAGTCTGGTGAAGAATACTCAAATTTAAGAATCTAAGTTGAATAACTTGATTAACAAAACATTTAATTATAAACTATAAGAGCAAGATTATAAAAAGATTATGATGAAAAATTAAATGAGCTTAAAGAATTGTAAGATAAGTATAATTTATATAAATAAACAACTTAATAAACAATAAAAGATTTAGAGAAAAAAATATATGAATATGAAGAAAAATTATCTTTGTTATCTTCAGAAATTTAAAGAATGTTATTTTAAATAAATTAAAAGAATGATTTGATTTAAGAATAAAGTACAGTATTTGACGAAAACTAAAGAGAAATTTAATTATTAAAAGCTTAATTATAAGAACTTTAATTATAAGGTGAAGAGAAAGAGAGAAAATTGGAATAGTAAATGAATGAAGCTTTGAATTCTTAAAGAGAGAAATTGTTTAGATTTGAGAGTGAGAATTTATCTTTTAAGAGTTTTATAGAAGAATAAAATCATGTCATAGAAACATTGTCAAAATAAATTGATGGTATGACTGGAGACTTGAAATATTAATAATAATTAGATGAAGAGTTATCAAAAAAAAATTCATTCCTCACAAAATAATTGACAGAATTACAATCAGAAAATGCTGAAAATTAATTTAAGGTTGATCATTTATTAGTTGAGAACAAAGCTCTTAAATAGGAACTTGAAATTAGAATAGATACAGAATCTGAGCTTAAATTTAAATTAGATAAACTAATTGAGGAATTAGCAAAAAAGTAATAATAAATTAATGAATTTGAATAAAGAATTAGAGAATATGAATCAAATCAATAAAATGAGGTAGTTTAATTTGAAGAAAAAATAACTTATTATTAAAATGAAGTCGAAACTTGGAAAAAGAAATTTATAATATTAAATAAAGATTATCATAAAACATAAGAAGATTTGATGATGATTTAAGCCGAATTTGATGCATTTAAGTAAAGAGGAAATGCCACAGTAGTTAAGGTAATTATATTTTTTATTTTTAGGAATCTACAAGCTTTGAGGTTCGCAAGTCATCATTATATAAAGAAAATATTACAAACACTAAGTCAAGTTAAGTCAGTTAATCTAGTCAACTAATTGTTAGACCATTGTAAGAAGTTAATATTTGAAATGATTAATATACATACTATTAAAATAGATTTAATAATATAAATATAATGTAGTTTTATAATTTAATGATAGAATGATTAGGAAGTGAAATAGAATTATTTTTATGTTTCTATTAATAAAATTGATGCTTATTTTTCATTAAGGTTTTTCTAAATATTCTGCAAATAAATCTATGTCATTATTATTATTTTCTTCATTACTTGCATTGTTTATTTTTGGAAATTACATAGGAGCTAATTTATTATCTAAAATGCTAGAAATTAACATAATTTTTACTTGAAGCATCTTATATCTTCAACTAAAATTTGGATTGCCAAAATTAAAGCAAATAAAGAAAATGAAATTAATACTTTAAAAGTGCCCATAATGTTTCTGTTTACAATATCTAATATAAAAGGCATAAACACAAAAATTAAATTTTAAAATCCCACTGTGAGACCAAAAGCTTTGCCAAACGATTTTAATTTTATAATGTAGATAATTGCACTCCAAGTACAAACAAACGATAAACAATAACCAATTGCTAAAATAGTTAAGCCTATATGAGGTGAAGTTAAGTATTATATATGGCCAATAATAATAATGATAACTGAAACGATAATTAAGTATCTTCTATAAGTAAAATATTAAACCAAAGGACCAATTATAAAAAGGGATAAGCAACCTAACATCCAAAATAATGCAATATCTAACTCTTCAATTTGATTATTGATATCAAACAATACGGATGCCATAATATACATCGATACATTTACTAGTGTAACTATCGAACAATAGAATGCTGAATTAAAAGCTAAAAGTAACCAAAACATTTAAGGAAATATTTTTATATCTTTGAATTTAAAAAAATAAAACTTATTGATTATTTTTGTATCTTCTGTTAAAATGATATCACTGCTTGGTTAAAGCTATCTGTAAGAAGATAAATAATTTTCATTTTCAAGTTTTTTGTCAATTAAAAAGCCTAAGCACAATAAAATGTAACCAATTAAAATAAAAACTATTCCACTAATTAAGGATATTATTAAATTATATTCTTTTTAAATAATTGGAGTTAAATATATAGATAACACCAAACCAATTTATGAAAAGAGTTGGAGAATACTCAATACTATTGACTATATACTTAATTCAATCTTACAATGCTATTCTTAAAAAAAGGAGCCAAAAATGATGACCATAAGGGTAATAATGACTCAATACCCCAACCTAATAGTAATCTACCTAATATCATTAATAAAAATGATTTAAAATAAACTCCAATAGTAAAAGTCAGCTGTCCCAATATCATAATAGCTAAATTGATTAATAATATTTACACCTACTATATATGTCATAACAATTCTATCTCCTCGACAATCTCTCATTCCACCTGTTAAAAGAGGCAAAAAGGCATTTCCAAAAGCATAGATTATGTAGAGAGATGCAAAATACAAATCAAAATTTATGGTTGAATCTTCTTAAAATAATTATTTTAGGGTTTTATATATTGCTACTGGCTAATCAAAGCAATAAAATGAAGGAATGATTATCCAGATAGACAAAAATAAAACTAAGTATCTTAGCATTGATTATTGTTTTGTATGTATTCCATTATTTTATACAGTTTTATCAATTTGTTTTATTTTACTGAAATTATTACTTTAATCAACATAGCTTTCAATAAACTCTGTATGTGATGCATTCATAATTCTCTATATTGAAAATAAAAACGTATATAAAATAAATATTAATATAATTAATATGGAAACATTAATTGAGAAAAAAAATTGCCTATTACCATACCAAGAATTAGTCATTTGCATTAAGCAAACAGCATAACAATCTAATCCCAGTAAAAGACCTTCATATACAGTTTTATGTTAAGTAATTAAACAAATATATCGTTAGTAATAATTTTAGAAATTAGGTTAATGTGTAGTGAAGGAGGAGAAATGATTATGTATAAATTTATATATGCAAATTCAAATTTTCAATATTATGATTATTATTAATGCTTTGATCTTTTAGAATTTTATTTTTTATTTTAATTTATTACCATTTAATCAGCACTCTCTTTCTACAATTCTTCTTTAGTATGTCTAGATTCAGCTAATGTCTTTTTCTTCTCAACTAAAAATTTACAAATTTTATCTACCTTCAGTCAACATATTATCTAAATCATTTTGATGATCAGATTAGGATTTTAATTCTGTATGTTATTTAGTACCAGATATTTCACTTTTATCATCATCAAATTTAACTGTTCCTTTTTTCTATTTTTTTTGATCTTATTTCGGAATATATTGATTAGAAACTAATAATATATTATCTATTATCTATTCTAGTTATTCAATTTTAGGTAAAAGTGTTGTTTCATCATCATCATCATTAATAATTTCAACACCTATTTATTCTTAAATTTTCTTATATTATTATTAGATTTAAGCTATTTGTTTTTTATTTTAATCAATGCCTCTAGAAATTCTTTCAATTTTTGAATCTTCTAAATTTGCCTATTCTTTAATAGGTGCTTTTGCCATTTATTTAAACTTTTGCAAATACTATTAAATTTTCTCATTTTTCTATTCAGTTTATTCTATCTAAAATAGTTAATTATATTATAACCTCTTAATTGATTTCATTTATTTCTCTATAGATGTCATCAATCCAAATTTCTTAATTATAATATTATTTTAAAATAGCTTCAACATTGTTAAATCCTGTTTCTAAATAAAGCTTATTAAATTATGCCTCATATTCAAGAACTTATTAAGCTACATCTTTTTATTCTTATTATGATTCACTTCTTTCTTTTAATATTGGTTTTGACTGATCCCCTTATTCTGTTAAATAAGGTCCTTAAGCCTGTGATTTTTGATCTGAAGCCATACTTTATTGTTCTTATTGATCATCCTTTTATGGTTTGAATAATGCTGCATAATCTTCCTAGAATTTATTTTATTCTTTATCTGCTAATTCTTTAATTAGTTTTAATTAGTCTTAAAGAAATTTTTACTATAATTCATAATATTATAAATTACCTCTTCTTTAAGCAATTCATTTTATCTTATACAATTTTAATATTCTCTTTATTTAAAAATAGCATCTTTTTCAATTCCTTTAAAGACTGTTGAATAAATAACTCTCTCCCTTCTACTAAGATTCAATTATTCTTTTTCTGCTTCTACTTCTGCTAATTATTCATTGTGCTTAATGTGAATTTATTACAGTTTCAATTCTGCATCTCGAACAGCCTATCATACTAAAAACTGATATTACTTTTTAAACTTAAGTCAACTCACTTCCTGAATTTGTATTTTCTATTTTTGAGATGTCTTTTGCACTATTTTTCATTGCATTTACTAGATTTTCTAAGTCTTACTAATATGATGAAGTAATATAATACCCTTTTTTTAGTTTCTATTTCAATTTTTTGAGCAATTAAAGCACATTCTTCTTAAGCTTTAATTACATTTAATGCTAATTAAGTATCTACAACAGTATTTTTTTATTTTTAATTGATTAATTAATCAGTGTATTCAGAATTGTCTATTTTCATTTATGAGATGAGAGATCTATGTTCAGATTTTGTAAATACCTATTTTGAGTAGTGATTTGTTGGAAATCAGATTTTGCTTTTTAGATGGATGTATTAAGAGTAGAAATCGTTTAACTTTGATTCATTTTATTATTATATATTATTAACATTTTATAGGGGTAATGTTATTATTGATAAATCGTAAATAAATTTAATTAAAAATATCATATGCTTCTTTCGACATCAAAATTAACGACTTCTAAACTTACTAAATCCTAACTATCAAGTCCTTAAAGATCAACTATTAATTATTTAAGTTAGGATCTTGATTCCCCATCTAGATAGCGAATTAAATTGCTTTCAGATAAATGGAATCACATTCAAAATGGAATAGATAAAGATAAGCTAGAAAAAAGAGAAGTGTTGGAAGAACGAATCAAAATTATAGAAGATGTATTAGCATCTGAAAAACCAAAAGATGAATAAAGATTTAAAGTAATTAAGGATGCTGTCTTAAAACTATAAGATTAAGCACATAATCAAAAATCTGATAGAGAAGTAGATTATACAAAACCATATTCCCTAGGCATTTGATGACAAAAAGGAAAAAGATTATAGAACATTATCAGATAACATAGCACTCTCATTTGAATAAGAAAGAAATATAAGAGGTCAAGGAGAGACAAAGTTATAGAAGCAAATCGATGAACGTTTTGCATAGATAACTCTTACAATTACAAGAAACACTCATTAATATGAAGATAGAAGTCAAGCTAAAATATCTGAAGTTTTATAATAAATTTAGGTTGTTAAAAATTAATTGGATTAAGAAAGAAGATCAAGGTATATATTTTAGAATATGATAATAGAGAAGAATCAGCTGAATCCTTATCAGAATAAATTGATAGTGAGATTAATAAATTTTCAGATTAATTATTGGTTGAAAAGAAAGTTAGAGAAGAGACTTAAGGAAAAATATTTAGAATGATTGAAGATGTACATGGTAAATTACAACAAGATATCAATTTTGAAAGAAGAGAAAGAGAAGCAACTACTGAAGCATTACTAAAATTATTAGAAGATGCTTGTATCAAAATAGATAAGAATTTTAGATCATTTTGATAAATATATATAAATAAATTTAAAATTGGAATCTACATATAATTTCCAAAAGATTTTAATACAATTAATAATCAACTACTAACCATCCTTTATATTTTGTTTTATTAAAGTTGCGATTATTTATATTACTTTTCTAGTAATTGATTTTAAGACGCAAATGAAATAACAGTTTTTTTATTAATTTTATTAAATGGTATTCTTGTTTTTGTAACATTATAAGGTTAATTTAATTAGGAATTAATAGAGTTATTTATTGTTTTATTTATATTTATTTGTGATGAGTTATTCCCATAAAATTTAAGTTCTTTTTTATAAAAATAATTTCTGCCTACTGTTTTAGGAGGTCCTCTTGATTATGAATTTCTTTCTTATTATTCTTATTATTAAATAAAAATTTAATTTGAATTAGCATTTTTATTAGGTTCAACAGTTTAATCTCTATTAAGACCATACATCATTTTCAATGCTATTTTCTCTTAAATAATAAATATATATTTACTTCAAAGTATTCTTTAGAAGTTTAAAAGTTGGACAATTTTGATCTTTCAAATTTGTTTCTATTAGGATAGCATTGAACAAAAAAGCCTACATTATTTTTTTCTTATTTAATATTAATAGTTTAGGTTTCTTCTTATTTAGTTGCAATAAGAGAACTATCTTTAGGTTTAGATGATCTCAGTTATTTAAAAATTTGTGTTCTGCTTTTTGATTCTTAATGAATTGATGTTGATTTCATAATTTTATCATCAAGTGGAAATTATGTTTGTTTAATAATATCTTAAGAAAACCTTCTGCCTGATTACATTTAGAAAATCTATCTAGTGGAACTGATTATCTTATCATTATGATGTTCTGAGATAGATTTTCCTAATTACAATGAAGAAATTCTTTAAAGTTCTTAATGTATGCTACCTCCATATTTATGCCATGGACCTAAATTTTCCATATCATTAATAATGTAAGAGTCTTAAGTATTTAAGATAAGATGTACCATCTCTACTTAAACATTCATAAATCTCAGCTTCTTTACTTTCTTTAGACTTTAACATAAATTAATTAAATGGGTAATATTGTTTCATCTAACAGTAACAATTCAAATATAGAATAACCAAATAGAAAGAAACCAAGAATATTTGGAGAGAAAGAAAATAATGAACCAAGAAGCTTAATAAAATTTAAATAAGAAGATTAATCTGATGCTGAATCAGAAATAGTTCCAATTTAAATTCCAGAGATCTCAAAAGAAATGACTCCATAAAAATAAGAAGATATATATAAAGTTATTGTTCCATCTCCAAGAAGTGATTTAGGATCAGAAATTGAATAATTATGGAATAAAGCAGTCTAAGAATAATCATGTTAATTAGCAAAAAAGATTATTACAACTTATTTAGAAGATGGAACTATGTATAATGGAGAATGGTTCAAAGGTACTATGCATGGTAATGGAAATTTGAGTAGAGAAGGACTTCTTTTATATGAGGGAGAATGGAAACTTGGAAAAAAGAATGGAAATGGTGTTGAATATTATACAAGAAGAACATATGATAAAATTATACCAGCATGTTAAATATCAGATAAATAATATTGGAAAGTTTATAATGGCACATTTGAAAATGATAAAATTCATGGAGAAGGAATTTTAGAATTAATTAATGGTTCTTGTGTTTTTGGAGAATTTGCAAATGGATAGTTACATGGATAATTAACTTATGAATGCATTATAAGTAAATAAATAGTTAAGGGAATTTGGAATTAAGGATAGTATTTTAAATTATGATTAAAATATATATTAAAACTCTCTACAGATTCTCATCTTAAACTAAATGTCTTTACAAAACATTGAATGTTTCAACTGATGCATCATAAGAAGATATAAAAGCTTCTTTTTTTGAATTAGCAAAAAAGTATCATCCAGATTCAAATCCAGAGACTTCAATTGATCCAGAAAAATTCAGAGAAATCTAATATGCTTATTAAACATTATCTAATCCAGAAAAAAGGAAATATTATGATTAAGAAAATGGTATCTATAATCATCATCATAATAAGGAATTATTGGTTAATCATTTTAAGGAAATCCAACATTTGGAGAATAAGAAGATGTTTATTAAAAATGGGCAAGAGTCAATAGAGAACATATTAGATAAAATGAAGGTTTGAAACAAAAATCTAACTATTTTAGCTGAATATTCAGATTACTTTGAAAAATAATATTTTAGAAATCCTGACTATTTCAAAAGAAAAGTAGATGAAGACAGTCCTTGGAATATATCTTATGATTTATACAAAAAGCATTATGATATCAAAAAAGAAAAGTCTGAATATGTTTTGCATGTTCCTACAGAAACTACATCATATTGGGAAAAAAAAGCAGATATGAAAGAGTAACAATATTTAATATGTAAATAGGAGAACTCTAGAATAAAAAGCAGAAGATTTAAAAAATGGTAAATCATTATATATTGGTTTGTTTATAACAATGATTATTGGAGGAATCTATTATATTTATCAAGATTAAAATCAAAATAAACAAAGAGTTTCTTCAGCTGGAAAAGTAAAAGAAGGTTCAGGATATAAAGTTAAATCCCTTCCTTTAAATATTGTTTGAGATAATATTTATATATATATATATATAATATCTTTAATACTTTATTAATATTTAATTGATTTATATATCTAATATCAGAATGGAAAAATAACTTTAAATAGCAAAATAAAGGGCTATATAAATTAAGGGAGATAGATATGATGTGGAATTCACTTATGAAATTAATGGGGAAATTAAAAATGATAAAACTTGTTATGGTATGAAAACTGTAGGAGATTTAATGAATAGCATCCTAAAAAATCAATTTGCACATAACTTATGGCCTTTTGATTCAACTAATAATTTATTAGGTTATGATATGTTATTAGTTGAAGTAAAACATATTTCTATTAAACCACTAAATGAATGTATTTATTTCTATTAAGCTAGAGGATATGATATTTGTGCATTTTATTGTAAATAATACTACTTAAACTTTCCTTTTTAATAAAAAATTAGTAACTCTTAGAGATGTAATTATAAAATTAAATTTTAGGCTATCTAAGACTATAATAAAGATAAAGAAAGTGCCCTCAAAATTGAAAATTACAAATTATTTGAATTTACGGGAAAACAAATTAATGAAGAAAATATAGATATGCATCTATTTAAAATGATAAATGGAGAACAAGGATATATAAAATAGCTTGTTTAGTGAATATTTTATGTTAGCATTATTAATTTAATTAAAAATAACAGACAATGTTGAAAAAGGAAGAAATATGGCAATCTATTAAATTATTTCAAAAATAAAATAGAAAAGAATTAGATTAAACTAGGGAATCAGAAGATTAATCATCATTTATTTCTGATAATGAAAAAGAAAATTTATTTAAAAATAAATAACAATCTTGTTAATGCAAATAATAAATGTTATAGTTAAAAAAAGAATTTATGCTTTAAATTAGAGAGTTAAAGACATAACATTAGATTGAAATTGAAAATATTTAAAATCATTTTTAAAAATTGATCAATGATTAAAAACAATAATATGAATAAGAAATTTCATAGTTAAAAGAAGATCTAGAATTTTATATGAGCGAACAAAATGATAAAGAATTATTGCAATTAATTTAAAATGAATAGTAGAAAGATAAGGAAATATTTTAGCAATAATTAGAATTTTAAATTACAGAGAAATTAAAATTAGAATAAAAATTAATGTAAAAATTTTTTTGATTTATTTTAGTCAATGTTAGAGAGAATTAAAATAATATAAAGAATAAGCATAATAAATATAGCCAAGTTAATATACATAGTTAAATCAATAACAATTACAATAAAGTGTGCATAAAAATTGTGCGCCACAATTATTTAGAGATACTAATAGAAAAGTTAAATTATAAACAGAAGGAATTGATAGATCAATAGTAAACGATGATAATAGCAATAGGGTTGGAATATGTAATTCAATAAAAAATTTTAATGCAACTATCAAACATATGGAGAAGTCTCAATAATCTTTATATTGATGATTAATTTTATTTTTAAATATAATGTCAATTAAAATTAAATCTGTGACAGATATTATTGACAAATATGACCATTTTGTTTTTGATATGGATGGCGTGATAGTAATTATATAAATTAATAAAAAAGTGGACAGGTGGATAATTTATTGAGAGTGGAGTTTAGGGAGTGAAGCATTTAATTGAGAAAGGAAAATCTGTATATTTTTTGACAAATAATTCAACTAAAAGCAGATAATCTTATTTTGAAATATTGACCGGTATAGATATAAAAACAGATTTGAATCACATATATTCAAGTTCATATTTAACTGCAGTATATTTGAAGATGAATAATTATAAAAAAGCCTTTAATTTAGGAGTAATTGGGATAACAGAAGAATTATCTGCATAAGGAATAAAAACAAAAGATTCTGATGAGTTTAAGGATAATTAATATGTTACATATGACATATTTAATAGTATTTAACCAGATGAAGATATTGATTGTGTAGTTTCTGGTCATAATCCATAATTTAATTACTATATGCTTTGTTATGCAAGTTTGTGTATTTAAAAGGGATGTAAATTTGTGGCTGCTAATCCTGACAGCTTTATAAAAGTATAAAATCGATTGATGCCAGCTGGAGGATGTATTTAAGCTATTTTAGAGAGAGCAACAGGATAAAAATCTCTTCTAGTAGGAAAACCATCACCTACAGCTTTAGAAATAATAATGAAACAAAACAATATTTAAGATAAATCAAAGATAGTTATGATTGGAGATAATCCTGAAACAGATATTGAATTTGGATGGAATTGTGGAATAGATACTATTTTAGTAACTACAGGTGTTACAAATTAAGAATAAGCTGAACATGTAAAAACAACATATGTATGTGACCATTTATATATATGAATATGATAATTATCATGCTTATTCCTAACCAACTTATAATTCAAGTTCTGCTATTCTTCTTTATAATCCAAGCAATTATTATTATAATGCAGTTTTTTCTCCTTTTAAAGCTGTTATTTGTTATTACAGTCTAGAATTTTCAGCCTTTTAATGAGCAAAATGTCTAAAATCATGATTAAGTAAAATTACCTTTTCATTTCTTCCTCAATTCTCATTAATTCATTTGTTAGAGTTTTTTTAACATCTTAAGTTTTCATACTCAAAACTGATTCAAGGGTGTCTTTTTCAGATTTTAAAATTTAGACTTCTTTTTTATGGAAATTCATTTCATCTTAAATACCTTTAATAGTTTCCTTCAATAAATGTATTTGATACTTCTAAACTCATCAATTTTCCTTTTAGAGAAGCAGGATTTTATTATCCTCCAAAGCTTTATCCTGTTTATCCAAGATCACCTTTAGTGAGATTATTACCAGCTGATTTGAAAGCATTGCTCATTATATTATATAAATATATATATATATTGTTTATGATTAAAATTATCACACTTTATACTTAAATTGAATCTTTTATAATTAAATAATTATATGAATTACTCAATTACAAACATTTAATTTGTTAACTAAAAGTTTTAGAAAGACTTCATCAAAAACTTGAAACATAACTGCAATAGATATTAATACTATAGCACAATTTTACATCCATTCCATAGTAATCCCACAGAGATATAACTTTTCCTGTAGGATCTAAGTCAAATATAGCATCATTTAATTAATTTCTTTCAAATCATTCTAAAAAATATTTAAATGGCTAAATAATAATAAATTTTATACTAATATATATTGAACCTAACTCATAAATTTATGGATAGAAGTTAAAGTTGTATATTATCCACTAAATACTTAGAAGGAATTGAAAGTATTGGATATAATGATAAAGATTGTTTGGCATCTTTAAATAAACATCCAGTAAATCTATTTCAAAATTAAAATTTATACCATTTCCACTTAAGAAAACTTTACTCATTAAATATGAAAATGCTCTATACATATTCTTGATTTTTCTTTTTTAAAAAAATATTTCTTTTTAAAAGAATGAAAATAGAATAATATTTATACATAACTTTAATAAAGGTCCTAATACAGAAAATACTGCTGATTTTCCACTAAGAAAATAAGCTCCCCTCATCTATGATCTCATTATAGTAGTTATTTATTCAAGTTTTACATATCCTGAAACATCATTCAGAATTATTTTCTTACCTTTTTAATCTTATATAGGATCAGTCACTTTTATATATTTATCTTTAATCATTAATATAATAGTTATATCATAATGCAAATTGATTACTATTATTTTTTGAAACTATTTTTGGAAAGCTAATGTACTCGTCTTGAGATAAAAAATAAGAAAAATTTATTCTTAAATTAATTATGTCACTATTTTATAATAATTCAATCTTCAAGCAATTTACGCTTTAACTAGCCTAATTTGGATGAAATTAAATCAACTGCTACAAAAACTACTCTTTTTTATTTAATTCTAATATTATTTATTATTATAATTTTAAATACCTATTTTAAGTATCTGTTTCATATTCATTATTTTTAAGTCTACAATCAGTTTATCTATTTTCTAATTCTTTTGTTTTAATTGCTACTTTTTAATCTACTTCAAATTTCTCATTTGCTCCTTAAGTTATTCTAGTTGATAATGAAGCAACCAAACCTAAAATAATTACAAATTATTTAATACCTTCCATATAAGTTTTATCTTGATTAGCCTAAACTAATTAATCAGATAAAAGAGTCTTTAGAAGATCAAAATTACTAGATCTAAGAGCTTCTGCTTAATCTTCTCTGATTCTTTCAGATTGAATATAATTTTCAATTTATTTCAATATTGAAAGAACTTTTCTTGTTAAAACTTCTGCTTAAGAGGGTTCATCAGCTGCTTTAGATGCTAATTCACTCATTATTTCAAGCATAGTAGCATATCCTTCTAATTGAACCTATATATTTATATATAAATTTTGTTATACATGATGTTTAATTTTATTGACCTTTTAGGCAACTTATGTTAAAGATGTTAATGCTCTTGAATCAGAATCAAATTATTCAGATTCTTCATATTTGAAACTATAAGATTCTTCTAAAAATGAAGGTTTTTCAAATCTTTTTCTATTCTTAACAAGAATATCTAAATAACTATTGAAGTATCCTTTAACTTAATTAACTCCAAATAAAGCTTATTCTAAATTATCTAAAATAGTTTCATAAGCTTAAGTCTCAGTTTCTCTTTTATGAGATTAATATTATAACTCAGCCTTTAAATCAGTAATTTCATTGTTTTTTCTTTCTAAATTTGCAACAGCCTAGACTTTTTATGGATTTAAGGAATCAAGTTAACTTTTGAGACCAAGTGATGCAATAGTGTTTTAATTAATTTAATTTTTGAGTGTAGTGATATCTATGTCACAATTTTATCTTATCCTAACTATTCTATCATCATCTCTTTATTATTCATTTTCAAGAGTTGTTTCAATTCCTTATACCATATTTATAAGATTGGACACAACTGGGTCTTCAGTTTTGAGCTCCATCATTATTGTTTAGAAAATTGTTTATCCAAAATTAGAGCTTTACAATTCTTCAATTTATTAATCGAAGTCCATTGCTAAACATCCTAAAACTAGGAGAGACAATACAATTGAAATTTTCATATATATTTATATATATTAGAATCCGTTTTTATTTATTGGTATTAATATTTTTCAGAATCTTATGCGTTGAATATAACTTTTAGTTTCCATGTCAAATCTTGTTTCAAAGATATCAATGCATTCAACAATAATCTCAAGTTAAACATTTCTATAAAATAAAATTTAATTTTAAACCTTGCATCTGTTTATTATCTATGAGTTCTCTCAGTATCATTACAAGTTTAATCCCAATCTCCTTTTTCAGTTTATTTATTGAAAATGACCTATAAAAATAATATAATATTATTACAGCATCTTAAGTAGCAACATCATTTCTAACTTCTAAAATCTTTTATCCCAATACTTCATAACGAGCATTCAAATCTGCAATACTACCAGCTAATCTTCTATTAGCTAAAAGTAATCTTTCTTTTTATGTTTAAAAATCTAATTCTCTTCCATCATCTGCTTTCATTTCTTCTTTTTATACCTAGAAAATGCTATCAACAAGAGTATCAATAATTTTGACTACTTTTTAAGCTGCATTTTCTTATGTTCCTTCATCTTACAAAACTTCTAATAACATATTAACCATTGTATGAAATCCTTTTTTATGAGGATAATATTTTAAAAAGTTTTAATGATGACTCTTTAATTCAGCAAAACTTGTTTTCTTTAAAGCTGTAATTCCTTAAGATAATATTTATTTAGCTTCTTATAAGGCAGAAATCAATCCTACTAATTCATCTCTTCTTTATTCATATTCACTCTAAATATTATATTAAATTATATTTACTCTTTAAACATTACGAGCTTCTTGCAATACACTAACTCTATCTAAGTTTCTTTATTCTTCTCCTTATTTATCAAATAATTATTATTTCTTATCATTTTATTCTTATTACAATAGAGGTAATCTTTCTTCTGCTGTTGCCTTTCTTTCTTTAGCAACTGTTATTACTGCAGCTGCTGCTTCAGAAGCAGTTTAACAACTTTATAATGAACTCTAAACATCTTCATCTTCAGCTCTCTGTTCGTTAAGAAGATCATCTTTCATTTACTTTAGAAGATGAACAACTGTATCAGCAGGATGCTCTTAAAGTAATTATACTTGTAATGTCTAAATAATTGTTTTTCCAAATTCAGAATCTCTCAATTAAGCAAAGAAATATTCATCTCTTGCTACAATTGCTCCTATTAGCACTATCAATACGATTAATTTCATTTGTTATTTCAATAATTATTAAAAACGAATATATGAAGTAAAATTAATTACATATAATCATTAAGTACCGTATTTTTATATAAATAACCAATGTTAATATTTATTTTGGCAAACTAATCTTTTAAATAAACCTGTCCTTAAACATATGTCATTCTCATCCTCATAGTTTTCTAATTATTGACTTGACTCTTTTATCTAATTATTAAAATTCTCAATCATAAATTAATCAACTCCACAATTATTTCTAGGATGCTTTATTTTCTATATTGTTCTACACAATTTTGATTTCTTCCATTTGAAATTTGTTAAATTCTAATTTAATTTTAAAAAAGATCGACATAATTTAGATATTGTATTATCTTTATCTGGATTTATTGCTATGCTTTTATTTTTTATTCTTTGTTTTAAAAATATTTGCTATTTTGTAATCAAAACTAATGATTCTAAATGACTTAAAACATACTTAATAATTAAGAATTAAATCAACAATACTGAAAATAAAATTATTAAACTAAAATATATAGTTCCTAATAAAATTGATTCATCAAACTTAGCCAAATTATCTAATATAATTTATTGATCTTTTATAAATTAATCATCTGTTTAATAACTAATTAATACACATATATACATTATGATATAAAATTCAGGATATTTCATTTTGTAAACTGAAATCTCATTAAATTCCATTGTCCTTCTATTTTTTACTCTTAATGTACCTCTACCTATATTATCATCATCTCCAAATTTTTTCATTTTCTACCAATCATATTCTGTAAATCCAGTCAAAGAAGTATTATAAATTACTGTAGGATATTTATTTTCTTCATAATAACTACTAACTAATAAATGACCTGTTGAATTAACAATTTCCATTTTAAGTCGTTAATCTAAAAAATAAGGAAGTAAATCAAATGCTAAATCATACCCTATCACTCCAATCATTTCACCCTACAAATTTGTCAAATCTACAGTAAATGCTATTGCTAATTTATTTATCCAATCTAAATATAAGTCTGATAAATAAAATTTATGATTTTCATATTTTGTTCTGTTAATATGATTTATGTACCAAGGTCTTATATGAGCTACAAATTTAGTATAATCTCCACCTCTAAAAACAGTGAAAAATTATTCATAACTTGTGCTTGTAAAAAATGTTTATCTATATAAATTCAAAATTGGCAGACTCTAAGTTATAAGTGAAATTAATTAGAAGTATTACTTATAATCCAATTCATCTATTTACTTAGTTTTGTTACAAAATTTATAACATAAGCTACAATTAAAGATGTATTTATCCCATAGCTTTGGATTATCGATACAATTTGTAGGTTAGGTTATGCTAAAACTATTTTATGCCTATATTTCTATAAAGTGATTTAATTTGTCAATTTTAGATAAAGTGTTGTAACTAAAATTCAAAACTCTAGTAAATGATTATGTTTAGAGAGTATTATATCGCGACATTTAATTTATTGTCTCTAATTTCTCCATGGTTAACGTACTATTTGTCAAAGATTCCTTTGAAAAATTCAAGAAAATCACTAATAGAGTAGTTGTTAACAAAATGCAGAAAGCAACATATAGAACAGAAAAAAGAGTAATTTAGGATTTAATTGTCCAATTTTAACTGCAAAATAATCTATGGATTGCATTCTTTCTTGCCATCTTCGAAATTTATAAAATAAATGTATTAAATAATGATTTTAATTATATATATAATCCTTATAGTAAAGAACATTCATAGAAGTTTGCAAAAATAAATTTAATTCTTAACAATTATTACTTTTAAGCCAAAGTTGAATAATCGATTAATCTAATCAAACTTAAAGTCTCAATCAATATCAATTCTTTAATAATCCATATTCTCTTTTATCTAATACATTTAAAATAAATTCAAATTTTTATTGTGACTAAAAAACTACTAGAGCATCCAAAATTTGTGACTCAAATGTTATTATATAAATAAATTTAAGAAATTTACTCTCAATATGTTATAGATTGATTCTTAAATCATCACCAATTGATAATAAAACTTTACCATATTTTTAAGATTATTTGTATCTAAATCGATAAAATGTACTTTGATGAAATTATTTGGAAAACAATGCTTTGAAATTTGAACTAAATAATGAAATATATCTACTTAAGTACTTAATACAAGCAGCATTTCTTAAACAAAAAATTTATTAATAACCGATAATCTAAGACCTTAATTTTATCCCAATAAGAATCAAAATTTAAAGCTTAACTAAATTAAGACAAGGCTTGAAATGGAAATAAAGGGAGAATTATAATGTTACTCCTGTGCTTCTACAGATTTAATTCTATACATATTTTTAAATATACTTCAAACAATTTAAGTGTAACTCCTATCTTTAAATTACTAATCAATTTAAAATACATAAGTTTAAACAACTGCAAATCATTACCTATTATTAATGCGATTAAAAGCTTTTCAGAATCAACAATAAATAAAATTATATAAAATGATTCGTTCTTAAACTATCAATATCATATAGATGAATATAATTCGATTAAGCTTAAAATATCCTTAATAAAATTTTAATTCTTATACCTTACATAAGTTATGTAACTCTAATCTAGTCATTAATGAAAACTTCATAGCCTTAGATTATGAGTATGTCATCAATGTAAACTATGATATTTACTAAAATGAAAACAAACACTTTACTTATTTTGTCCATATACTGAGTTTGTATGAAAAATCAACCTTTCATTCTTCTAATTTTTATTTAATTAATTTTATTCGCTAATTTTAAATCTAATATTTCTCAAAAACACTATCATAATAATATTTTGGTCTCGTGAACTTAATTTTATTTTGAACATTTATATTTAAATTTTTTCTAAATCTTTAAATTTCATTATTTCCATTCTTTTAACTATTTATCATTAAATATGTGATCAAGTTTCAATAATTTTATTAGTTTATTAATATTTTTTTTTTGTAATCTATTTACTTATCAAGAATATCTTAATAATTTTATATGATTTTCTAATCAACTAATTCGACTACATCAACAGTATTTATCTGATCAATTAATAATTTTGTTTGTAAAATAATGTTTTGCTAGAAATCTAAAATTTTAGTTGTTAAAGTAATTATAAACTACTTTAAATTTAATTGCTTATCGCTTTACCATTTTAAAAATTATAAATATACTTCATCTGATAATTCTCTTATTAATTCAAACTCTTATTCAATAATTATCGAATATGATACTCTATAGGCTTCAATTATTTATTATGAAATAGTAATTTTATCAGTTCTGTGATTAATCAAATTATCTTGATTGGTTAAAACTCAAAAACGATCTTCCGATAAACAGCCCAATTATATTTCGATCATTTATTATTATTAAAATAATATACAATTTAAATGATTTCTTATTTCAATGATTATTGTTATTTTAATCGAATGTGAAATAAATTTATTAGAGAACATCTTAACTATTTCTTCGATCGAAAACTTAAAATCAAAAATAATATGATAATTTGTTAGTAAATTAATAAAAATTGGAATTAAGTATTTTTATTATAAATTTATCCATTTTAATTTATAAATACAATTTATATTCATTCTATCCATTGAATCTTTTCATTTTCTTTCTTTAAAGCTCCTTGGTCATATTTCAACATATGATTGTACTAATATATACTTTAAGCATTAAATTTACATTATTAATTATATATGTGCAAATTTTGTCAATTTTTTGTTTTTAATTTTCTTAACAAAGCAAAATGTCTCTAAATAAAATAATGTAAGTACTCGAATACAATTTACTCTAGAGTTTTCTTTTGAAATTAATAAATGAAATAATCATCTAATACAAATTGTAAAACTTGCTAGTTTCTTTCCAATTCTTATTTCATTTCTTAATTATAATTATCCTAAATAATAAAATAAATATTACATCAAATTAATAAATATAATTGGCAGCAGATTTATATAATATACTTTCTAATTATTGTTTAATTATATAATTTTTAACCAAATTTGTTTTTAGTGCCTGCTACACTAGCCAAACATGTACTATTAGAAAATTATATCTTAATAGAATTTAATCACATTGAATTTCTAAAAATTATAATATATGTAGATTATTACTTGAATTAAATTGATTTCCAAAAATGTATGCTTCAATATCATTAAATATTATTTATCCACGATTATTGTTAAAATTAAGTTTATTTTTAAACCATTAAAATGAGTTAGACTTGATAAATGAGAAATTGAAATAGCGAAATGTTGATCTATTCATAAAATGAAATTATATTTTAATTATTATTATATTAAAATAAAGGTTAACTTTAATGTAATAGTTTATGAATAACAATAAATTATATTTGTATTTCTTAATATTAAATAATTTAAAATGAGTTTGGAGTAGATTCAACAACAGTTAAATCAAATAAAAACTAGCTATCAAATGCCAAGTAAGGAGTTTCAAAATACTTTCAAACTTTTTGAGAGTTGTGTTTCTTCTTTAAAATCAGAGAACTAAGATTAATTAAATCAGGTTTATAAGGCATTGAAGAGATTTCGAAGAAGAATGGAAAATGCATTGAAACTTAATTAGACCGACTATCATGCATTCATAAAAAAATGGAAATCAATGAAATTAGGATTCGTTCCTTTGGTTTATGATGTGAAATTAGATTTCAGTAAAAAAGTAGCAACTTTAAGTAATAACATATAGTATATGAAGAATATGAGGATTTGATAAATATTAATTTCAATCATCACCATTATACAAGTAGGGAGATGTTAAAAGCTTCAATGATGATATTTTAATATTTAGAAGTAATACAGTTATTTTGTATATAAGGTTGAGTAATATGCAAATTACAGTAATTTAGAGAATCTTTTGACTTAAATAAATTTAAACTACAATATAGTAGCTTATCATAATTTTACTCATGCATTTGCTTTATTTTAAGTAAAGAATATTAATAGTTTAGTTATTGTTTTGTGTATATGAGAAATCTGATTTAAAAGTATTTGTTTCTAAATTAGATATTTTTGCGGCTTTGTTGGCAAGCTTAAGTCATGATTTAAATCATAGTAAATATAAATATATAAAATAAAGAGGGAGTTAATAATTTATACAAGATTAAGAAATCAAAAAAGTTAAATAGAAATATATGTGAATAAGCAGTATTAGAGAGTATGCATGTTTCAACTTTATTTAACATAATGTCTGAAAATTAGTAATTAAATTTTTTAACTTAATTACCTAATACATAATAATAAGATTTTAAACGAATAATAGCTAGTTCTATTTTAGCTACTGATATGGGATAACATTTCAATATATTTGGTAGTTTTAAGGATAGAGTGGAAGCAACTTATAGTTTAAGAGAAGATCCAAATATATCTGATCCTTTGATAAAATACAGAGGATTGAATAAAGACAGTTTTGAAGATAGGAAAGTAAATACATATAAAAAGATTATAGTTTATTTTAAATATATTAGTTCATGGTTGTGATATATCAAATCCATGTTTAGAATGGGATTCATATATGAAATGGTCTTTTTTATTGGCTTAAGAGTTTTAAGATTAAGTATATATTATATATTAAAGTAGACTATGAAAGAGGCAACAAAAGGATTGGAAGTAACCTCTATGTTCTAATACAAGGATAAACTAACATTCTTAAATGGCTAAACATTTTTCTTAAGTATATTTTTAAGAATCTAATTAATAGCTACATTTGTTTTGCCATAATGGTAAATGATTGCACAATTATATCCAAGTCTCATTGAATTGCCTAATGAAGTTAAAAAAAATCTAGAGATTTTAGAATAGGAAAAAAAGAAGTTTACCAATTGATTTTAGTAATATTAATAAATATCCAAAAATAATATTGTTAAATGAAGAAAGTTGTAAAAGAGGCTGAGAGAATATCTTCTAAAATATCATCACCTATGATTGTTGATTTATTTGAATCATAAGGATCTGGTATATTTCCTTATTTAAGGAGCTCATTCAAAACAAGATTAGCTTTGAATCAAACAGAATCATGTTTTATTGGTATTATAAATAATAATTCATTAGATTTTAAAAGAAGTTAATTTCCATTATTTGCAAAAGATAGATATTTTGAATTTTTAGAAGCTTATAATAGAAAAGATAAAGTAGATTTAATTAGATTATTATCTGTTCCATTATATGATGTATTATCTTATATAAATATTAGATTGTTAAAGTAAGTCTTAAGGATAATAAGCCTTTACCTTTTAAATTATACAAAGAAATGACAGATGCTTCATTGGTTTAAGCAAGATTGTATTCATAAAAGAAAATGGCATTACAATCATCATAAACATGGCATTAAATTACTGTTAAATTTAATTTTATTGATCCAGAAACAAAGAAAGATGTTATAAAATACAATGTTTTAGAAAGAAGAGAATCAGATAGTTCTGAGAAGGATTGGCGTATATGTAAATTAGATTGATTTTATACCACATATATATTTTATGCTATTTACAAAATAGTATTATTTATATATACAGAAATTCATAAATCCATTACTAATAATTTATAGTTATATTTTATATGCTTAAAATACCTTGTAAGTATCATCCAAATTCTTTTGTTGAAAGAATATGTGCTAGTTCATCTTGTAAAAGAGATCCAACATTATGTTGGGAATGTATGATTGATGAAGGTGATCATGCTAGAAATCATAGAGATGTTATGGTATTTTTGAATTTCAAATTTAGATTGATTTTGATAATTTTACTACTAGATTAGATGAAGAGTTCAGAAATGTATTAGAAAAGAGAAAAAAAGATTAATAATTAGCTATAGAAGGACATTTAAAGTTATTACAAACTAAATAAGATTTTATAGATAGATATCAATCACAAATTAAATTCAGAAAATGTTGGGTTGATTATATTATAGCAGATACATCAAATCTATTTATTTCTTTATTAGAAAAAGTCAAGTCAGAATTATATGAACACTATGATGAAAGATTCCTTTAATATTAAAATTCGTTAAATTTTTTAGTTTAATCTATTCAACATAGATATGGCTTAGTTCCACTTCCAACAAAACAAGAAATGTTAAATACATTATAAGAATTATCTAAATAAAATAAAGAATGTAATACATATGTGACTGATTTAAAAATTAAATTATTGCCACCAGAAGATTTAGCTAAAAATTTAGCATTTGTTGATACTTTTTAAGAATTTTAAATTTAAAATGATATTATTGAAGAATTAGAAAAATAATGGGCTGATACTCCTTAAGATGATTCAGAAAATCCAACATTTTAAAAAGAATAAAATTTTTTAGAAATAATGAATTCAATTAAATAATAATGTGAAGTACTTATGGATGAATTCATAACATAAATAAATTTGAAAGATTTATTACTTTCAAGAAATACTCAATATTAAAATCCTGATGAATCTCTTAACAGTATTATTAATTAATAACATTATTTTAGTTCTTAGCGATGTGAAGAATTAAAATTCTGATTAAAAATAAACAAAAACACATAGATAATATGATAGTCCAAAACTATTTGAAACTGTTTAACCTAATTCTCCTGTTTATAATGCTGGAATAGAAAACAATAATTCATAAGCTTTGAAATTTTAATCTACTTAATAAAGTCGAATTTCTAATTAATAAAAAATTAAATTTTATAGATCAATTGAAACATCTTAAATGAGAGGTGTTACTAGTTTACTATAAGTGGATTAAAGAACTATTGCTTCTGGAAGTAGAGATAAAACAATAAGAATTAATAATTTAGATGTTCCTTAATAAAGTTATACTTTAGAAGGACATATTGATTAAGTTACAGCTCTTTGTATGTTTTAAGAAAAGTTATTGATTTCTGGAGGAGGAAATCTTGATTCCTCAATAATTATTTGGTCATTATCAACAAGAAAATAAATTAATAAATTAACAGGACATCAATCTGGAATAACATCTCTAATTGAATTATCAGATAATCATAGTATATTAAGTGGAAGTTATGATAATCTAGCTATTATATGGAATGTCTCTTCAGGTAAATCTCTTTGTGCATTGAAGAAACATACTGCCATGGTTTCATGTTTATAACTTGTTAAAAGAGATATTGTTGTAACTGGTTCATGGGATAGAACATTAGCTATTTGGTAATTATATTTTGAAGGAGAAGAAATAGTTTCTGCATCTTACTTAAGAGATATAAAAACAGAAGGGGCTGTTTTATGTGTTAAAAAATATTCTGAAAGAACTATAATTTTTGGAGGAACTTCAAATAAAGTATCAGTAGTGGATTGGATGAATGGAGAAATTAAAATAAAATTAAATACTTCCTAATTTGGTATTTGTGATATAATTTATTCTGATTATCTATTGGGATTAGGTGCTAGTGATTCTACTATTAGATTATGGGTAAATAGTTAAGAAATTGAAGTCTATAGAGATCATAAAATTATTATTAATAATTATAATACTAACCCAAAAATGATTTAAATAGGAAAGAATCATATAGCTGTTATTAATAATAAAGACGAATAACCTCATTTCAATATATTTATAATTGAATGAATATATATTTAAATATTTTAAATTGTTTTATTAAAAAAAAATATGCCTTTGGTGGGGGTCGATCCCACGACCTCGAGATTATGAGACTCGCGCTCTAACCAACTGAGCTACAAGGGCATCTCTGTTTATAAACATTAATCCTAATATTTATAAGCAGATTCATATTCAGATTTATATGAATAAATTTTTAACGAATTATAAATAATTCAAATTTTAAATCGAAATGAGATCCTTTTAAATTAGTAAAGACTCATCATTCAGGTATCCCATTCTCATTAATTTAGGATCTTATGTCCTTCCAATAAAATAGAAATGGAAGAAGAAACTTTAGAAACAAATATCTAGTTAGAAATTAAAAATATCTATAGACCAATCAAAATTATATTTCCACCACCTAATCTACCTAAATTTATTACAAGCACTAAGTATATCTATATTTTACATTTCAGATCTTGCAATTGCAAAAAGTCTTAATGCTTAAAATAGTATTGTGAATGCTTTGCTAACGGATAAGTTTGTTCTGAAAATTGTAATTGTGTTGGATGTTTTAATAATTCTCTCAATAATTCATAAAGAAAAGAAGCTAAATTATAAATATAAGCAAGAGATCCAGGGGCATTCAAATAAGCCTTTAAAGGATGTAATTGCAAAAAATCAGGATGTTAAAAAAAATATTGCGAATGCTTTCAAAATAATTTATAATGTTCACATTAATGTAGATGTGAAGGATGTTTTAATTGTTTAAAATGAGTGTTTTAATTTAATTAATATTTCTTAAACTGTTTTAATTACATTCATATAATCTTAATTTATTTTATCATTATTATATTATATAGAGTTGATTACAAATTTAATAATGAACATATTAAAATCACTTTATTTTACTTAAAGTCTCATTAATTGTTTATATTAATTCATCTCTTTTGGCAAATGTAACATTTTATTAAAGAATATTTAAACATTCTTAAAGTTTTTCTTTTTATAAATTTGAATCGCCAATTAGTTTATAAAAATCAGCTAAGAGAGAACTTTTCTTATAAGAATTTGAAAATTTAGTAAATGCTATGCTTTCAATTTTCTCTAAATTTTTCTTTAACTAAAAATAATAATTTATTAATACTTATTCATTAGATTACTTTTCATTAAATCTTTCCAAAAATTCAACTCTTAATTTTTGAAATTTGATAATTTATTCAATATCTGAAATATAAGTGATATTATATGATTCTGAAGATAATTATACAATATAATTTTTTGCAGATAAATAATCTTTATCTATTATTGCTAATTCTAATAATGTTACAAGAGTTTCTCCATATAATTAATGTGAAGAATCAAAATAAGATTTAAGAATATTTAATTATGCTTTGCACTACTCTTCAGCATTTTTATGATCTCCTTTTGAAAGGAAAGCTTAAATGCGTTATTAATTAAATTCTAATTACATTGGAACATCTTATTTTATTTTTGACATTAATTCATTTAATTTTGAAATATCAGTATCAAAGTATTTATTTAAAAATAGTTCATATCTAATCAAAGAGTATAATGTATTATCGTTTTCTTTAGTATTCTTAGCAATCTCATCAAGTTTATTTTTAATTGCTTTCATATCTTCTACACTCCCATTAGTTTAAAAAAGATGATTAAATTATTCAATTAAAGTAGCAACATAATTTTCATCATTAGGACTCAATAATTTTTATTCAATCAAATAATCAAAATAAGTTAATGCAGCTTCAATCAATTATTTACCATCTTCAAATCTCCCCAATTGCAAACAAGACTTTGCTAAATTTTTCAATATAATAGCTTCATTAATAAGAATATTCATAAAATGTCTTTTTAAATCATCTTCTTTTAATTCAGTTTTAATTGTAATTTATTTAGAGAAGACTAATATTATATATAAACAATACTTTTCCTAAAAAGATGACCAGTATTATCAAGTAAAGTAGCTGCATTTCCTAATTATTCGATTGATTCATTAAATTTTCCTCTTTCTTAACATATTTTTGAATAAAGAGACAAATGAGTTACCATATTTTGAATATGTTATAATTCTTACTCAAATAAATTATCTGTATTAGGTGTTTTATTTTATAAAGAAGCTTAATAAATAGGACATTAATTGTCTAAAAAATATTATAGATATTAAACAGCTTCTCCAGCAGATTATTCAGCTATTGACAATTTATCTAAATTTGACATACAATGAATCATAAATAAACCTGTAAGAAATGCTTGATTTTCATCTTTATGTTCTTTAAATTCATTTCTAAAATCTCCTTACATAATTTCATTCAACAGTTTACTACATTCTTCTCGCTTATCATTTTCAAAATTTAATTAAGCAAGGACTAATAAATCTCTTCTATATCCTTCATAAAATTTACTAAAAATTTTATTAAATTATTATACTTTTCTTCTTATTTATTAGGAAATAGTAAAGTATTCAATTATTTTTTTACATCAATTACATCATACATTACTTTTTCTTTTTGATTATATTCTTCAATCTCATAAAATTTAGAATTTAATTCTGTCAATTTTGTTTTTAATTAATCAATGGTTTGTGTAGCTGTTGAAAAATAAAATCTTTGATATTAATTAATTAATTTGAAATTTTATCCAATTCTTTTACCACATAAATTAGAGCCTAACTTAAATAATTATTTGATCATAATTAATTTTTTATAATTAATATAATTTAATTAAAATTAATTGTGTTTATTACTAATTATGATAGTTTATACTAATACAAATAAAAAAGTTTATTTAAAGCATTTATAATATTATAATATAAGACATAAAACAAAAATAAAAATCAAATAAAATGATTGCTAGATGTAATACTAGAGTATCTTTATTAGAGAATGCAACTTATAGTTTTAAAGAGAGGAGATGTACTCAATTAAGATTAAAATGTCCTTGATTTGACTCTATTTTATGCAGTAGGTAATATGGTTTTTTTTAATCCTATAATACTTTTCATTTATGTTTAAGTTGTACTTAAAGGACTATCACAAGATAGTTTTTCAGCAAATTCATCTGGAAAATGAGTTTTTATCATTAATTTTTTTGGTAATTTAGGATAATTAATTTGTTATTATTATTAATTAAATTATTATTATCTTTATGTTTGTTATGATTACAACATCTATTATTATTCTTATATGAAATTATAACCTCTATGAGTTTTAAGAAAGAGCTCAGATTAAGTATGAGAAGACATCTCATATGATACTTTTATGGGTTATTTTCTAAATTTTAAAGACATTATATCCATTTATTATTTGATTTAATTCATTCTTTATTTCTTTTTATTTTAATATTCCAAAAGATTTCTTTTAGCTGTTGTCATTGTTTAAGGTACTATTTCTTATGAATTATCTTGAATGACTTCTGTTTTAATTCTTTAAAAATAATATTAAGGATAAATGCTAGCTGTTTTTACATCAGTTTCAGTTCTTAAATTTGCTAATTATTATAATTCTATTCTATGTAGTTTAAGATCATCTCCTTATTATTCAAACATTCTTTCTACTAAAGATGTTCTATTAATCTTATAAGCATAACCTTTTGATGTATTACAAACAAGAGAATATTCATATGGTAAATTTATATTAAGATGATAGAAACCAAAAACTTGAAGTTCTCCTATTTCAAAAAGCTTAATTATTAATTTAAATTTACATTAACATTTGTTTGATTAGGTTTCATAATTTTTTTAACCAGAAAACTTCCTGATTTTATTAGAATGAAATAATCAACTTTCTAACCTTCTTTAATAACAATTTAATTCTTTTCAAATTCACATAGAAAAGAATTTAAATATATATGTTTTAATTATGTTCTATGCAAATGTGAAAAAATTCTTACTTATGAAAAATAATCAATATTCTTAAAATAATAAATAAGTGATTTACTTCATCTAATTATTTTTATTATTCTTCTTACAAAATATGTTTAAATTATTGTTTATCTAAAACAGCAAAAGTGCAATCAGTATTACATTAAATGGTAGCAAGTCTTGGTTACTTATGTAATAAGGCAAGTTCACCAAAAGATTGTCCTTTATTAAGAACTCTAACTGCTTCCATTTCAGTTTGATTTGGTTTTCTAACAAGAACAGTCACTGATCCTTCCAGTATGATATAGAATTTAGTACCAACGCTGTCTATTAATATTAAATGATATTAATAAATACCAACATAAAATACAATTTCATTTTCTCTTAATTTTTCACAATACATATTTTTACAACATTTTCTTTGAATTTATTAACCATTTTCTTGTTTCATGTATTATTTAAAAAAAGGTAGCTATGATGTCAATTATACTAATAAATCTATTTCAGCTTTGCTTCTATGTTAAGGACTCTTCTTTAATAAAAACTCAACTTCATCTAATTATTTTTACATTTTTTATAGAAATGATAATATATAATAAAAGTAGACAAATCATAATTAATTTTGATCAGAAATCATTTTTTGTAAATCAAATATTTTTTTTACAATAGTACAAGTTATTTTAATATAGAATAGATTTCAATTATTCTAACAAGATTTTAGTATACTATAATTATTTATTGTATCATTTGTAGAAGTTTATTAAATAAAAGTATTTATTCTCATTTTTTAAATAATGAAAATTGTTTTATTGTTATTGTCGATTTGTCTTTCATTTGTATTAAGTGAAAGTGTAGATGTGAAAAATAAATGCACATGTCCCTAGATTTTAACAATTGAGGAGTGTAGTATAGATTGTGAATGGAATTTTGTTGAAGGTAAATGCAGTGTTTCAAAACTTCCCTTAATAAGAACAAGCTTTTGTAAATACTAGAAAGATAATTGCAATAAGACAATTGGTTGTGCTAGTTATTAAGGAATTTGTGTTCCTTTCACTGGATGTACGGTAATCAAAGAAAATACAAATCTTAAATGCCAAAAATATTAATAACTTTGCATAACTGATGGTACAAAATGTGTTGAAAAAACTATATGTGAAAATTACAAAACTAGATTCTCTTGTCGAAATAATTATGTTGATAATGAATGGCAAGGATTTTGTTATTGGGATCAATAAAAATGCAGAAAAGCATAAAGCTGTAATGAACTTTCATCTAGCTTGAAAAATGATGCAGAATGTAGAAATTAGTTAAAGTGGTGTACATTTAAATAGGGAGGAGGTTGTGAAGATTCAGGAGAATAATGTTAAGATCACAAATTTTAACAACAATGTATAACAAATAGAAGGGGAAACATAAAATGTTACTGGGATGATTAAGCTTGTTATGATTATAGTTGTAAGTATATTACAAAAGATTGTTTAAAAAATGGATGTTCAATAGATAAGGATTCAAAATGTATAGATAGAGTAGAGTGCAAAGATTATATGTTAAAAGTATCATGCACTTATAATAAATAAAATTCAGAGTGTTTTTGGGAAGATAACACATGTAGAATAAAAAAATGTGAGAATGCTAGTACAATAAGATAAACAAATTAATAGTGTTAAGAGATTGATCCATAATGTATTACAAAATTTGGAGGTGGATGTAAAGTGAATGGAGAATGTGAAGATGCTGATAATAAAGCTGGATGTTCTTAAAATAAAAAAGGAGATTATTGTTATTGGAATGGGTATTAATGTGTACTAAAATAATGTTAATGGGCGCCAATTAGTTCTGATAATAAAGATAATTGTAAAAGTTTTAAATAGGATTGTGTTTATAATAATCAACTTTAATAATGTATTGAAGATGGATGTTATGCTTAATAAAATAGAACAACCTGCGTTCAAATTAAAGAATGTAATTGGTAAAATAGATGTGATATAAAAACTTGTGAGACTGCTGGAAAAGATATAAAGTATACTTCTCATTAGGATTGTCAGAATTATTTATCAAATTGTACATTGAATAGTTCAGGAAAAGGATGCATGATGATTAAATATTCATGCACAGATTATACAAGATAAATGCAATGTTTTAAATCGATTATAAGTAAATGTACTTGGAATAATAATCAATGTCTTAATAGTTAATGTGAATATTTAAATTATAAAACACATTATGAATGCAATAGTTATTTGTAAAATTGTACAACTGATGGAACTAAATGTATTTAATTAAAATCCTAATGTAAATAATATACATTAGAGGAATCATGTAATATAACTTCACAAGATTTCCCTTGTTTTTGGACAAAAGACTAATGTTAAGATTTAACTTGTAATCTTATTCCAAAATCTTATAGTTTTAACACTCATCAAGAATGTAATACTTATTAACGATAATGTACTGTATTAGATAGAATTACAGGATGTATTGTAACTCCAAATGATTGTGAGTTATTAAATTAAGATTAATGTTTTGGAACTAAATGCATATTTTCTCAAGGAATATGCAGAGATAAAACATGCTAAGATTATAAAGGTGATGTTACATAATCTAATTGTGAAGCTTATATTACAGGTAAAAAATGTATGGCAGGTCCAGGATTAATACCAAATAGTTGTGTTGATAGAGTAAATTAGTGTAGAGAAATTGTAAATGAATTTTAATGTAATGCTGCTAAAGATATTAATGATGAAAAATGTAGATGGGTATTATCTAATTGTTTAGAATGGTCTAAAAACTTATAAAGAAAAGACAAGGATAGTAGTTGTCCAAATGATTGGATACTCTATGATAATGATACTTTATGTATTAAAACAAAATCATGTACTGATGTAGGAATAGCTACAATTGATTATACAAATGAAATATGCGAAAATTATTCTATTAATTGTATGAGAGATACTGAAAAGAGTTGTAAATAAAAAGAAAAATAATAAAAAGATGGATGTGTTTTTTATTTAAGTAAATTCAATTGTATATTAAATACAAATTGTTATTGGTCATCTACTACTAATACTTGTATTTAGATTAAAAATGATTGTAATCTTTTAACAAATAAAGATGATTGTTAAGGTAATCGAGATATTTCAGGTATACTTTGTAATTGGAATAATTAATCTGAATAATGTGAAGATATTTGTGTTTCATTAAAATCAGTTAATTAAAAATGTTCTATTTTAAATTCCAAATGTGTACTTAAAGGTAATTAACCTGATAAATGTGTTAAATAATTCACAAATTGTTCTGATTATATTACTTCATAAACTGAATGTGAAGACGATTCTAGATGTACATACAAAACATCATTAGGAAAATGCTAAGAAAAATAATGTTCTGATATTACAGATAATTCAACACATTCTCAATGTAATTAATATAAATCAGAATGTACTGTTGCTTATCCAGGAGGTTGCATTAATTTATTACCAAATTGTAGTGATTATAAGAGTCAAATCTAATGTTATATTAATGATAAATCTAAAACATGTATGTGGATAGAATCAAAAGGATGTGTAGAAAGAAAATGTTCAGAAATTATTTTTGATCCAACTAAACCTAAAACTCAATGTTTATAAAATTCTAGTAATTTAAGTTGTAATATAAATCTTTCAGAGGATGCATGTGAAGATTTAAAAGATTCTTGTAATAAATATTCAAACCAAGAATAGTGTCATAAATAATCGGATGATTATGAATGTATATGGAAAAATGATGAATGTTAATAGGCTGCTTGTTACAAAATAGTTTTAAATAATTATTCTCATTTAGATTGTTTAGGATAATTTAGTAAATTAAAATGTACTGTTAATGAATCAAAGAATGGGTGTATAGATATAAAATCAGATTGTAGAAAGTACATAAGCGAAGAGTAATGTTAAAAGACTTTAAATGATGAGGTTTGTGTTTGGAATTAAATTTATTAATCATGCAATTATAAAACTTGTAAAGATGAGATACCAGAAGATGTAAAATGTTCCGATTATCATTCTACTTGCATAGAAGCATAATATCCTTGTAGAGAGACAATTTGTGAAGATTTTTATTATGATAATGACGAAGATTGTAAAAAGCAAAATAAATAATGTACATCTAATGGTCGTTATTGTATATAGAGAGGAACATGTGAATAAAATTAGTATGAATAAGCTTGCAACATTGATATTAATAATAGATATTGTAATTGGAATTCTGGGAAATAACAATGCCATTATATTTAATGTCATGATGCTCCAGCAACAATAATATATTCTTAGGATTGTGAGTTATATTTTCCAAATTAAAATTGTGTAACAAAATATGGAGGAGGATGTATAATAATAACTAGTTGTTCAGATTATTCACTAAAAGGATTATGTGATGATAGTAAATTATTTTAATGTATTTGGGAGAATGAAATTTGCAGATAAAAAGTATGTACAGATTTTAAGAGTGGAAATCTTTTAGATTGTCAATAAAAATAACTTAATTGTATAACGGATGGTACTACTTGTGTTGAAATGAAGTATTGTTCATAATTATCTTAATCGAATTGTTTTTTTGGTATTGAAGGTAATTGTTTGTTTTTGAATGGTATTTGTTAACCTTATTAAAATTGTTAATCAATCTCATTAAAAACTCATTCTGAATGCTATGAGAATATATAAAACTAATGTACAACAAATGGAATAAATTGTATTCCTTTAACATTTTGTGAAGAATACAATGATAAAATATCTTGTGTTAAGGGAATGAATGGTGATTGTGCTTGGAATGATTCTAAATGTTCAATATTTTCATCTTGTGATAAATATTTATTTAAAACTCACCAAGAATGCAATTCAATTAATCAAAGTTGTACTACTGATGGAAATAGTAAATGTATACAACTTAAAGAATGTTCGAAATATGAAACTGAAGAAAATTGTAAATTAGATTTAAAAGGAATAATTAAGAATGGTGGTTTAATAACTTAATTAGATACATGTTTATGGATTAATAGTTAATGTTAAAATATTAAATGTGAAAATCTTTATGGATCTGATCATTAAAAATGTTATGAATAATTATCAAGTTGTACAAGTGATAGAACTAAATGTATTTCTATGAAAACTAAATGTTCAGAATATTCAACTGAGATTTGTGAATCAGCATTCAGTTTAGAAGATGGAAAATGTATTAATATTAATTCTACATGCTCTTAATTTGATTGTTCTACTATTGTTTTAGAGAATTAATGTAACAATTTAAGTCATTGTAGATTTATTAATAAAGCATGTTAATTCTATAGGAAATGTCAAAATTATAATACAGAAAAAGAATGTACTAAAGGAATTGATGGATAATGTCTCTTTAAGAATTCTAAATGTTAATTAATGACATCATGTACTGATACAAATCTATAAGAATTTTGTGATCCTAAACGTTGTTATTATAATAGTACTTCATCAAATTGTTAAGCTTTTACATGTGAAAATTATGGACTTTAAAATCCTTGTAGTCCATTCTATAATTATTAGAAAACTATCCTTACATATTGTGCTTTTGACGATAAAACTAAAAAATGTATAGAAAGTACACCAACCTAATATAATGCTAGTGACTGTTATACTAAATCATTTAGATATTTCTCTAATTAAAACAACATATGCAAATCTTGTTTACATAATCCTTTAAATCCTCCTAATAATATTACCGATAATAAAAATAATGATACTAATTAAACCAATGATCCTGTAAGTTTTCATGGATTAATAGTTAGTATTCCATTAATTTGGTTATTAATTATCAAATGAATTCAAATCATTATATATTTTATTAAATTATTAAATTATGTTTAAACATGCCGGAACTTCAGAAAATAAGGCTTTAATTGAAGTCAACATTCATTAACTAAATATTAATATATCTGTTCCAAATTGTGAAGTTATGATAGTCTTCTAAAGAGGAGATAGAAAAGCATAAACATAACCTGTACAATTAATTAATAAGTGTGCAAAAATTGAATAAATCTTAAGACTTCCAGCTACATTATATTATGATGTTAAATAAAAAGAATACTAAAAGAAAATGGGTACTTTGATTATTCTAATCAAATATGAAAAAGGAATGAAAAATGCTGGTCAAATCGAAATTGATTTCTCCTCATATCTAAATTAAAAAAAAGGAAAAATTGATGAGATTTCACCTCTTGCTAAATGTCCAGATTCTAATGCTACACTTTAATATACAATTAATTTCTTGAGTCAAGATCAAAGATCTAAAACACCAGAAGCTAATATAAATAATAGTATTCAAATCACTAAATACAGTTAGGGAAGATCAATCCAAAGCTTAAATTACATTATTAGACTAACAGAATAAAATTTTAAAAGAAGATAATATTAGATTATAAGAAGAACTTGATAATTTCAAAACTTAAAATAAATAATAATCAATCTACATACAATAATTATTAAATTAAGCAAAATAAAATTAAGATGCTTTCCGTAATCCTAATTCTTATAAATCTAATTAAGAAACACCGACTGCATAACCAGAAGATTGTCAAAAATGTTATGAATTTTAATTAGAAATAGGTATTTATCATTATAATATATGCAAGAATCATTAAAAAAAATTAAAACAAATAAATCAATTTCTTGTCAAAAATGTTCTAACTTAGAATTATAAATTGAATAACTCAAAAATTAATATTAACAAGGAATCAAGTAAGAAAAATCTGATTCTAAACTTGAATTGTTAAATTAAGCAAACACTAATTTGAAAGAACAATTATTTGAACTAGAATAATAAACCACTCGTATTAGAAAGGAAAATCAAGATCTAAAAAATAAATTAACCATTTAAAATGAGTAATTAATAGATTGCAGAGAAAGAATCTAAGAATTAGAAAATGATGATGAAAATGATAAACGTATTGCTGAATACTAAAAATTTATTGAAAAATCAAATGATAATTTGTTAGAACTTCAATAAAAATTATTTACTTTTTAAACTGAATGTGATTAATTATAAAGAGAAAAAAATGAATATGAGCGATAAATTGAAATTTTGTCTAAAAAATATGATTTTCTTGGTATAATTTTTAAATATAAAAATAGAATTATAATTATTCTAATAAAAATAAAGATACGCAAATGCTATGCATGCATTCCTAAGTTTGGGAGATACAAATGCAATTGATATACTCGAAAAATTCAGTGGGGATTGATCTATTATTTTAATTTTATCTTGTTCAATAAATTATGGCCTTATTTTACTATTCTATATATTTTATTTTAAATACATAAAGTTTAAAAAGATAAAGTTTTATCTTAAAAAAGAAATGAATATATTTTAAATAAATTTGGAGAATATATAATTATGATATTTATTTAGATTAATCAAAAGAAATAGAAGATGAATAAATAACATAAGATGTAAAACTATATTTTTTTTATTGATTGCTATATAATATACATGATTCATTTAATATTATTAATTCTTTAAAGGTTTGATATTAACATGTTAGATTTTGGTTGTAAGTCTCTTAATTGTTTTAATAACTAATTTTAATAGAATAAATACTTATGTATTTTGTGCATTAATATCTTATCTTTGCACAATAATTTTATCGCCATCTATTTTAGCATTAATATTTAAAATTCTAATAGCATTAACCAACCATGATTCAGTTTCTTCTTCATTAAGTTATAAATATGTTGAAAATTGTCTAAAAAAATGAATATATTTATAAGTACTTAATTTAGACACCATTAAAAATTTTAATGTAAGTTGAAAAGAAATAAAGTTTGCATGCATTAATGATTTATATTTTTTTAGATTTGACAATAAAATCTGAATCGATTTCATTTGAAATTTGATTAATCATTTTGATAGCATTATCAAACTAAAATTTAACAATGATTTCTTCAACATAATTAAGTAAAATAAATTATTTAACAGATTTATTTGCATTATTTCCAATAATAGCAAGACTCATATTACCAACAAATTGTTAATTGATTAACAATGCAACAGTATAATAATATAATAAATAAGGTGCAATTGTATGTACTACTTCTAAGAAATGTTCACCAGAGAATAATTCAAGGAAAGCATTAGTATCATCAGAAATAAAACAAACTAAAATTCCTGCATGTAAAAGATCAGCTCTTTATTTGAAATTATATTTTATTTAATCTTCTTATTTAATTAGATCTTTGATAGCTTCAATACATTATGTGGCATTATTGGTATTTTTAAAAAGTCCAATAAGTTTACAATTCTAAATAAATAGATGTAATATTTACTAATCTAGCCCATAGAAATCCATTTCTTAAATGATTTAATTTTTCAGTAACTTCAATACATGGATAGAGATTGTCAACTATTTCTGTAGCTCTTTCATATTCTCCTTAATCAAATAATATTATTAATGCTTAATAGGCTTCTTCAACAGTCCACAAATTTTCTTAGACATAATCTACAAGTGCTCTTTATCTTAGTTTAAGTAATTCTGTAACTGATGTAAGTTTTCCATTTAAATTATCTTGTTAGATGATTTAATCAATTTTATCTTATGGCACACCTATTTTTCTTAATTTCTCAAAAAGTCTTGTACTAAGAAGAGCTTCGTTTTCTTTAGATGTTTGTAGTTGTAAGAATTGTACACATCCCAAAAAGACATGGGGATTAATGAATCTTAAGAAATGGTCCATATATTAAATCAAATAAAATATTTTGGGACTGAATATATTCCAAAGTTGTGTTTTGGATTCACTTTTTTTTGAATATGATGGAATGGCTTCTCTTTAAAAATTTAATAAGTTGCTCCACGTAAATCATGTAAATCTGTCATTGCTTTCTTCTTTTCTTTTGGAGTTAGTTTCTAAAATTCTTCAAATTTTACCATTATATATTTTTATTAATGAGTAATTATCAAATTCAAACTAGAAAATAATTTCTCACATTTAGATACACTTTCATAAACTCTATTATCTTTTTATGATCTTATAAAAGATTAAAATACTACTGAATCTAAAAAGTAATTAATTCATTTAAATTACTTACTTGAAAAAAATTCAATGATTTCAAATTCTTCTATTGATGATTTAGACAATTAAATAATAAGAATTGAAACTTAAGATTCAATAGAATAAAAAGAGGAAGTTATTAAGATTAAATAACAGAAATGCTCCAACTCTTTTTTATTAAAAATAGATTTACAAGAGTGATTTGTACAATGGGGCTTTATAATTAAGTAAAAAAAATCCGATTTATGTGGATAAAAGTTAATAATGATTGAATAATCATATTATTTTATACAAGAAACTTCTTATCCTATTAAGTAAGTTCAATAAAGAATTAAATGAAAATAAAATACCTTTTTAAGATATTTGTACTTTGAAGATTGAGAACCCTAACAATCAGAATATTTAGACATTTATGATATATAATAAAAATCACTCATTAATTCAAATCATATACTATTATATACCTACTACTAAAAACTATGTTAATTTAACAAACATAATTTTATCTATAAAATTTTATGTTAACTTTAGAAAATTTCAACCAAATCTCATTTAAGCCACCAATTATTAATAGGTATATAACCTATATACTCAAAGCCCACGATCTATTAAGGCATGTTAAATTTGTGGAGTTTTACCTGAAGAATTAATTAGAATTAGTATTAAAGAACTCAAATTAAGAAATCCTGATTTAAGATTAAACAAATAGGGTTGGAAAATTATGTGGAAACATCATGAATTTAGAAGATAAGAAACATTAGAATTATGTCTTCAAAAACGATTATTCATTATCCAAACTGGACAAGAAGAAGATTAAATTCATAACTAAAAATCTGAATCTGAATTTCAAATGTAAAGTGCATTTGATTAATAAGAAATACACAAAATATAAGAGAGAACTAAAAGAGAGTTATTATAAATGTAACATGTTTAAAAATTACAATAAGAAATTAATGAAAAGAATTTGAAAAAATAATAAAAAAGATAATAAATAGAATAGGAGAGATAATAAGAATAACTGTTAAAAAAATTAAAATCTGAATAAGATTAAATGAGAAGAGACCAAGAAAAATAATTAAATGAATAATTAGAATAACAAAAATAAAAATAAATTGCCTAAGAATAATACTAAAAAGAATTAGAAAAAGTTCAATAAGGTATTAAGAGATAATAAGAATTATAAGAAGAATGTAAAAGAAAGGATGAGGAAAAAAAAATTAAACTATAATAATTTAGATAAGAATTAAAAAATAAGGAATTATAACATGAACAGGAATTATTATATAAAAAAGAACTTTTATAATATAAAGAAAAATAAAGATTATTTAAATAAAATTAAAAATAATTAGAAAGAACAAAAGCATCAAAATAAGCCTAAGAAGAATTAAATAAAAAATTACGTTAAGTAAAAGAATTATAACAAAATAAAATACTGAAAATGTAAGAAGAATATCAAAATAAATAAAATCTTAGCGAAAACTAGTAAAAGTTATTTGAACAAGCAAAACACTTTAAAACTATTGAGGTTTAGAAGAAAATTTAACAATAAAAGGAAAAAATGTAATAATCAGCTGAAAAATGTAGATCACAGTAAGTGATAAAATTAGAAACTAACATTGAAAAATAAAAGAAGAAAAATGAAAGAATTAAATTTATTTAAGAGTTAAAAAATATTGAACATTTAAAGAAAATAGAAAAACAAGGAGAAGAAGAAAAGGAGTAGAAATAGAAAATAGAAGAATTGAAAAATATTAATAAAGATTAAAGAGTGGAATTAAATTAGAAGATTATACTAAAAGATTTCAAAATAAAAGAAAAATAATTAGAAAAAAAATAATTATTAGAGTAAATCAAACTCTAAGGAAATTCAAAGATGAAGAATAAAAAGTTAGCTTTAGAAAAATTATATTAAAAGTAATTAATGGAAAGATAATTTTTAAAAGCCTGTTTTGATGAAAAATTAAAGTGGAATGAAAGTCTAAAAATATCACCTTCTGAAGATAAATATGATAATGAACTTGATTTAAAACGTAAAAATATATAATACAGAAGCTTCAACAGCCATAACTAAAGATTCATTAAATATTCCAAGAGTTCAGGCTTAAGTCAATAAGAATTTGGAGAATGATGAAAAGAAAATCATTGAGATTTTGAAAAATCCCCAAAAAAAATAAGAACTAAATGAACTTGAAGAGAGATAGTTATAAGAAATGATATAAGTAAAAATTTTCTTTAATAAATTAGTTAATAGAATATGAATAATAATTAGAGGAAGAGAGAGAGAGAATTTTGTTTTAAATAGAAAATTATAAAGAATAAACAAGATTAGAGAAAATATTTTCAATAGAAAGAAAAGAAGCATAGAAGAATATTGAAAATTTATAAAAAAAACATGAACATCAAATAGAAGTTTTATTATTTACTTGATATCTATTCTTCTTATTAATAATATTATAATAAAATATGTAATAAATAAAAATATAATAAATTAATAAAAAAGGTAGTGAAACAGTAAAATAATTAAAATTATAAAGAATATATTAACTTGAAACAATAGTATTCTTAAAAATAGATTTAGTTTGAAGATTATACTGAGATTATATATAAATTAAAAAATTTAATTAAAATGAAAATAAAAGTTATAAAGATATGAAAATAAATGGGTTTGGATTAAAATAATGAAATTACTAACTTTTAATAATAATAAAAAAATAAAGCAATCATTCAACAATAGTTGATTAGTTTTCAAATAGTTTATAAATTGGGTAATTAACTTCTTATTGAACACCGCATTATCCTTCTTTATCATTAATTCTAGCAAATCTAATATAACCTTATTCTCCCCATGAAATTCCCCATGAGTTTTTGATTAAATAATATTCTGGAGCATATCCAACATTAGTAACTCCATGATTTATTGCTTCTTTTCTTGAATCACATTTAGCATTATAGATACCTTTTCTATATAATTAGAAATTGATTCCACTTGCATTAATACCAACAGATAATGCATGTTCAGCAGCAGCTTCAACATAAGCATTTGGATTAAGTGATTCTACATCAACAAAACCACTAAACTAATATCTAGTCTTAGTCTTTTTTGCCTAACATTATTAATCTACTGCAGCATAAGGATATTCTGATCTTATTGCAATACCATATTTTGAAGCATATGCAAAACCATCATACATTTCACCACCATCACATCCTTCACTTTCAAATTCATCTAATACAGCACAATCAACCAATTCTTATTCAGATAATTCTACATTTTATACTCCTGATTATCTTAATGCTGTTTCTAAAGCAGCAACTGCTGAAAATGCCCAACATGATCCACAACTTCCTTAATTTTTTACTTCACTTACTACGCCATCTTTTCTTAAATCTACTTCTACTGGAACTTATTTTCCTTATTTTTTATAAACTTAATTTCTTTATTCTCTTTAAGATGATGATTTCAATTTCAAGTATTTTGCTTCAAATTCTTCTACTGAAAGATCTGCAAAACTATTCAAACCAATTTCATAGGTTTCTAATCCTGCTTCAACTCTTTTTTAATGCTCTTATATATAAGCATAATTTTTCTTAAATATTCCAAATCTATGAGAATTTTCAAATTATGAATATCTCTTTCCATGTTCTCTTTACCAATTTTAATATATTTTCATTATTTCATCTTCCAAAAATGAACTTTATTCACTATTTTAAACTGTGTTCAACAATGATGTACCAGCTAATAATGTTATAGCCAATATTGTTAATAATCCTTTTTACATTTTTAATTATTGAATTCCGTAAACTTATTCAGCATTTGAATGAGTAAATGAGATCAATAATTATTCACGATCACGTCATTAATAATATATTTAATTTTTTTTTATTAATAATTTATTACCTAATTAATTGTGATCAATGATGTAATCATATAATATTAAAAACCATATTAATTTATTTATTATTAATTCTGCTTTCAACATGTTATTCCATATACTAAATAATAGTTTATTATATTTATTTTTCAACTTACTTTATTATAGGTTTTAATCTTTATTCAAAAATACTTCCCATAATAATGACATAAACAATATCTATATACAGAAAATTTTGCTGAAATGCTCTTAAAATAAAAAAATTTTTAATTCTGGCAAAATATTTAAATCATAATAAGAATCTAAAATAGAAAACAATATTGATATTTAGTTCAAAATGATAAAGTTTAATATTAATATATTTTTTTTAAATATTCATACAATTTAATTAAAATTAGTTTTTGAATAATAAAAGATAACAAAGAGTGCCACCAACCTTTATGTTATGAGTTCCAATGCGCAATATTTATTCCATTCTGTTTATGTTAATCTAAATCTCAATTCTAGCTTGATTAGAAAATATTTAAATTCAATAAGATAGAAATTAACTTTTATGTTATAATAATAACAATATGATTTAGTAGTTATAAAATCAATATAAATATTTATAAATAATTTTTATTTAGTATATTTTTGTTTAGAAATGAATATGTTTGAATTTATTCTTAAATAATGATTTAAAATAGAATTGGGTAAAATCGAAACAATTCTAATTATTATTAATTGAATTAATTAACTTAAATACATTTAAATAATAAGAAAAATAAAATTCAATTTTTTTTAGTAGGAGTTAGGAACATTTTTGGTCTGGTAGTATGTGGTTATTGTTTTAATGGGCTTTTACTTGATTGCTTAGCTTATATTGATTATGAAATATCTATTTTTTGTTCAATTTAAGGATCTTAATTGAATATAATAATAGTAAATACCTTCAATAACAGCTATATCTCTTAATCTAAAAATTCCAACTAGATTTTCATAGAAACATTCTATTAATTAAGTTTTCTTATCAATCTTTTAGACTATTACTTTATAGCCAGGTTTGAGAATAAAGTTGTCACCTGTAATTGGTTTACAATTATTAATAGCTGTACCATAAACAAAAGGATTTTATTTGATTTCTTTTGATAAATTCTTTTAAGAATTGATATAATTTGTAAGTAAATGTGCTGGTTTATTTCTAGCAGAATTCATTTAAGAAGATATTTATGAATCTCGTTTAATTTTAGATTTACAATCATCTAATATATTAAATTATGCATTTTTTTATGATTAATTAGTTGGTGTTAAAGATTTCTAAGTATGAGCAGGTGATTTATTTTATTAAGTATTAATATTACTAACTTATCTTGATCTACAATTATTACTTACTGGTATTATTTTATCAACTTAACAAGTAGATAAATGTCTACTAACTTAACATGATGCATCTGTAATTGATTCTTTTTCTGATATTTTAGTTAATAACTAAGGAGCTTATTGAGATGATTAATAATTATCTGTAGATTCTCTTTTTGAATTCTCTGTTTAAGATTAAGTCGCTAAAACTTCAGTTAAGGTATCTTCTTATTTAATCAAAGGAGAAGATCTCAACATACTTTCTGAATGCATTTTTTAAAAGGAATCATTACCAAAAGAACATTTAAAATTTTATAATCTTTAGATTCTTAAATGTTATTATTTCTTTAATGCACTCTCTAATTTATATTATTTATATCAATACCATCTAATTAAAAATTATCTAACTATTCTTCCTCTATATTTTCCTTTATATTTTTAAATGATTTCCTTTACAAATTTAATTTTGGTGTCTAATCATAATTTTCAATCTCATAATTATTTTCTTAAGAATTCTACCTATCTAAATCAAAAATCAAATCTGTTTTCTATATTTTCTCTTCTAATATTAAATTCTAATTTTAATTAATTACTAAATCATTATCTATTTCCACTTTCTAAATAACTAATTCCCAATTATCCTATAATTTTTATTCTTACTTTTCTTCATTGATTATTTATTATTATTACAAAAAAGCACTTGATTTTTTATTTTATTCACTTATAAGTGATTTATCAATTTTAAAAACATTATTCAATTTTCTCATTGCTATGCTTGTATTTCCTAAAATTTTAAAATCATCTACTTTTTGAATAGATTACTCAAACATATGAGAAAATAATAATAAAATACTAAATTAAACTTATAAATATACCTTTTTTATAAAAATAAATTAACTCTCTCCTTTAATAATTACATATCTACAACTTAAGAATTCTATATTTATAATTCATCTGTTTAATTCTTCTCCATAAACTTAAATTGTTTGCTTGACACTGTAAATTTGGAATGTCTACTATTTCTATAGATTACTGATTCCTTATTACATTTTTAAGTTTTTTCAATTTATATTCCTCTAAGGGATTTATTATTCTTTTACTATTAATATATATACTTCTATTTTAACGTCATATTTAAATTATGAATCATAATATTCATATTGGTTAGATAAAGGAAAACAAATTTTACCATAATTATTAGTAAAATCTTCATATATAGCAAGAGCTTTAGCAAATTCTAAATAAATAGTCCATAATTATAAATCTTCATTATCTTTAGCATCAAATAAAAATTTTCTGTCTCCCATTTCTCTTAATTTCTTGTACCAATAAGTTGAACATATTTACAAAGTAAAATTCTTTTCATTTTCCAAAGCTATCACTTAATATATACTTTTTAATGGAATTGAACATAAGGGTAATTCACTATTAAGTGAGTCTGATCTATTTTAATATAATTTAAGTTCTTTTCCATCGAGAATCACGTATCTAGGTACCGAAGATACTCGATTTTAAGATTTCTTAATTAAAACACCTTCTCTCAAAATAATATTTGCATGATTTTAAGATCTATTAAATTTATTTCCAATTTATTTTAATATAATTGATTTAAGTGCTTTACTAGACATATTCTAAAATCTTTAAGTATCTTAAGAACATTTAGGATTGATAAGATTAATTAAAAAATTTGGTTTTGAATTTGATTTGTTTTCATTATTATTTTCAAAATTGATTTATTAATTAACATTAGATTCTGCCATCAACCATTAAAATTATAATTTTTTACATTCTATCAATTCTTCAGTTTCAAAAGGTAAAGGTAACTATTAAATAGCTTCAGCTGCAGCTTTATGTAACTATCTTCTTTATTTAAATGTAATTCTTTAATACAGACAATCTCTCATGAATGGACAAGTAAAACGATAAAATATATTTTATTCTCTTACTTCCATTACTTCAATAACCTCTTTAGCTTCTAATTCATCTAAATATTTTTGTAATTTATTTCCAACAGCATTTTTAAATGGATTTATTTTATTTAATAATTGAATATCAAAAATGTCTCCAATAACACTTGCTGATTTCAATAATAGTTGTTCTAAACAGGATAATTTATCTATGATAGGACCATTTACTTCAATTCTACAATATGGAGCATCTACTATAATACTCTCTTCATAATTAATTAAATTAACTAATTCATTTGTTATAGTTGCATATTTTGGACTCAATCTTATTAAATCTAAGTCAATTAGATTTTAAACAAAATTTAAAACCATTAAAGGATTACCACTTGTTTTCATGTAAATCCATTACATAAAAAGTAATTCCACATCAGTCTTTATTAATTTTGATTTGTTTTCACAAAAGAGAAATTAATTATTAATTTCTTTAGATTAAGTCTCTTAAATAATAACATCATGAATTGATGAAGTAATTCTTTTTCTAATACCACTTTCACCAATTGATTATGAAAATTCTTATTCTGGCATAAATTTTTAAATATTGAAAGAGAATCTAATCATTTTAGCAAATTCATCATCATTTCCTCCTTTTCTTTCAATTCCTCTTAATTACATTAAAATAAAAGGATTTCCATCCATTTTATCCTCTAAAGCTGTTATACCTTCTATAGCAATATCTTCTTAGGATTTCTTTTTTTCTGCAACTTTTGGTTGAATAATCATTTCTTAAAAGGAATCTCTATATAAAGCTAAAATTGTTAGTCTATCATAAGTTTTTATCATTAATCTAAGTATTTTAAATGATATTTAATCATAATTTTAAATATCATCTAAACATAAAACAACTGGAGCAATTATATTAGTATATTTAATAGAATAATTAATTTATCTTTAAACAGATGATTTCATAATATCCCATCCAATTTATTCAGGAGATCTTCCTTCATATAATTCAGATAATTTATTAGGAATTTATTCAAAGAAGTTGCTTAAAAATTGAAAAATTATTCTTTTCATATCATTTTCTTTATCTTCTTCTTATTATCTTTATGGAAACTTTTCCAAATGTCTATTATCATTTAAACCAACAATCTCCTATAACATTTAAACTAAATTAGGTGGATGTATTTTAGCATCTATCATCATATTAAATAAGTCCATATTTGGAGGCTTTTCAACTCTTTTGGCATATAATATAAAAATTTATTTTAAAATACTTCTTAATCCATTTAATTTAAATGTTCTTGTTATAGGATCTAATTACTAAAAGAGTATATGAGGATATTCCCCATATTTCCATGGACTATACTAATTAGAATTGATTTTTTCTTGAATTCTATGTAAAACCTTTTTAGCCAAAATACTCTTTCCACTTCCATAAGTTCCTTTCAAAATTATTAAACTTTTCTTATCAACTCCTCTAATAACCTTATCAATTTAATTCAATAATTTTTTATGTTGATCTTCTCTACCATATAATTAAATAGCAATAAAATCTGACTTTTTTGCAAATCCATATGCATAATTATGAGTTTTAAAATTAGGTAATAAATTACCTTGAGTAGGTTCTACTGGTTTATCTAATGGAACATATATATGAACAGGTGCATTTTTTCCTTTAACCTATGTTTATCTCAAAAAAGCTGTACTTATACAATTACCTGCACTTTTAGCAGTCTCTAAACATAAAAGAATTTTATGAGTTGTTTCTGAACAAGCTGCTTACATTAATCTAGCTGCAAGATTTACAGAATCACCAAGAACTGAATATTCTCTTCTTGATCCACTTGTACCCACTACTCCTGCGAATACAGTACCTGTAACAATTCCTATAGAACATCCACAATTGATTTTTGGAAGTTCTTTATTCATTAATTAGGCTGTTAAAATAGCTCTAACAGGATCATTTTAGTGACTTAGTGGAGGAAGTCCAAAAACAACAATTAAAGTTGAACCCTTATCATCCATTAAAAGTTTATTTAATGATCCTTCATGCATATAAATACATTTTTATACAGTTTTAATGACTCTTTAAATTTATTCCAATCCTTATGCATTTTTAGCAGAATTTAGATCCATTTTTAAATTAACAAACATGATTGATAATCTTCTTAATTCAGCACTCCAAGCTTCTTCATTAATGTCAATATATGGCAAAAGAGCTGCAGGAATATAAGATTAAATTTCATTTCTAATCATTTAAAATTATGATAAAGTTATGTTATTTTTAATTAAAAGTGCATCAGCCTTCATTTTAACTTTTGCTTATTATAGTTTAATAACTTCATAATGTCCCTCATGATCAACTACTTTTTAACATTCAAAAAAATTGTGAATCATATCATAAATTTATTAAGAGATGATGATCTTCCCACCTTCAGTTAAACAATGTTCTGAATGAAAAGCTTAAATTAAAGGATCTCCTGTAGCCAAATATTCCATTCTATTGAATACACCTCCAACATGAATTATATTCATTTCTCCTACTCCAAAACCAATCTTCACACTCAATTAAATCCCTTATTCTATCTAAGCTTTTGTTAATTTTTCTTATATTAACAATGCTGATTATATAGCTTATTTTAATAAGGTTTCTAAATTTTATTAAAAATTTTAATCATTAGGAGGAGGAGGCCAAATAACAATCATTGCATCTATAAATATATAATACTTTTATACCTCCAGCAAATTTGAAAATATCACCACCACTTCTTCCAATACCTTAAACTAATAATTCCATATATCTATTTATTGCAAATGCTATTCTTTCTGCTCCTTCTGTCCCCAATTAACTTAATAATTCTGTCAATCTTGTAAATCCAGATATATCTGCAAACATTACAACACTTTTTATTCTCTACTTTTCTGGTAATTTTCTCAATAATTTATTCATTTTTAGATTCATAAGATGTTATACAACTAAAGCAGGAACATATCCCAAAATGGACATGGATTGACTCTAAAATTATTGAGACATATTTAATGTAAATAATTTATTTATATTAAAGTAATAATATTATTATATTCTTATTACTCTAATATTCATTTATTTTAAGTAATACTGAAAGTATTATTTCATATCTATTAATTTATTAGACAATTAAATTCTTGTGATTTTTGAAAATAGTTTTAAGTAATATTTAATTTATATGAATTAGAATAAAATATCCTTAACCGGCCTGAAATTCAGATAATCTAACTTTTAATACAATATTAATCAAATCAATTGTAATTTCAGAATTTTTGCTAACTTTTGGTGAAAATTAAATATAGTGATAATTATAATTTGATACCACTTAAAATACAAGACAAAACCATAATTTGAACAATAGTTAAACCAGAATAACAAATCAATTTAAAAAATAAAGTTTAGAATAATTTATGGAAAAATAAGGAAGAATTATTTTTTAAATAATAATTTTCTTAGATCTCTCCTTAAAAAATGAGATTCAAGATATCTAAAATGTTATTTTTTTGAATTATAACTATTAAAAGAATATATAAATATATGAAATCTCTAATTTGCAAAAATTAAATTAAACAAAATGATACAAAAACATATATAATTAAATAAAATTAAATAAAAATAGTCTCAATGAATGAGACTTAAAGAAATCTATTATAAATTAAAAATTAGACGATATAAATATAAAACAAATCTTATATTCAATCTATTAATATCATTAGAAATGGCTTTTCTATCTATAATTGATGTATCTGATAATGAAATCTTAATAATAATTACAATCAATAAAAGAAATTTAAACAAGAAGATGAACACCTTATATTGAGAACATAAAAAGGATAATAAGTGCAAAAAGCATTGAATCTTTATTAATTTTATGTAGACTGTACTTTTTAGAATTAAATAAGATATGGTTATCCAAATGGATTTTATAAACTAAAGAATTGAGTAGATTTATTTATTTATGATAGTGGGGGATTGATTAAATTGTATCAAAATTTTCAGCACGCTAATGCAAAGGAATAATTGATTAATTAGGAGATTATTAGAATGATAAAGAAGAAGAATTCAATCCATAAATTTAGGGTTATTCTAAGAAGGACATCAGTTTTTTTTGGATTTGAATCGTGATACTAATTTGAATTTGAATTTTATTGTCTATATACAAGTCCTTATAAATTATATAATTATTATTGAATGCAGTAGAAAAAAGTCAACGATCTTAGAAGAGTTGTATGATTTATTGGAAGTAATGATATAGAATTAATTTTTTAGTCCTATTAATCTGGGTATTTTTAGTGGAGTGTAATGTTAGAAGATTATTTTAAGTTTTTGACTTAAAAAAGATTAAGAAATCAGTATTGAAAGTTTTCCTTATTAAAAAATATTTGCCAGTCTTATTTGTTTAGATTGCGCCTGTTGGATTTTAAATCAGTTAAACTTAGATGAATTAAAGAGATTCAAGATTCGTAATTTTATAGATATTTTTCTCATCGTTATTTAATTAGAGGGGAAAAGTAAATCTATAAATAAAGTTTTGAAATAAGTCAATTCAATTAATTTTAGAGGTCATAAAAATATTAAGGTACTTTAAAAATTAAGAAATTAAGAAAATAATTTAAAATTGCAGATATATGAAGCAGTATCAGGTGTTAATTAAATTTTTAAGTATAAAAAATAGAGATAGATTTGATTTGATGGGCAGATTCTCTGATAGATAAAGCTAAAATGATGAATTTTCTAAATAATGAATGTAAGTTATTGATTAAAACTTTTAGTAAATTAATAATCATGATATTTCAATTAATTTAAGATATAAAAATTCTTATTAACTTGCAAAGTAAATCAAATTACTTAGAAATGTGTAATGAATTTAATAAAGTTTGAATATTATTCTTGTTTAAAATTCTGCATGAAAGATTGAAAGTTTTGAGGTTAAAATTGAAAGATTGTTTAATTTTTGAACAGATTGTAAATAAAAGAGTAGGAAAATAAATATTGGAATTAGATTTAAATTTGATGTTACAAAATATTTGAAGCTTCCTAAGTGAAGTATTAATAATATTTGGTATGAAATGATTAAATCTATGTCTATAGCGTGTATTAATTTGACTATAAATAATTTTGATTGGGACGAATAGAGATGATAAATTTATAGAAAATCCTTGAATAATTTCAAATCATCAATAATTATAGGTTATATTTGATTAATAATTTTAATAATATTTTGCATCTTAAAAGGATGGGCAATTAATGTAGTTAGTGTGAATGTAATAATGGGAAATCAAATTTGCAAGAGAAAGAGATAGTAGTGGTAAAATGTTATTAAATTGTAAGTTAGATAATAAAGAAATAAAAAACAGCAATCATTAATCAAAGGGGTCAATAAAAAGCAATAAGTAAACAGGGGAACAAAATCAATTTAGTAAAGATTAAGAGAAGAAAATAGTAAATAAGTAAGTATCTCTAACAAGTTCAAATAATAAAGAATTAGGGAAATTTGATGAAGTTTGTAAGGAGAAAGAAAATAAAATAAAAGCTGCAATAAAAATATAGAGTAGATACAGAGGATATTCTGTAAGAAAACAGAAATAATAAAATAAGTTAAAAATAGTATAGAGAAATGTGATATAAGGAGCAAATAAGAATTATATGTAGGAGAATTAAGAAGTTATAAATCTACCTCATTAGAATGATGATACATAATTAGAGATGAGAGGACCATACTAATTTAAAAGTGGTGCAATATATGAAGGTTAATGGAAGGGTAATTTAAGAGAAGGTAAAGGAAGATAGATTTGGAACGATGGAGCAAAATATGAAGGGGAATGGAAAAATAATAGAGCTTGTGGAAAGGGTAAGTTTTATCATGTAGATGGAGATATATTTGAAGGAGAATGGGAAATGGATAAAGCTAACGGATATGGAATATATAAGCATTCAAATGGATCAAGTTATGAAGGATAATGGAAAGATGATCTTTAACATGGATAAGGTAAGGAAGTTTGGAATGATGGTTCAAAATATATAGGATATTATTATTAAGGCAAAAAATAAGGATAAGGTAAATATGAATGGCCTGATGGTTCTTATTATGATGGATAATGGTAAAATAATAGGATAAATGGTCGTGGTGTTTATTGTTGGGCTGATGGTAGAGGATATAATGGTTAATGGTAAAATAATTGTATGCATGGATATGGAGTATATACTTGGAAAGATGGTAGAAAATATGAAGGAGAATATAAAAATGATAAAAAAGATGGTCATGGAATTTATTATTGGGCAGATGGTAAAAAATATGATGGGATGTGGAGTGAAGGTAAATAAAATGGATAAGGATTATTTATATTTGCAGATGGTACTTAAAAACATGGTATATGGAAAGATGGAAAAAGAATAAAATGGCTTGAAATTGTTACTTGAATAGAACATATTCACAAATTATGAAATTTATATATATATATATACTTAAATAGTTTATCAAAATTTGAAATCTTTTTTTTAATTTAAATAAATAATAAATGGGCAAAAAGGAAACAAAGGATAAGAAACCAGCATAATTCAAGTAAAAAACTATTGATAACATAAATTAGAAAGATTTATGAATTATTGTCCAAATATACACAAGTAATTATTGTTGGATTAGCAAATGTTGGATCTAAATAAGTCTAAGACATTAGAAGAATATTGGCTAAGAAAAATGCTCTATTAGTTATTGGCAAAAATGTATACATCATTATTAAATATAATATTTCTAGACTCTTTTTAAAAAAGTATTATCAACAAGAGTTCAAGATTTACCAGATACTCATGAATATTATGAAGAATTAAAGAAATTTGGCAATGCAATAAGAGAATTAGATTCTTTAAAAAATTAAGTTGCAGGAAAAGTTGGATTTATCTTTACAGATACACCAGTCTTTGATTTAAAACCAATAATAGAAGAAAATAAAGTTGAAACACCAGCAAGAGTTGGTGCTATTGCTCCAATTGATGTTGTCATTCCACCAGGACCAACTGGTATGGATCCAGCTTCAATTTAATTCTTCCATGCACTTTAAATTCCTACTAAAATTGAAAAAGGTTAAATTTAAATCACTAAAGATTTTGTTGTCTTAAAATCAGGATAAAAAGTTGGGTAATCTTAAGCTGTTCTCTTGTAAAAGTTAGGAAAGAAACCATTTTTATATGGGTATATAATTAATTTTATTATTTTAAGTATGGAAGTTCTTTCCTGTTATGATAATGGATCAATTTTAAATAAATAATAAGTTTCAGTTAATTTGAACGATATTGTAACTAAATTCCAATAAAATGTCTAAAATATTTCAGCTATTTCTCTATAAAATGGTATAATTAATTTTTATTATTTAATTAGGTTGGATTAATGAAGCATCAGCTCCATATGTATTAGCAAATGCATTTAAAGATTTAGCAGCTATCGGTTTATAAAGTGGATTCATTTTTGATCAAATTAAATAATCAAATGCACCAGTCACTGCTGCTCCAGTTGCTGCTAAAGTTGAATAAAAACCAGTTGCACCATAAGCCCCAGCTAAAGTTGAAGAACCAGAAGAAGATGTTGATATGGGAGGTTTATTTGATTGATCATGAAAACAATAGTATATTAATAATACATACAAATAAAATACAGTAGATAATCTCATATATTACATTCATTACACTTTCATATTAAAACGATTTGCAATTTATAATCTAATCTATAAATTATTTTCTCCAATTAAACTTTAAATATGATTATTTATTCACTCTATGATTATTTTCAAATACTTTCCACAAAAAATCCTTATTCTTTTGGATCCTTATATCTTAATCTCTTTCCTTTTATATTAAATAGGGAATTAGATTAATTTTTTAATATATATATACTATTTAATATGGAAAACTTTTGATTAATCTATGTTATCTTTTAATTGTTTTTGGGAATTCTTATATGTTTGTATGTATATGATTCTAAAAAGGATGGAACAACAGAATTTATCAGAAATTTTGTGCCCTTTTTAATCTAGAGGGTCTTTTTAAATCTTTTTCCTATATTTAAATTAATTTTTTTAACTTTTATTTCCTGAATGCCTCCAGAGAACACTTAGGTAACTTAACCTTATTTTAATACTTAAATTACGATTATATTATCTCAATATCACTTGACATTATATTTTTTTATAGATTTCTAAAAAATCAAAACATATTAAGAAAAACAAGACAGATGTTCATGAATATACTGAGGAGAAGAAGAAGGAAATTGATAGAGTGATCTTTTGTTATGTATTTTAATAGGAATATTAATAAATCAAAAAAAACAATTCATTACAAGAGACATATGAGCCTAAGATCTAGAATGTTGTGAGCACAGTAATATTAAAAATGAAGACAAAGACAGGAGGAGAAGAAATCGATAAACTTGATTTAGATAATCTAGCTCACACATCATAGAATTGTGAATATAAAAAAAGTAGATATTTATATTTAAATTATTTAGGTCGATTTCCTGCTCTAATTCAAAGAATTAAAGAACCTAAGTCAACAGCTCTGATATTTGAAGCTGGTAAGATGGTGATAACAGGTACCAAAGGTTAGATTGAAGCAGAAGAGGCTGCTAGAAAAGTTTGAAAAAAGCATTTTATTTAAAGTTTAAAAAACAGATAGAGAAGAACAACAGGATTAGTATTGAAATAGGCGATATTTAAACAAGTAACATAGTAGCCAACAGCCAATTGCCTTACGAAGTAAATCTCCTGAAAATACATGATGATAGAAGTTTATAAGGATCTATCAGCTATGATGTAGATATTATTCTTATAATACTTATTTAGCGATCAGCATTCCCTGGATTGATTTATAAAATGTAAAATCCTAAACTTGCTGCCCTCATTTTCTATTCAGGAAAGATTGTCTTCACTGGGGCAAAAAATGAAACTTAAATCAAAGATGCCTATTGTTAATTATTCAATATTCTCAAAAAACACTCATAAGATAAAAACAATAAATGAAAAATAAGAGTTATTGAATAATTTTTGTTTTGTTTACATAACTACGTCTTTATTATTTTTCTAATACTATTTATATTTGTAACAATTATTCTCATCTCATTTCTATCGAATGATTCTTTTATTATTTACACATTTATGTTTATATTTTATTTACAAATTATATAATACACATTCTTTCTTTATTAATTCTCTTGATACTAAACATTTTTAAAACCAGAAGAATATTAATAAAAATCATTAATTTTATCATTTTATTTTATGAATTATTGATGTTTGAAATTCAATCAGAAAATAGTATTGAAAATATATCAAGATAATCAAAATAATAACATATTGAAATAGAGAAATATTATATACTTGGTTATTTTATAATTGATTAATATAAAATTGAATGAAAAATTCTTAAGGCTAAAATAAGCTATTATTTAGCAAAAGAACTAGGACTACATTAACATTAAATTAAGAAACTAATTAGTCTTCAAATTAAACAAGAAAATCATAAACTTAAGTTATCAATTTTAATCAGTAAGATGTTAATCAGAATCAAGATAAGTTTTATTATTCAACTAGACAAGGCTCTCCAAAAAAGCATAGGCAAACTAAAAGTATATAATAGTATAATACAATAGGTTTGGGTGATACTTTAATGAAATCTACTTCATAGAAATCTATAAAGACTTCTCAAAGAGATTTTCAAGAGAGTAACCTAATTAAAGAAGGGACCATGTATAAGAAGATTTCTCCAAAAATAATCTTTTAAGATAATAAAATAAATGTTTATTTTGTGAAGGAAATCAATAAATTTACACATTCAAATGAAACAAAAATATCATCTTAAGATATTGGTCATAGAGAACAAACGATATAAGAAGTATATAATCCAAGAGTTTCAATAAAAGGGCCAATGATATCTGGTTAAAATTAATTATAAGCCAGAATAACATAAGGAATTCTAAGTGATCCCAAACATTTGTTTGCAGTTTCAACTAAGAAGATTAAACTTGATAAAAATGAGTCCTTGAATACTAGTGTCAAGTCATCCTTATGTAAATTGTTGAAATTATATCATTGACTATATTCATTTACTTTTCTATTAAAGCAAAATTTCTTTAATATTTATCAATTGACAATTCATTTTGAACTTAAAAATATCTAATATATATCAATCATTTAATCATAAATAATCATATTAAAGGTTTTAAACAAACTATTCTTAACTTTATATGTAAATCTAATTTCGGTAGATTTCTTATATTAGGTGTAAGTAATGTTTTAGAAGGTTTAATTATTCTTAAAAAATAAAAAAAGCTGTTTCAAGTAATTCTTTATAACATTTAATTTGTTATAAAAAATGAAGTTTAAAGAATAATTATTTATTATATTTATTGAATAGATAAGCTATTAATTAGGTCAATTAAATAACGATATTTATGAAAATTGTTATATCGTTATTTTGATTTTTAAATAAAAAAGAGATACTCTATAAGATTTTAAATCTTTTTAGTTTTAATTTGTTATAAAATGAAAAAGAGATAAAATTTCAAGATGATAAAAATCGAACAATTTAGCTTGTACCCTAAATTTTAATTAAAAAGTAAAGAACTGAAATTCAGTTTTTAATTTGTTTATCTGTTAGTAATTCAAGTTAATTTAAAGGGAAATTATAGAATTTATTTGTTAAGAAGTATATAATTTTTTTTATTTAGTATTCATGTAATAAATATTAACATGAATTAATTTAGTTAAGTTAGCCTTAAATTTTAATTATATGAGTAATAGTTATTTCTAAAATAATAGATGACGAATTACTTAAGTTTAATAAATTTGGAAGAATTAGTTTCCTTTTTTTGAGTTTTTTTGTAATTTTAGTTAATAATTTTTGTTTATATGGTTTAAAGATCAAAATAAATAGAATTTATAGTTGATTTATGTTGAAGAAATCACTAATTTTATTCTTATAAAGATTAACTTAATTGATCAATTTGTTCAGAATGAATAATTTTATATATAAATATAATTAATTAAATTATGTAAATAGAAGCTGAAAGCAACATAAATATCCAGGAGATTTATGAATCCATCATAAGCCAATAATTCAATATTGGAATATTGAGATAATGGGAGAAGGAATGGTTATTAGAGAATTACTTATTCCCATGCATAAAGAATAATGATTAGTATGAAAAGCATAATAATTAGATTATCAAAAGAGGTTGTATTTACAACAATTGCAATTTTAAATTTAAAATAATTGGAGTAGATCAACATCTAAGATAGCCTTTAAGATTAAGAGATTCTCTTGAAGATCTTTAATTACATAACAAAAGGGTTACCAGATATTAAATCTTTATAATTAGAGGAAAAATAATAAATGTATACATTTTTGATGTAATTGTTTTGCATGCCAGAGACTGAATTTGTATAAAAAGAATGTTACAAATATTTGTCATCTGCATTACTATTAAGTTCAAATAAAATAGTATAAATAGATAAAAAATAATATAGTTTTTAAAATGGCATTTTTTGAGATATCCAAAGATGGTATAATCATATATGAGTGCTTTAAAGATTTAAGGTGGTGGTTAAAAGCCTGAATCTTTATTCATACCTAATTTAGTTTAAGATATGATCTAAATAATATTTAAATATCCAATAAGCGAGGCAAATTGTAAAGAAAATGAAGAGTTAATATAAATAGAATCTCAAAATTAATTTAGAACATTTTTAGAAAGAAATTCAGCACCACTTCCAACACCTAAACATATAATAAAAGCTTAGAATGAAAAATTGTTGTATAGAAAGGTTACATAAACATAGATGAGATACTTAAAATGTATAGAGAAATTTGTAGATTTTATGATTTTATTATTGAGTTCAATTCCAACAAGAAAGTTTTTAAAAATTTATTTGCTTTCAACAAATATATTACCATATTTGAAATGTACATTACCTTAATATCATTCTTGTGTTTTATAGACATTAGTATAATCATTTGAACATTATTTAACATATCCAATAAATGATTAAGATGGAGAGGTATTATCTCTAAAAGATTAATAAGTAATGTAGAAAGATTTCTTAAAAAAATTATAGACAGTGCTTTATAAATAATTTAAGTTTATGGTTTAATAGAAAGAGTTGGAAGAATATTAATTTATAAAGAATTTAAGAAGATCAGAAATAGAAAAGTTATTTTAGATGATGATATTAGTATTTCCAGTTGATTTATCTCCAAAATTATATGAACCTGGAAAGAATTTTGATTTTTTGATTTAAGAAGTAATGAAGGCTGCTGCTCCTCCACCTTATTTAAATCATTATTTAAAAGATACTCCAATAATACCTAATGAATAAATGATATGGGATTATAAACATATTCCTGAAGAATCAAAGAGTGGTGTATTAAAATAAGTATTGGCTTTACCTAAATTAAATTTGTAATTTTTATGTTTTGAAGATTATTTAGAGAGAAATTATAAGTTATTTAAACTTGAAAGTGCATTTGATTTAAGAAAGGATTTTGAAGATACTATAATAAGAATGGATCCATAATTTGATTAAAATGGTGCTTTTATTTATTTTAGTGGATGGGCTAAAGCAGCAACTGAAGTTATAAAATTTAGAATTCATGAAGTACAAACACCTGAAATAGGAAAGAGAATTCCTAGAAGAGTTTATGGAGAAATTTAATATTCAGTTGAAAAGATGGCATAAAATGTAAGAAAAGATTGGGATAGTTTAAAAAAACATTAAGTTGTATTTTTAATAAGTTTTAGAAAAGAAATAGATATGCAAGAATTTTAAACTGAATTAAATGAAAGATAAAATCTAATAGATTAAATTGAAGAGAATGAAGGATGTAAACTCTTTTGTGAAAAGTATGGAATAAGAGCTATAAGAGGTGCTGAAATAGAATTAGTATATGATGAAAGAAGAAGAGAAATTTTAGATTGGGAAGAACCTGATCCTTCTAAAAAGTTTTAAGGAAATTTAAGAATTCTTCATGTATTTTTAGATTAAGCATAATATTAGGATGATATTGATTGTATAATATTAGATTTAATTATTTTTAGCTGGTATTAATGCAGAAGGAGAAATCTATGGTAATTTTAAACTTTTAGTTAAAAGAAATCCAAAAGAAAATAATTTTAAAGCAATTCTTGGATCTATTTAATAAGTGATATTACAAAAACCTAAATTACCAAAGTTTTTAGATGAAATACTTTTAGGTTATGGAGTTGAAGATATTTCTTCATCTTAATATTATATGAAAAATCATACAAATAGTGTGAATTTCAATCTTAGAGATACTGTTATAGATTAATAACATTATATTGATGTAATATAATCAAATTCTTTTATTCCTGAAGAGTTGAAATCAAAATTGAGTTTTAATAATATAAGCAATACAAAAAGAATAAATAATAAAATAAGATTCACTAAACCTTAAATAAATGCAATTGTATCTGCTATGTATCCTGGATTAACATTAGTAGTTGGACCTCCAGGAACTGGAAAAACAGATGTTACTGTTTAGATTGTTAATTTACTATATAAGAATTTCCCAAATGAAAAAACACTCTTAATAACACATTCTAATCACGCTTTAAATGATATTTTCTAAAAAATATCAAAAATGGATGTAGATGAGAAACATATGTTAAGATTAGGTATAGGAGTTAAAGATTTGAAATTAAGTAAAACTTTTTCAAGAGAAGGCAGAATTGATCATATGTTGACTAGAAGATTATAATTATTAGAAATAGTTGGGTAAATATAAAAAAGTGTAAAAATAATGTTTTCAGAAGAGTATTCTTGTGAAGTCTCAGAAATATTTTTTAAATTACATATTCAAAGATTATGGAATAATTATCAAGAAAAGATTGAATAAGATCCAAATTTTACTTTTCCTTTTACTGCTTTTGTTGAATAAAATCCATAACTTTTTGAAAAGGCATAAACAAAAGAAGAATAATATAAAATTATTGAAGATATTTTTGGATAAGTAAGAGAATGTAGACCATTTGAATTATTGAGAAATAAAAAGGAAAGAGGAAATTATATTATATGTCATTAAGCAAAAATTATTGCTATGACTTGTACACATGCTGCTTTAAAAAGAAATAATTTCTGTGATTAAGATTTTTAATATGACAATATAGTTTTTGAAGAAGCTGGATAGATATTAGAAATTGAAGCGTTTTTACCATTAACTATGTCTTTAACAGGAAAAGTAAAGAGATTAATAATGATTGGAGATCATAATTAATTACCTCCTGTTATTAAGAATGTAAGTTTCTAAAAATTAGCAAATATGGAATAATCTTTTTTTATAAGAATGATTAGATTAGGAGTATTTTATCATCAACTTACAGATCAAGGTAGAACAAGACCAGAAATAATGAAACTATACTCTTGGAAATATAAAGAATTAAATTCTTTATAATGTTGTAATCCTTCTTAAGATAATTAATTTGGATATGCTAATGCTGGATTTTGTAAGACTTTTTAATTTATTGATGTTGATTACAAAGGAGTTTATGAAAATAAGCCTATGCCATACTTTTATTAGAATATTGTTGAAGCAGAATTTATAGTAGCAACGTAAAATATTATCATATTCTTTAGGTACATGTATTTAGTTTTAAGAGGTTATGATCCAAAATAAATAACTATCTTAACAACTTATAATGGTCAAAAAATGCTCATTAAAGATATTATAACTAGAAAGTGTTCTTGGCATTCACTTTTTAGAACTCCAGAAAAAATTACTACTGTTGATAAATTTTAAGGATAATAAAATGATATCATCTTAATTTCAATGGTTAGAACATCTCATCCTGGATACTTAAGAGATATTAGAAGAATTATTGTAAATATTTTTTTTTATTTTTTAGGTTGCTTTTTCGAGAGCTAAATTTGGTCTTTATATTTTTGGAAATCTATCAATATTTAATTAGGTACCAGAATTGTAGAAAACATTCTCATAATTTGTATCTGAACCATTACATCTATTACCAAATGAAACTTATAGAACTCTAAGAACTCATGATGATTATTAATTAGAATAATCTTAAAGTATCAATCATCCAGATTAAATGTATGAAATTATTAAGACATAATTAATTCAAAGATAAAGATAAAGTTCTAATGTTGAAAATTTACCTTAAATACAATTACAATAAGAGTCTTAGAGCTAATGAAAATTATATATATATATTTTAGAAATCAAATCATCATAATTAATTTCTCATTTCTTCTCTTTAAAATATTCTAATAAATTTGTTGTTGAATGCTTTTTTAATGTCATTTTTGAAAGTTTAAATTATTATTATTATTATTAAATTGTATTTATTTAATATAATAAAATCAGATTTATTATCAATCACTCCTACATTTATTTATGAATGTTAAATTGGCTAAATAATTTTTAGAATGAAATTAAATCAATACAATAAATATCAATTATTTTTAATTCCTCATTGAATTTTAAATATCTATATTTGAATTTATAAAAGAATAATGCATTTGAATTACCTTTATAAAAATATATAAATTTCTATGTATAATAATTTAGTGAATATAAATAAATTAAATATTTTTGCTTTCACTTAATTAATAATATTTTATATAATTTTTTTATTAAATTATTAATACTACAAAAACAAAAAGTAGCTAATTAAAATCAAATCAAGTATTAATCATATCCATTTTATCCTCCTCCCTTCAATCCATTCACCTTATTTTTAATCTCCAAGCTCAGATACCATCATTCCATGACCATGTTGTTTTCCTTATTTCCACATTCCTCTATAACTGCTTCCATTTTTAAATCTAAATACCCCAAATCCATCCTTCTTGTCATAATTATACTAAAATTCATTGCTATTTTAAATATTACATTCCCAGAATACTCACGTCCATCAGGCCATATAAATGTACCTTTTCCATGCATTTAATTATTTAACCACCATCCTTCATACTAAATTGATATTTTTAATACTTTTCTTCCATTTTCATACTCTAAGATACCAAACCCTTCAAATTTATCTTTCTTAAATTCACCCATATATTTGCTTCTATCTTAATATTACATTTCTCCATATCCTTCTTTATATCCAAATTTATATCCACCTTTATATTCGAATTATTTATTAATTTCATGACCTTCACCATGATATAATGATTACATCCATTCACCTTTATACATTAATCCATTTAAATCTTAAAACTCTCCGTATCCTTAAAATTCATCCTCTTCAAAATTTCCTTCAAATCTAGCTATAATCTATTAATTACAAACTTCCATCACAATTTATTTGTCTTCCTTTTCCTGACTTTTAATTTCCCTTAAATCCTCCTTCATATAAAGACCCATCAATATTTATTTACCTACCAAATCCTGCTTTTTAAAGCTATTAAAATTATCCTTAGTAATAGCATCCATCATTCATTAAATAACAAGGATAACTGTTTTATTAAAGAGGCGGCAATTCATTTAATTTATTTTTTACTTTTAAAACTAAATTTTAAGGCCACTCTATATTTTCTGCATCATTTGGTATCATTTCTTTAACTGAGACAATTTATTAATGAATATTAGGTTCCAAATTATTTTTTTAAATAGTAACTTCAACCTGTTTATCTAAATTGTTTGGTTTATCCAAATAACCTTAAATATATTTATATCATTACGACTAACACTTGTTTAAATTTTCATAATCTTTGTTTCATCTAAAGATATCTCATCTGTTGGTACTAATTCAACTTCTCCTTCGATCTTTTACCTACTTATATCCTAATTTGAACAACATATTATTCCCATATAATTTAATAAATTTTTATTATTCAAATTGTATTTATCTTATCATCTTTAAATTTATTTTTTATTCCCATACAATTTAATAAATTATTATTATTCAATTTTATTTCTATTATCATCTTTAAATTATTTTCTTATCAAATATATCTAGTATTTTAAGCTTAAAAAAAACAATTACGAATTACCATTTTATGTCTATAAACAAAAGAATTAATTATTCTACTAGTTTAATAATACTCGAAAATGTATTATTACAATTTATTATATATTATTAATTAGATTTCAATCAAAATTAAAATATATATAATCTTTTCTGATTTATTGAAAATATTTACAATAAGTCGCTCAAAATTTCTCACTTATTTAATATTATACAATTTTTCACTCGATCTTCACATATGCCCTAATAACCATTTAGATTGATATTAACTCTCTAAAAAAATGAAAAAGGATGATTAAATATGAATTTGAAATGATAATTTTACTAAAGTAATTTATTAAAAATGATGATATGATATTAATATTTTAATTTTTTATTAAAATAGTGTTTAATGTATCCATTTATAGCAGTGTTATTATATAAAATTAAATTTACAAAATTATTATCATTTGAAAATTAAAATAGATAATGCAGAATTTAATTTAAATAAAGTTAAGATTCTTTTTTCTTGTCAAAAATAAATGGCTATTTGAAAAAGAATTTTTAGTGAATATATTTAATTAGAATAATTCAATATTTAAATTGTAAAGAGCATGAATATATATGTATCAGATTGTGAATTATTATTAATAATTATTTTTTCTGATTGATTTTTAATCGATTCTAAGTCTTTATTATTTTAATAGAAGAATAATTTTAGTCTAGAAATTTTTTAATCATTATATTTATATTTTTAATTTAATAATATAATGTCCTCATAATTATTAGAAAAGCTATTCCAAAATAATCCTCATTTGAATGAAATTTAAAGAGATCACATTGCTGAAACATTATAATATTTAGAGAAGCATAAAATATCACTATTGTTTGAAGTAAAAATTGACATGACTAATAATAGGAATTATTGTCATAATTGATATTAGAGATGAGTAATTAACCAAGAAAATCACTTTTAGATGCTCTAAAAAATTATAAAAATAATTAACTCTTTGAGACAGGTGATTATGAAGTAATATTTGAACATTTTGATACATTTAATAATAAAACTGTCAAGATTAATTCAATCAAGCAAGGATTATAAATAATAGGAATAACAAAATCAGAAGAAGAAATAATGAAAAAATATTCTGCAATTTTAAAAAAAGGATTTGTCAATAAAAATGAATTTGTTGATATTCTGAAAAGTGAATTTAGTTAACGATGAATTTGGAATATTGCTTAATATAATATTTATATTGAATTTAATTCTCATTATGGATGGACTTAATTTATACATGATCCTTAAGTCTTAGATTCATAAATGTTATTTAAAGTTGTTTAGCTAATGTTCATCAATGCTTCATGTGTGAAAAAGGCTTAATGTCCAGTAATTATAACATTAGGAAATGATAGCAATCTGGCTAAAACATCATCAGTTAGAACTTCTTAACTTATATCTTTAAAGAATAATTTTTCTTCTTATTCATAAACATCTTATTTACTATTTTAGAATTATACCTATTGCTAAACCTCCAATTTTTTTTTTTTTTAAAGCATTAACCACTGCTTTAGTTTCAATAAGTGCCCCTCTACCTGTATTAACAATCATAGCATTTTCCTTCATTTTAGTTATTGAATGTTCATTGATTATGTGTCTGGTTTAAGGAGTTAATGGACAATGTAAGGAGATGTAATCACTTTAGTAAAAAATATCACTTTCATCAACATATTAAAATCCCAAAGATTCAGCTAATTTTTGATCTCTATGAGGATCATAAGCAATGACATTCATTCCAAATCCTTTACAAATTTTGGCAAAGCAAATTCCAATTTTTCCAAGTCCAATCAATCCTATTGTTTTTCCATGCAAATTGGATCCAACAAGTCCATCAAGAGCAAAATTATGATCCCTTGTTCGATTATATGCTTTATGAATCTTACGATTCAGAGATAGGAGGAGAGCAATTGTAAATTCTGCAACTGCTTCTGGAGAATAAGCTGGAACTCTTACAACCTTAACTCCAAGTTTATCAGCTTCTTTTAAATCAACATTGTTAAATCCAGCACATCTTAAAGCTACCAAATCTACTCCTTATGCAGAAAGCTTTCTTAAGACCTAGGCAGAAACTTTGTCATTCACAAAACAACTTATAACATCATAAAACTATATATTTACCAAACTGTATCACATTCATGTGCTAGTCTTGCACTATTCTCATTTAATTATTCTGCAAAAAATTATAATTTAACTTATTTTTCTTCTGGAAGACTTATGTTTACTTTTGTCAAGTAGTCTATATCATATTTCTTAGAATTAAACACTGCAACAGATGGTTGCTTTATTTATTTTAAAGATTTACTTTTATTGTATTGAATGCAAATCTGCTTAACAATTTAATCATATTCTTTATAATAAATTTATTTTAAATATCAAAATGTATTTTGAATTTAATACTAACAAAATTCAATTATATTCAAATTATGTATTAAAAAATTATAATTTATTTATATTATATAGAATTATCTCTAAAATTTTAATGAGAAATCTACATCAAATGAAATGCTTCCACATTGCTTTTTCATTTAATACAATAATTTCATGATAAAAAACATAATTCTAAGAAAAGACACTATAAAGTCAGAATCAGTCTTTAGATACAAATTAGTACGATAGAGTTGCAAGAAAATAATATTATCAATATTGAAATCCTGTAGTTTGATCAATTATAGTAATATTCCTTAAAAAAATTAATTAAATATTGATGTAGGATAATCAATCAATAAGTGAATAAATATCATTAATTTTTCTTAGATTTTAAGCAATTTTTAATTTTTTTAGAAATCATTAAGAATTTTTCTTACAAATCCCTAACAAACTCTCTCAATAAAAATACAATTTAAACGAAAATGGACAATCCAATAGTTCCTATCATTACCCAACCTATCTAAAATCTTTGATCAGCACTTAATAAACCAATCTATTTTAAAATATATAACATACAATGTCATCGAGTGCAAACCCTGTTGATAGGAGCATTAAAACAAATATACAAAAATCTGGAATTCCGTTTTAAATGAGATCTGCTTTGGATGTAAAAGGATTTTCATAAATAATTAACGCTATATTTAAAAAACTTATGAAACAACAAAAAACTGTTTGTAATAGTGGTTAATAGTAGAAATACACAACCACTATTATAAATAATGCTTTTCTGTTCAAATTAATATATGAGTACAACATAGCTGTTCTAGATTTAGTGTTGATATTTTCATATAATGTACCGTATTAATTTTTAAAAAGTTAATGATCCAAGAGAATATGATGTTTTGTTGTAACATAATAAGATATTATTAGAGTGACAACACAGATACTAATGCTTACATATGACAAAATTTGATTAATAAATACAATTTAATAAACCATAAGACTGTTAGGGATTGTAGTTAATTGTAGGATAATAGCTAATACTAAATCCAAAAAGGCTAGATTTAAGGATTTAATAAGATTGGATAGGAAATTAATCTTAAAATTATGTAAAGGTTAATAAATTTTATCTATAAGATAGGGGAATCTTTTTTTCTAATTTATAATAGGAGCAGTTATTTTTTGAGGTTGTAATTCTTATTTTTTATTTTTAGTGAATCTATTTTATGTTTAAGGATGAAATAAATTAGATTACCTGATTTCATTTAATTAAAAAATTTGTATAGATGAGGTTGTCTTTTAAAGGATAGGAGGCCATATTAATTCGATGAGAAATAAAATGACACAAGAGATAATTTCGATAGAAATAGTAATTGCTATGATAGCAAAGCAAGTCCAAGTGTTATTAAGAAATATTGGATCAACACCTTTTTCCATAAATTTTTTAGGACTTTCAATATAATAAGGATCTAAAGGTTAATTAAGGACAAAAAAGGCTGGGAATAATTAAAAGTCTCCCCAAGCTGAATTTTGAAAGAACATTTTAACATTTTCAGGGAAATAGATATTGATATAATAAAGATTGTTGATCCAACTTAAAATATCCATAATAGTCCAAAAGAAATTGAATCCTCCTAATAGTATGGCAGTAGGTGCTATAAAATAGAGCATATCACCAAGAGTAGATTAAGCATTACTAGCACTTTCAGCTTATTAGACTTAATTTTAAGAATAAATAATTTTTTTTCTAGGAGTGATAATAATTTCTCTGGTTTCTTCTTCAAGTATTCTTCTAGAAGTTCTAACTTTGACTGGAATAAAGATATGTATGAGATTTCCAACATCAATAGTTTTGTTGAATTAAAAATCAATGTTGCATTTAGATAGATTGTCATCAATTTATTCATACTTGATAGCTGATTAGAAATCAGTTGGAAGGAAGGAGTCAATGGTAATATTAATTTTAATACAAGGGTCGCCTTGATCAATAGGAAAATTTAGAGCCATACTCTCAGATGTAGTAGAGTTTGTATAAGTAGCATCAACTTAAGGTTAGGGTATTTTGCTACATAAGGTTTCTTTACAAGTATAATACTTTTCTATTTAACATTAAGAACTACAACCATCTCCATCAAGGTTGTTACCATCATCACATTATTCACTTTCAACTAATATTGCATCTCCACATTTGGTTACACATTTACGANAGATATTATTAGAGTGACAACACAGATACTAATGCTTACATATGACAAAATTTGATTAATAAATACAATTTAATAAACCATAAGACTGTTAGGGATTGTAGTTAATTGTAGGATAATAGCTAATACTAAATCCAAAAAGGCTAGATTTAAGGATTTAATAAGATTGGATAGGAAATTAATCTTAAAATTATGTAAAGGTTAATAAATTTTATCTATAAGATAGGGGAATCTTTTTTTCTAATTTATAATAGGAGCAGTTATTTTTTGAGGTTGTAATTCTTATTTTTTATTTTTAGTGAATCTATTTTATGTTTAAGGATGAAATAAATTAGATTACCTGATTTCATTTAATTAAAAAATTTGTATAGATGAGGTTGTCTTTTAAAGGATAGGAGGCCATATTAATTCGATGAGAAATAAAATGACACAAGAGATAATTTCGATAGAAATAGTAATTGCTATGATAGCAAAGCAAGTCCAAGTGTTATTAAGAAATATTGGATCAACACCTTTTTCCATAAATTTTTTAGGACTTTCAATATAATAAGGATCTAAAGGTTAATTAAGGACAAAAAAGGCTGGGAATAATTAAAAGTCTCCCCAAGCTGAATTTTGAAAGAACATTTTAACATTTTCAGGGAAATAGATATTGATATAATAAAGATTGTTGATCCAACTTAAAATATCCATAATAGTCCAAAAGAAATTGAATCCTCCTAATAGTATGGCAGTAGGTGCTATAAAATAGAGCATATCACCAAGAGTAGATTAAGCATTACTAGCACTTTCAGCTTATTAGACTTAATTTTAAGAATAAATAATTTTTTTTCTAGGAGTGATAATAATTTCTCTGGTTTCTTCTTCAAGTATTCTTCTAGAAGTTCTAACTTTGACTGGAATAAAGATATGTATGAGATTTCCAACATCAATAGTTTTGTTGAATTAAAAATCAATGTTGCATTTAGATAGATTGTCATCAATTTATTCATACTTGATAGCTGATTAGAAATCAGTTGGAAGGAAGGAGTCAATGGTAATATTAATTTTAATACAAGGGTCGCCTTGATCAATAGGAAAATTTAGAGCCATACTCTCAGATGTAGTAGAGTTTGTATAAGTAGCATCAACTTAAGGTTAGGGTATTTTGCTACATAAGGTTTCTTTACAAGTATAATACTTTTCTATTTAACATTAAGAACTACAACCATCTCCATCAAGGTTGTTACCATCATCACATTATTCACTTTCAACTAATATTGCATCTCCACATTTGGTTACACATTTACGATTAATAATATAATATCCTTTAATATTTGTACATTTTGGACATGCACCTTTTTCATCAGGTTTAGCATCTATTATTGTACATGTCAGACAAGTTTTATTATCTTTACAAGTATGGCAACTATCCTAACATTTTAAACATTCATCATTTTTTAGAAAATAACCACTGTAACATTCATCACAAGAACTTTTAAATCCTTTTAAGGAACATGTTTAACAATTTGAAACACATTAAAAACAGATTGATCTTGATAACATCTTATTCACACAAGTAAATAATTAATCTATTTTACAATCTGTACAACCATCTCTACTATTTTTATTTCCATCATCACATTATTCTCCTTTAGTTAATTCACCATCACCACAATTTATATAATTACAAATATCATTCACCTTTCCTCTTATACTAGAACAACTCTCACATTGATTCTATTCATCCTCAAAAAACCCTTTTAAACATTAACATCTATTTTACACAACTTCTCTATTTACTATTTTTTATTTTAATAAATTTATTACCATCTATACAACTTAAACAATCTTATGTGTTTGAACAAGTAGAACAAGGAGGAGAACATCCTATGCATATTAAAATTATTATTATACTTTGACAAACTACTTTCTCATTCTCAAAAAATCCATTATTACAGATACATGAAACACCATCTTAACCAAGAGATCTATTCTCAGAACATGTTAAACATTCATGATCATTTAAACATTTTCCACATTTATTGTTACATTTTACACATTCATTATTATCGTCTTTAAAATATCCATCATTGCATTCACATAATTTATTTTCAGGATTCATCTTTCTTGATGGTATACAACCCAAACATCCAATTTCTAAACCATTTATACATGATAGACAAGTTTTATGACATTCAGTACAAATTCCATTATCATTTAAGTATTCATTAGTTTTGCATTAGCAAACACCTTATACAAGTTAATATTTTTTAGTTTCATCACAACTTAAACAATTATTAGCACTTATTGAACAAGTTAAACAATTTATTGAGCAATCTAAAATAAAAAAATATAGAATTACTTTCACATAATCCTAAATTATTAATAAATTAATTAGATATAATGCATTTACATTCTGTTAGGTCTAATTTAAATTAGCTAACGCAAGTTAAACAATTAGTAGAAGAAGTTTCACAAGTTAAACAATTTTGATCACATTCTATTATTAAATGAAAATGTTTTTACATTAGCATATACCATCAGAATCGAAATAGCCATCTTAACATTTACATAGATTGGTGATGGAGTCCAAAATTTTAAATTCAGTAGAAAAACAACAATGATTAGAATCAATGCAAGTCAAACAAGTAGGATGACATTGAATACAATCTGTTTGACTCGAGTTGATATAATAATTTGAAGGACAAGTACAAGTTGAATTAACAATTAACATAGTATTTGAAAGACAACTTAAACATTCTGTAGATGTATTAATACAATTTAAACAAGGAGATGTGCAAACTAAAATAGTTATTATATGATATTTACCTAAACAAGATGATGATGATGATAGATAATATCCATTAATACAAGTTGTACAGATAGATAAACTAGAGCAAAATAAGCAAGGGGAAACACATTCTATAGAATAAAATAAAATAAAAAGTTTTTACATGAGCAAGTATTAACTGCAGCAAGATAATATCCATTTTAACATTCACAAGCATTTGTTTATATATTAAACTGTAAGAATGACATTGCATCGCAACAATAATCTGAGTTCGAACAAGTTGTACATGTTGGATGGCAATCTAGAATATAAATATATAGAGAATAATACTCTGGCAAATGTGAGTAAGAGAATCATAATATTGGTTTGATGCACAAACACAAATTCCATTAGAGATTATCATAGTAGAATCTATGCAAGTTAGACAATTAGATGATGAGGTTATACAAGTTAAGCAAGTGTTGAAGCATGCTAATCAATTATGTAATAGATTATATAATACATTGACATATAGAGTTAGCATCTAAGAAATATCCATCAGAACATAAGTTACATACATCAACAGATGAACATTAAAGACAAGGTGGAACACATGCTGAAATTAAGTAGAATAATTTACATTAGCAGATCATATTTCCATCAATATAATAACCAACATTACAATCAATACATTAAGTGTCAGATGAACATGTTAAACAAGGATAAACACAACCTAAAATAAATTAAATAATATCATACTTAAACAAGTGTTAGATGAAGATAAATAATAATTGGTATTAATACAAGTATTACAATATGTATCAGTTTCACAAGTTAAACATGGTGAAATACATTCTAAAATTAGAATAAATAATAAACATAAGCAATTTTGTGAAAATGAATCATGATAATAAGTATTATTAACACAGGTATTACAAACAGTGAGATCACTACATGTTAAGCAAGGTGAAACACAGGATAAACATTAATTGTTCGACAAATAGTATAAATTATTAATGCAAGATAGACAATAATTTGAAGCAGTGCATTCTAAACATGGGGATATACATTATAAGCAAGTGATATCAATATAATAAGTTTAGTTAATACAAGATGTACATTCATTAGAAGATATGCAATTAACACAAGGAGATTAACAAACTAAATAATAATAATATAAGTACTTTGACACTCTATGCTATTATTAAAATATCCATTTTAACATTCACAAGCATTTGATGCGATATTAAAAGTTGATAAGGAAACACAAATATTACATGAATTTTGAGTATCACAATCCAAACATAAGATTGGACAAAATTAAGTACAGACTCCATCTACTACTTTTTATCCTGTAGGACATTAACAGGTTGGTATCACTTAACCTGGATATTCACAAGATAAACAATTTGTTAAAGTAAGTTCACAGGTGTAACAAGGTGATTGACATACTAAAATATATTATATATTATATTACTTTAACATCCTTATTCTGTTTATAGATAACCAATTTAACATTCACATTAATTAAATTGATTCACAATTTAATAAATATCATTACAACTCATACAATATGTAGATTCTATAGAACATTCATAACAATTAGGATCGCATGCTTAACAAATTCCATTTGGATCTTGATATTGAGTTATTGTGCATCCACAATAATAATAATAAGTGGAAGGATTAAGAATTAGTTATTTTTAAGATTCTTATGAACAAGATTAACAGTTTGCATAATTTATGTCACAAGTTAAACAACTAGGATCACAATCTATACAGACATTTAGTTATGTATCAAGATATTATGATGAACTGCATTAACAATCTGATAGTATTCGATTGCACTTTTATAACTACTCAATATAATCACAAGGCTTAAGTGAATCATTACATTAGACTACTAAATATATTAGATCAGCATCAAAGTAATTTACTGATACAGATCCTTTGGTTCTCATCTTTATTTCTAATTATCCTAGTTTTTTCTTCTCTGTGATATAATATTGAGGGAAATTAGAATTATATGTCTGTATTCTTTTTATTGATAAGAATGTTGGTATACTTAAAGGAAATTAATCGATATTGTATAAGATTTTTGCACCTCCTATTGGAAAGTAGTATTGCTAAGTCTATTAATTAAAAGCCTGATTGAACTAATAGTAAATATAATTCGCAAAATATAAAAATTGATATTTTAGCATGTATAAATATTGATATGATGAAAAATAAAAACTGTAGGACGATACTTATTAAAGATTTAAATCTATTTAGGAATAGTAAGAAGAATCCAAACACCATCCTAAAATTCCACCTGAAACAGTATTTTAAATATCAGGATATAGATAAATTGAGCTAAATAATCCTAATGAATAGTCTGTTTGAATCACATTTAAAAAACTACTACTTTTGCCAGCTATCCACTAAATTTTATATCTGCCATTATAGGTGGAGCATAAAACTCTTAATTAGAAATAATTATTCTAAACAAATGATACAAAAACTTAGAATTCTCTTTAAGAATTACTATCATAATCTATGTGTCCTAATAAACTAATTGCCACTGAAGGCGAATACAAATATTATTTAGCAAAATTAATCTAATAATAGTAGTCACTTGGACTGAAACAATTAAATTCAAATATACCTTAATCAATTGAAATATCAGGCAAATATCCTAAAAATAGTTTACTTAATAAATTTACGAATACACTCTGGTGAAATTCCATCATCAAAATATCCAACAGGACATTTACAATCTGGTGCATTCATTCTTATACCTGCACAAATTAAACAATAATTTGGATTTGCTACATCACAATCTAAACATGTAGGATGACATTTAGGTATGCATTCTTAACGTTATTAATTTAACACATAATATGATGGACATGATAATACACATTAGCCTTAAAATAAATAATAGCCCTTAGATATTATAAATATACATTACATTAAAACACTAAAAACATTAATTAATAGAATATGTGCAAATACCTTCATATAAATAAGAATTTGGTGAGTAAAATCCATTACTAATTCTCAAACTAGATAAATAAAATGATTCTGAACTCAAATCTTTATTTATATCAATATATACTTTCAATTGATCCAATAATTAAAGTATCTGTATCTCTTATATCGATTGAAGTAAAATAAGGATTCAAATTTAATATTTAGCCATTTTAAATAAATAAAATTACAGTCATTTCAACCAAATTTAGAATTCCAATCATTAACTTTTAATTAAAATCAATACCACTAGTAAAAGATACACTATACTGTGAAAATAAAATTGTAATCTGTTAATAGTTAAAATCTGCCATAATTTTTATAATATTTGATTATAATCTTCTTGAAGTTAATGAGAGTATAATGAACTCTCCTGAAATTGAATCAGAAGATAATTAAATTTCAATTGTTAGTGATTGGGAAATCTTAAAATTTTCAATTTAAATGTATTATTAGTTTGAAAATTATAACATTTATTCATTTACAATTATTAGGGGATCATAAGAATCTGAGTTTAATGAATTTCCCATCTATACAATATGTTAATAATCGCTCCAATCTTTTAAAATTTGGGTTTGAATTCTTTCATATATTTTTAGATCTAATATCACTTCTGGTTCAATATACTACATTAAAGTCATTAAATCAATCATTTGAAAATTAAAACTCTAATATATCTTCATTTTTTTAATAGTAATAGAGATAGCTTATCCATCAAAAGGTAATATAAAATTACTATAATAATAGTTAAAGAAACTATCTAAATTAATCGATGGTTAAAGAAAGCCAAAATTATAGTAATTATTAGGTGGCAGCTCAATGCATGTAGGATTTGGTCCATAATAAATTACAATAAAACAAATTTAATATATTCCAAAAATTGATCTTTATTAATAATACACATATATCCAGTAATTCTAAATAGAGGATTGATATAAATAGCCATAATAATAATCTAAAATTCTGATTTGTTAATTGTAATATATCACAGTGATTTGATTACCATTTATTTACATAATGAGTTAATAATAAGAACTATAATTAATAGGATTCACCCAAACTATATTTGATAGAATCAATACTTCCAATATTAAAATCGTCGTTTAAGCTATCAATTCCAAAGTTATTTATATTGTAATTGTATATATTTCCACTTTCTAGATCTCCTAGATTTTGCTACATATAAAAGGGATAAATAAGATTGCTATATCATAAAGAAAAATTAATACTCTGATTCTAGAGAATAAAACTGACAAGAGGTTTAAGAAATTGACATCATAACTATGATTACGTAATTAAAAACCATATTTTATTTAATAATTTATAATACAAAATCAAGAAATCTTTAATTATCACATTAATTTGTAATTAAAATTGATTCAACATCAGATGATGTAATTTCAATTTTGGTTGTTTAATCAAAGAATTGTTTTAATTGCAAAAAGAACTGCAAGCTCTGAGGATGAAAATTATTTCTCCCTTTTAACATAAATAATTTTTGCGTTAGATTATGGATATGACTCATTCAAAGGATGTTAGGCTATATAAAATAATATATCATATTTTTCACTAATCATATTAATATGATCCAAAATATTCTAACTAAAACCTTTTAAAGAATTCAAAGGTATAGCAATGACTGAACCTAAATGATTTTCAAATAACTGAAGTAATGCACATTATAAATATTCTTCCTTAATCTGTAATGATGAATCTTGAACTACAAAATGTAATACTTTTTATGGTTATTAAAAATAAGCTAAGCTTGAATCAGCATGGTTGTAATGATTATTAATTATTTGATTTGTGCAATTTATTTTATTACTAATAGTTTCTGAATCAGTATCAATTAAAACTAAGTATTAATTGTAATTATGTTTGTTGGCTAAACTAATGAGCATTAATATTAAAATGCTCATCATTAAAAATTAATATTGTAAAGTTAAGAAATTAAAAATTAATAAATGATATCAGATATTCTTTTATATTCCTATTAGAATTAAAATGGAATGTTTTATGATTTAGATATTGAAGTTTGATTTACATTAAGGTATTTGTTGATGATTTGAATTTACAGAAAGGTATATAAATAAATGGTGTAAATTAAGAATTGAGAAGAATCAAGTATATTTAAATGGAAAAATAAATAAAAAAAAGAATATATTCTGTTATTAAAAATTGAATATATAAAATAAATAACTTAATTAAAAATGGCTATGATGGTTCCCCCCTAAATGAATCCTAAATATAAAACTTCTCTTTGTAAGCATTGGACAACAACAGGAAACTGTAGTATTGGATCTAGATGTCATTTTGCTCATGGAGAAAGGGAATTACGTAATCCTAATGATGTATTAAAATATGGATCTATTTATTTAGCCATTACCTTAATTACCAAGTCAAAATCTATAAGATCCTAAGTTACTTTAAGTTTATTTCTCTGGTAGTTTGGGAATTCATAATTATAAAACCACATTATGCAAATATGCCAGCAATAATACATGCAGATATTAAGAAATGTGTCATTATGCACATTCTCCAGAAGAAATGATTCCATTTGATAAGGTTAGAAATGTAACAACATAAGTCTTAATTTCAAACTACGTGTCTCTAATAAAGAGTCATTATTTGTTGAATAGTCATTCTATTCCCGGATTGAATATTAATTAAGAATAAGTGGAGGTATATATTTTATCTTTTGATTTTTTAGTTAGCACTTCAAATGGAATTCTAAAAATTAATAGTTGCTTAATAACTTAAATTTGTTCTCAATCATTTAGATAAGATGGATTACACTTAATCTGAATTAAGATTAAAGTTAAACACAGCACATGAATTACTTAATGCAAACAACTTTCCAGGTTGCAGTTAAACAATTAGTGATATCATTAATAGACCAAATGTACCATCAGATGAAAAAAAACATTATTAAGATATTCTTTATGAAAGTGCTTAAGAAGGATTTAGAATTGTTGAAGGATATTAAAGATAAATATTTGAATTCTAATGTGAATAAGCTTAACAATTATAGGAAACCTATTAGAAGAGTGAAAATCCATAGACTTTGTTTGGTAATGCACCAACTCTTCCTACAACAAGTATTCCAGGATATAGGTTTTGATATATAAAATATTTTAAATATGAATTCATTATGCATATCTAATATATTAAACAATACAGATATTATTTATAGAGAGGATAATTCATCTCAAGATAATTTCCATCTTTTAATAAATGTATAAATAATTGAACTTATCTAAAGAATATCCTGATTATTCAAATGTATATTATTGAAATAATAGANAGAAGAATCAAGTATATTTAAATGGAAAAATAAATAAAAAAAAGAATATATTCTGTTATTAAAAATTGAATATATAAAATAAATAACTTAATTAAAAATGGCTATGATGGTTCCCCCCTAAATGAATCCTAAATATAAAACTTCTCTTTGTAAGCATTGGACAACAACAGGAAACTGTAGTATTGGATCTAGATGTCATTTTGCTCATGGAGAAAGGGAATTACGTAATCCTAATGATGTATTAAAATATGGATCTATTTATTTAGCCATTACCTTAATTACCAAGTCAAAATCTATAAGATCCTAAGTTACTTTAAGTTTATTTCTCTGGTAGTTTGGGAATTCATAATTATAAAACCACATTATGCAAATATGCCAGCAATAATACATGCAGATATTAAGAAATGTGTCATTATGCACATTCTCCAGAAGAAATGATTCCATTTGATAAGGTTAGAAATGTAACAACATAAGTCTTAATTTCAAACTACGTGTCTCTAATAAAGAGTCATTATTTGTTGAATAGTCATTCTATTCCCGGATTGAATATTAATTAAGAATAAGTGGAGGTATATATTTTATCTTTTGATTTTTTAGTTAGCACTTCAAATGGAATTCTAAAAATTAATAGTTGCTTAATAACTTAAATTTGTTCTCAATCATTTAGATAAGATGGATTACACTTAATCTGAATTAAGATTAAAGTTAAACACAGCACATGAATTACTTAATGCAAACAACTTTCCAGGTTGCAGTTAAACAATTAGTGATATCATTAATAGACCAAATGTACCATCAGATGAAAAAAAACATTATTAAGATATTCTTTATGAAAGTGCTTAAGAAGGATTTAGAATTGTTGAAGGATATTAAAGATAAATATTTGAATTCTAATGTGAATAAGCTTAACAATTATAGGAAACCTATTAGAAGAGTGAAAATCCATAGACTTTGTTTGGTAATGCACCAACTCTTCCTACAACAAGTATTCCAGGATATAGGTTTTGATATATAAAATATTTTAAATATGAATTCATTATGCATATCTAATATATTAAACAATACAGATATTATTTATAGAGAGGATAATTCATCTCAAGATAATTTCCATCTTTTAATAAATGTATAAATAATTGAACTTATCTAAAGAATATCCTGATTATTCAAATGTATATTATTGAAATAATAGATACAGTTTTAGTTTTTTGAAACAGTATAAAATACTTAAGAAAGTTTTACAGTGATACCAGAACTATATATTTAAATTCTTCAAAATATTAAATATTTCTATTGAAAAAACTAATATAGAATAATTTCATGATGTTGAACGCCATTATATATATATATGTACTAAGTGATTATTAATATATTCTAATGTGTGTTTAGATATGAATCCCGTTTTATTTAGATAAAATTTTTATTCTGTTAAATCCATTTATTTACTTCAAAATAATAATTGTTGATTTAGTTACTCATTCTCTTTAAGATACTTAGAATTGAGCATCATTAATTAAACTTCATTTTTTGTGATTCTATTAACTATGAAGTGAATTAATCTATTCTTACAATAAATTATTTATTTTTCTTGATTATATTACTTATTTAAGAATTCTAATTCTTAAATGCAACAATATTTAATACTTTAAATTAAAGATTCTTCAATAATAAAAGCTTTAATGAGTATGAAAATACAAATTTATAAATTTTATAAATAAAAATCATTCATTTAATCTATCTACAATGTCGCAAAGTAATTAAGATGTCCATCTTGCTTACTTAGGAATTTAATTTAACTATCCTAATCTAGATTCAATATTATCTAACTCTAAATGAGGTTTAAATCTCTTCATAGCTGTAGATCCTATAGATAATTAATGACTTTCCTCTCGCATTCCTAATTAACCTCTTAGTTTATTTATCTCATATTATTCAACTTTAATCTTTTTTCAAATAAATAAGAGTACATTATCACGCATCCTTTCTATAGCTTTCAATTAGTTTTATTGTAATAACTATTTTATTGAATCTGTCATATAAATTAAATCATCCAACAAAGATAAATCAAATTTTTCTATTACTCTTGATTCTCCATTAACAAATTGAACATCTCTAATACAACAAAGACGAGAAATCTCTGAAAATTCATACAGCTCTTCATTCTGAGGATTAATTAGAATTCTATAAAGATTTTTTCTTATTCCAATTTGATTTTTTACTACTTAAAATAGTTTTCTTGAGTTATTTAAATAATCCTAAATTTAGAAATGAACTATATACCTTTAATAAATGGAGATTATGAATTAAATTATAAAGTTATTCTGTAAACCTTTTGTATTATTAAGCCTAAGGATTACGTACTGTTTCCAACAAACTTATTTTCTTACGCTTATCTCCTTATTCTTTTAAAGATTTAAATCTTTATAATGTAGTTTAACTTTCAGTTTAAAATAATTCAACTTCCTCTTTAATTTTTTTGATTGTTGCATCACCAACTAAAGGAGACCGAAATATTCTCACAGAATTCAAATGTTCTAAATAACCTTATAAACTTGGATCTTTTTTATGTGTTGGTCTAGGCGTTAATGTTATTTTTTGTTTATCCTTAGGACTTCTCTCAAAAGCTGATTCTCCTTAATGAGTTAAATTTATAGGTCTTGTTGATTAAGATATCAAATGTCTTATTGGAGTAACTGTATGAAATCGCTTAGTTGTTCTGCTTGGTTGCTCTTTACGATGAAATGCTAAAGTATCTTAATGTTTAAAAACTGGAAAGGCTGCACTATTCTTTAAAATAAGGCTCATTTATAATTATATTAATTTATGGAAAACAAAAAAGAGATTAAAGATCAAGAAAAATCTAAACCTATAGAGAAATCCAAATCCTTAGTCCCTATGTTAGATAAAGAAGATATAGAGACATTGAAATCACAATTATAGAAATATGAATATTTGAAATTGAAATATAATTTATGAGAGTAAAACATTATTCAATAGTTTAACATCTTATTAATATTAATTACAAATCTTTCATTTATTTCTAAAACTTTATATGATATTTCATAGTTTAATTCATAAACTTCTTTTTCATTACATTAATTCTGTTGAATAAAAATAAGTTTTATATCAAACAACTTAAATTCTAAAACTTAAAGAATTTTTATTATTCATCCCATAAATTGAATTTGTTCTAGTTGAGAAAATCTTATATCCTACTTTGTCGAAGAACTCTTCTCAGTATCATAATGTATTTCCAACTTTTATTTATAGTTGTTAATATTATAATAATTGTTTAAAACAATTTCTTTTTTTTTATTTTCTTAAAATTGCATCTAAACAAAACNTTTATTTAGATAAAATTTTTATTCTGTTAAATCCATTTATTTACTTCAAAATAATAATTGTTGATTTAGTTACTCATTCTCTTTAAGATACTTAGAATTGAGCATCATTAATTAAACTTCATTTTTTGTGATTCTATTAACTATGAAGTGAATTAATCTATTCTTACAATAAATTATTTATTTTTCTTGATTATATTACTTATTTAAGAATTCTAATTCTTAAATGCAACAATATTTAATACTTTAAATTAAAGATTCTTCAATAATAAAAGCTTTAATGAGTATGAAAATACAAATTTATAAATTTTATAAATAAAAATCATTCATTTAATCTATCTACAATGTCGCAAAGTAATTAAGATGTCCATCTTGCTTACTTAGGAATTTAATTTAACTATCCTAATCTAGATTCAATATTATCTAACTCTAAATGAGGTTTAAATCTCTTCATAGCTGTAGATCCTATAGATAATTAATGACTTTCCTCTCGCATTCCTAATTAACCTCTTAGTTTATTTATCTCATATTATTCAACTTTAATCTTTTTTCAAATAAATAAGAGTACATTATCACGCATCCTTTCTATAGCTTTCAATTAGTTTTATTGTAATAACTATTTTATTGAATCTGTCATATAAATTAAATCATCCAACAAAGATAAATCAAATTTTTCTATTACTCTTGATTCTCCATTAACAAATTGAACATCTCTAATACAACAAAGACGAGAAATCTCTGAAAATTCATACAGCTCTTCATTCTGAGGATTAATTAGAATTCTATAAAGATTTTTTCTTATTCCAATTTGATTTTTTACTACTTAAAATAGTTTTCTTGAGTTATTTAAATAATCCTAAATTTAGAAATGAACTATATACCTTTAATAAATGGAGATTATGAATTAAATTATAAAGTTATTCTGTAAACCTTTTGTATTATTAAGCCTAAGGATTACGTACTGTTTCCAACAAACTTATTTTCTTACGCTTATCTCCTTATTCTTTTAAAGATTTAAATCTTTATAATGTAGTTTAACTTTCAGTTTAAAATAATTCAACTTCCTCTTTAATTTTTTTGATTGTTGCATCACCAACTAAAGGAGACCGAAATATTCTCACAGAATTCAAATGTTCTAAATAACCTTATAAACTTGGATCTTTTTTATGTGTTGGTCTAGGCGTTAATGTTATTTTTTGTTTATCCTTAGGACTTCTCTCAAAAGCTGATTCTCCTTAATGAGTTAAATTTATAGGTCTTGTTGATTAAGATATCAAATGTCTTATTGGAGTAACTGTATGAAATCGCTTAGTTGTTCTGCTTGGTTGCTCTTTACGATGAAATGCTAAAGTATCTTAATGTTTAAAAACTGGAAAGGCTGCACTATTCTTTAAAATAAGGCTCATTTATAATTATATTAATTTATGGAAAACAAAAAAGAGATTAAAGATCAAGAAAAATCTAAACCTATAGAGAAATCCAAATCCTTAGTCCCTATGTTAGATAAAGAAGATATAGAGACATTGAAATCACAATTATAGAAATATGAATATTTGAAATTGAAATATAATTTATGAGAGTAAAACATTATTCAATAGTTTAACATCTTATTAATATTAATTACAAATCTTTCATTTATTTCTAAAACTTTATATGATATTTCATAGTTTAATTCATAAACTTCTTTTTCATTACATTAATTCTGTTGAATAAAAATAAGTTTTATATCAAACAACTTAAATTCTAAAACTTAAAGAATTTTTATTATTCATCCCATAAATTGAATTTGTTCTAGTTGAGAAAATCTTATATCCTACTTTGTCGAAGAACTCTTCTCAGTATCATAATGTATTTCCAACTTTTATTTAATAATTGTTTAAAACAATTTCTTTTTTTTTATTTTCTTAAAATTGCATCTAAACAAAACAAAGCATAATCTCTTTGAAATTTGCTTCAACATATTTTATTCACACTTTGATTTATTTAATTGCTTTACAAAATTATTTTACTTTTTCATTTTGTCTATTTTCACATAAAATCGAATATTTACTCCATAATATACTTTAATTCCTTTCTCTGATCAGTTTTTTTTGTAGAATTTCTATTATGATCTACACTCTTTTTATTATATTTTTTCTAATATTTATATTCTTGTTTTATATTTCTTCTCCATCCATCAAATTCTTCAACCTTTCCCTTATTAAACTGATTCTTTTGATAAAAATGATCAAACACTCGTTTTAAAAAAAATTTTGCTGAAAAATTAGTAAATAATAATATTTTTCTTAAAATAATGATTCCTCTCATATAACTTATTAATTAGGTAAATATAATTGCATCTAATGGTTTTCATTTTTTTCATTATTGCAACTTCTCCTTCAAACAAAATTGCAGGAGTATTATTACCATCTTAGGTGACTGTTTCATTTCTTTATTTTATTACTTCATTAATTCTATTTCTCCAAAATAGTTTCTTGAGTAAATTTCCATACAGACTAAAAATCAGGTTTGTTTGTTGATTCTTATTTTTTCAATAAATTGTGTATTGTTATACAAAAACAAGAATCCTGAATTAAAATAATATTACCTTATTTTAAACCTTCAAATAACTTATTTGTCTTATTTTCCATGATAAATTTACTATAGTAAACTTTAATATACATAATTTAAATAATTCTTAAGAAATTATACTATCTGATTTAATTCTAAATAGTCTAAATATAAAATCTCAAAATTCCCAATAATAATTTGCAATATGGTTTTAATAGTAAACTTAATAATAAAATAAATTAGTTAAGGTTTTCAAATTTCAATAAAATAAGATTATTACTTAAAATTTACAGAAGCTTGCAATATTTAATTTATTGTTCAGCTTAATTAATTTTAAATTCATTATTTAAATTCTAAATCGTATATTTATAATATATGCAATCAACAAGAGAACATAAAATTGCAGTTTAAAATAGGTTCTTAATTTTTAAAAACCTTTCTCTTGTTGATGAAAAAGTCTAGCTCATATTTTATTAATTTAATATATAATCTAAATAAAAAAAATGAAAAATTATCATTAAAAACAAATCATATCATCTCAAACCACCAAATTCTATTTCAATCGTGTTTTTGTATTCATTTGGAACAAAAATTTAATAGAATTTCTTTTTCCATTCACTCACAGCATATCTCATATTTTTTGAGGGTACAAAAATGCTTGAATTTAAAGGTGATTCATTGCTAAAATAATTAAAAAAGTATACTGAATATCTTTTTAAATGGCAAATACATAAATATCATTGATTCCATCCATTAATCTTAATTTTATTTCTTCACTTTTATTGGAATTAGCACTTTTGACCCTAAAATTTATTTCTTTTTCCCTATATTTTTAAAGGTCTATTTCATCTTTTAAATCTTCAATTTCCAAATTATTTTGTTTGATTTTTTTGTTTTATTCTTCGATATTTTTATTCAAAACTTCAACATTTTTAGTTAACTCCTCTACTTTATAATCTTTTTTCTCTATAATTTGTTCTAAATTATTTATTTCATTCTTCATCATTTCTATTTATAAGCCTTATGATAAAATTTTTTAATTTTTATGCTTATTTTCATTCTCAATATTTTCATTTGTTTTTTTTAAAATTGTCAAATTTTCATTTTGTTAATCAATTTTTTCTTGAAAATCTTCATTTTTTTTTCTTAATA